GCCTCCTCTGGACTGGCTCCAGCAGCTCCAAGTCCCTTCTGTTCTGGGACCCTGGATCTGGAGACAGCTCTGCAGGTGAGGTCTCACCTGAGCGGGGCAGAGGGCACATGGTCACCAGTTGTTGTCCCCTGCCTCTCCCCTGGCTCTGTCTGGTCCCAGCCGCCTGTCCCCGGCGTTGCTGCTCCGTCTCTGTCTCGGGCAGACACCACGGAACGTGCTTGGCTGCACCATCTGCATCCTCACGCCTGGGCGCGTTTTTGGCCTCCTCGGTGGTTAACAGAAATAGGTTTTAATTAAAAGCTCATTATCGAGTTGTCGTGTAGCATTAGTAAATAAAAATAACTTTTACAGCCCAGCCCTGTGACTCAGTAAGTGGCGATTGAAAATATTTGACATCACTTTATTTAAAACAAAATTGATGAATATTACATTTTTGATTCCCTGTTTGCTCTAAATGGGCTTTAAATCTAAATAAATGGTTGTCTGTGGCACTGTGGTTATCATTCAGGTCCAGAAGGAGAAATAAGTGTGCTCTGCAGTCTCAAAATCATCTCCATTTCAGTTGTAAACTGTTGCGGCTGGGTGGTTTGGGCATCTCCTGTGGGATGGGGGTTTGGAGTAGCTACAGCCTACATCCATTTCCTCATTCTCAGGTGGTTAGTGGAGGGATGCTCTGCTCAGGCCCAGCTCTCTCCCTTCTGCCCTCTCCATCCCTGTCTCAGTGAAGAGGTGTCGTGTTCTCTTATTAAGATTTGATCCTAAACAGGAATAACTTCACTCTGAGCACTTTTTCCTGGGGCTTGGTCCCCTTTTCCCAGCAGTCCTTTGGCTGTCGTGTCACAGTAGGGACTCTTGCCTCTGTTTACATCCCTAGCATAGAGCTAACACCTAATAAAATTATCTGCAAAGCAAAAAGCCATTTTCTGTGTTATTTACGGGTAAATTGGTGCAATAAAATACTCTGTAAATGTGAGTAATTTCTGCAAGGTCGTGCCTTAACCTTGTTCCGTGGGTGGGGTGTGCAGAGACCGCTGCTCTGGGTTTCCTGGGAAGCAGCTGAGCCTTGGTATCTTCTGCTCACTTTTTTGTGCCCTTATTGTGCACCCTGATCTCAGGAAGATCAGGAGCTGAAGCTCCAAGGGTTTGTGTTTATAATGAGGAGGTGAGATCTTCATCTGTGCCCCCTGAGCAGAGCCAGGTTCTGTCCCCTGGACTTTGGGCACCTCCCTGTTATCCCAGGAGAGCCTGTTGTGTGGGGAACCTAAATATTAAATTAAACCCATCCTTCTTGCCTCCCCTTTACCACATTTGACATTGTTGGAAGAAAAGCATGAGCCTGATAATGTTTTGGGAATCTCTTTTCTGTGTAGGCCCCACTCTCAACCCTCTCTGTGCAGGATGCTTGCACCCCCTTGTCCCTTGCTGCCCATTTTTTGGAATTGTGGAATATCCTTACCTGGAAGGGGCCCACAGGATCATCCAGCCCAGCTCTTGGCCCTGCCCAGACCCCCCAACAACCCCACCCTGTCCATCCCTGGCAGCGCTGTCCAAAGGCTCCTGGAGCTCTGGCAGCCTCGGGGCCGTGCCCATTCCCTGGGGAGCCTGGGCAGTGCCAGCACCCTCTGGGGGAAGAGCCTTTCCCTGATTTCCAACCTAAACTTCCCAACACAGTTCTGTTCCCTGGCTTGCCTTCCCTCCTTGTCACCCCTGATGAGAGGACCAGACAACCCTTCTGCTAATTTTTGGATCTGCTTTATCGAGTGGGGAGCTGAGGAGCAGTTGTGAAACTTGACAGAGAGGTTATGCTCCGAAATAAATCGAGCAGTTGCCTGCGAGTTGGAAATGACTCCCGGTGCAGGTTAATAAATAATGCAAACCCTGTTAATAGATGCCAAATGCGCCGTCTCCGCCAGAGAAAAAGATGATGCCAATAATCTGGGCTGGAAATGCTCCGTTCTAGCCACTAGCTGGAGAGTTTTCAGCGTTTAGTGCTATTAATTTAAAATGTTTTGCCGATAGATTGTAACCGCTCTGTACTTAGTGAAGAACACAAACAGCTCTGTGGAGTAACAGCCTGTTTATAACGCACCTCATTCCCGTGTCCCCTCCGCGGCTCCTGAATCCCTGCAGCCACCCGTGCTGTGATCCTGCTAATGGGAAAGGAGCTGCAAATGTCAGAGGTGATGCCTGCAGCACAGGGAGGATGCTGGAGTGACGCATCCCTGTCCTGACGGTCACATTGAGGTTATCATGATGTAGCGTTTTGCTGGGAGATGGAGCTTTGTTACAGTATCCTGCCAGCCACCCCAGCATACGGCTGAGAAGGTTTTTTTTTCACCTCTGAGCTCCTTAGTTTTGTTTTCAGGATCTCAGAATGGCTTGTAAAATCATCTTTGTGCTTCAGGTGTCACTTGAGTGCCGTGCAGGGAATGGTGTGACAGACACAGTGTGGATGGGAACGGCCAGCCTGTCCTGGCTGTCCCCCAGGCTCTCTGGACAGCAGCTCTGTCCATCCCCTCATGCCCTGCAGGGGCTTTTTATCTAGTAGTTTACAACCACAGAATGTGGCAGTTAATGATACAAAGCCTGTGAAGTATGGGTGAGGAGGGCTGAGGTCCTGGATGTCTGTAAAGCAGTTGGAGTTCAGCTGTCAAAAGATGCCACTTGCATGCAGATGGTTATTTTAAGTACCGAGGTGTGGAGGGAAATCATGTCTGTTGGAATAAAGGTGGCTGCTGATCATTGATATATTTAATGAAGGTAATTCAGCACAGTTGGGGAGGATATGTGCTCTGTTATGGCTGGAGTCTTGAGCATTGTGCAAGAATGTTAAATGTCTATTCCTGCCACCACAGAAACGCGTGGTGACAAAGCGCTGGTGTAAAATGCAGCAGCAGAAGCCTCACTTAAAATACAGTCCCTTAAAGAGGGGCTCGTAAAAAAAGGAGAGAGAGTTTTTAATGCAGGCAAATAGTGATAGGGGAAGGGGGAATGGTTTTAAACTAAAAGAGGAAAGATTTAGGTTAGGTGTCAGGAAGAAATCCAGCTGTGAGACCCTGGCATGAGTTGTCCAGAGCAGCTGTGGCTGCCCCTGGATCCCTGGCAGTGTCCAAGGCCAGGTTGGAGAGGTTTGGAGCAGCCTGGGATAGTGGAAGGTGTCCCTGCCTATGGCACTGGGTGGTCTTTAAGGTCCCTTCCCACCCAAACCATTCCAAATTCCCATCACCAAGTTGAAACTGCACAAAGCTCCTGCTTTAATCCACAGTGCTGCTCTTCAAAGCAAACTGGTGGTTTGTGTTTTGAGAGGAAACCTTTGGGTCCTGTGAGCTCTTGAGCACAGTTTGGGTACCTGAGGTGTTTCAGTGAGGAGTCACAGCCAGTGGAAATTCCAGGTTTAACGTACTGATCCCATGGGATGTGGAGCCACATCCTGGTGCTGCCGTCAGCAGCCTGTCCTGGGAAGGTTTGGTGCAGGCACTGCTGTGCTGAGACTGAAATATGGTCTTAGAGAAGGAAAAACAGCCCATAATGCTTTATACAAAGCAGTTTAGTGAAGAAATAGCCTTTTGCTGGCAGCCTGCTTTTATGTGCCTGCAAAAATGGTACCAAATAGCTCTTTTAATGGGCCTCACTCTGTTTTGTCTGAGCCCTCGAATTAACCTCCCACTTAAAATCATAGTCAGGAAAAGATCTTCTGCAGTCTGAGCCATCCTGTGCCGAGCTGGAGCCCACCCGGGGGCTGGAGGATAGTGAAATGTGTGAAATTAGGGGGGTTATAATTACAGCACTGCCAAACTTGCTGCTCCTGGCGTTTTGACCCCGAGGTGTTGACAGCGCCCGATCCGAATCGCGGCGAGCAGTCTGGGGGTGGTGATTTTCGGGAGGGTGGCGGCGGCTTTGTCCTATTCCGGGACTGTCAGCGTGTGTGTCTGTGCTCTCCGGGAAGGGGGAGTCGTCACTGAAAGGCAGAGCTTGGCTGAGCTGGGCCTGGCTGTGCCCACAAGGCGGCAGTGGGTGACAGCAGGAGCGGCCCGGCGTTAATATTGATGTGTCCAGGTGGCACCAGGATTGAGTTGTAGTGACAAGAGAGTGCGCGAGATCTGTTTGCCCAAGGGCTTTGGAGTAATGGCCATATGTCTCGGTCCAGCAATTGTTTTCAGCGTGCAGATGGAAGACCAAAGTGGCTTTGGCATATTAGATTCACGTGGTTTATGTCCCTCTTCACCTCTCTGCCTCCCAACACCTCCCGGTTTTATGAGCAAACTTCAGTAGCATCATGGATGCAGCTGCAGGATTGCTCCAAGGACATGGTCCTTGAGCAACCAATTTTCTCTGCTCCTTGGCTGCTTCTGTCACCAACATTTTCAGCAGAAAATGCAGCTTAACTGTATCAAAATGTGCTCCCAGAGAACCGCTGACTTCAGTGGTAACGATGGGGATTTTGGAGCTCTTTTTTCCCTTCTATCCGTGCAGGGTCGGTGGCTCTGGATGCACGCGCTCCGTGCAGGGATTGTGTCACTGCTGATTTTGTGGCTTCTCTCTCTGAACCCCTGATGCTGATGGTGGTGCTTGTGCAGGGCTTCCTGAGCCTGTAGAAAGACACGTTAAAGCCACCAAGGAACAGTTCAAAGGGATTTTTATTCCCTTCTGGCAACAGGCAGGAACCTAAACATGTCAGGAGCCTAAACCTGAGCTCAACAAGAGCCTAAATGAGCCCTTAGTTTCCCAGGGCAAGAAACAAGGGCTTTATGGTGTCGTTTTTTGGAAAAGGGGGGAAATCACATTTCAGTTTCCTACTGAGGGAGGAGCTGGTGATCTGCAGATGAGATCAGATGGAAGGAGATAGTGTGTGCCTGGGTACGGTGTTTTCATGTCTGTACCAGATGCATTCTTGGGGATTTAAAATTGACCTTGAGAGGTGAAAACAGTGCATTTGGATGAACAGAGAGAAGTTCTGAAATCCACCTTTATAACTCTGCTTCCTGTTTGCTCTCTGGCAGGTGAAGTGGAAAGGGAAGGACCTGTTTGATCTGGTGTGCAGGACACTGGGACTGCGGGAAACCTGGTTCTTTGGGCTGCAGTACACGATCAAGGACACGGTGGCTTGGCTCAAAATGGACAAGAAGGTTGGAACCAAAGTTCACAAAATCCCAGAATGGTTTGGGTTGGAAGGGACCCTGAAGTTCATCTCATTCCAAACCCTTGCCATGGAAAGGAATATTTCCCTTGAGTCATTGTGTGGGATGACAAAGGAGAATGTCCTTTTGTCTTTGAATGCCCGAGGTTGTGTAGAGGGTGAACTGGGACAGATGTACTTAAATCCCATCTCTGTGGTATCTGGGGGTGTCAGACTGGGAAAAGAGGGCAGAGATGCCCCATCCCAGCATCTGTGCACACTGAATCCCCTCGAGACATTTTGGGTCCCAATCATGCTGGGGTGCTGCACTTTGGGGTGACTGCAAAGCAAATGAAACCTAAAACTCTCTCTTTTGTGCCCCTGAACACAAAACCATCAGCAGAAAAGTGGAGTTGACTCTTGTTTTGTTGTTGAGAAATACAGAGAGCTTGGGAGGAGGAAAACCAGAGTGAAAAGGAGATGGGGATAAGGGAGGAAAGGCTCCCCAGATCTGTGAGGGGAGGGTTTTGGAGGTGTCAGGTGTGGCCCTGTTCACATCCAAAGGATGTGACACTACAGCCAGATGGTCATGGACACCGAGGGAGGCCTGGGTGTCTCACCTCTCAGGCTGAGGTTTTAAACCAGCATTTAACTGGGCAGAGCAAGGTGGTAAGAAACACCAGTGAAATAAACTCAGTGCAGGAAAACAAGGAGAAAGTCGGGTGGTGGCGCAGCAGGATCCCACATCTCTCTGCAACTATCAGGAGAGGCAACGAGCATGTGGCAGATCAGGATCAACCTTCACTGTCTCATTTCTCATGCTGTTTGTTTCTGCCTTTTTTTGTTCCCTTGCATCATTAGGAGTGTCAGAAATGTTTGTTTTCTTTTTTTAACTATGGTGTTTGAAGTATTTAGGTCTGTTCTAGATGTCTAAAAGTGTCTGACAGAATATGTGCTCATCTGAACAGAAGGGAGCTGGGTCTTGCCTTGAAGAAACCAAATGGCTTTTGTATCCCACAGGTCCTGGATCATGATGTTCCCACAGAGGAGCCCAAAACTTTTCACTTCCTGGCCAAATTTTACCCTGAGAATGCAGAGGAGGAATTGGTCCAGGAAATCACCCAGCACCTGTTCTTCCTGCAGGTGGGAGTAAATACACTGCTATCCAACCTTAGGGAGAGGGAGCCAGGATGAGCAGAAGGTCCCAGGGTCAGAGAGTTGGTCAGCAGAGTGTGCTCCACATCCTTATGTTCACACCCCTCCAAAGACACTTGTCTTTAGCAACAGATACTTCCTAAAATAGGTGAAGGATGTTTTTTGTGGAGGAAGCAGCTTGTCCAGACTGCCAGACCTCTGAACTGGCAGTCAAGAATGATGAGGTGATCCATAATATCCATGGGTGGTGGCTCAGGGACATGGATCTGTCAGCCAAGGGCTCGTGTCCCTCTGCAGGGTGTGGAATGAGCTGTGCTGAGGGGTGGCAGCTGCCTTTGGACGTGACAGCAATGTTGTGTGGAGCAGGGGAGTTTGATCCTGGAGAGCAGAGTGCAGCCAGCCTGTTCCCAGGCTGCACAGCAAAGTTCCCCTCCTCACTAAAAAGCCTTCAGGCAGCTGGAGCAGAAGAACATCCCAGCAGCTCAGCTCTCTGATGGAAAAACAGAGGAGAAGAGGAAACCTCACAGTCTCACCTGCCCCAGGAACTCCTGCCCTGCAGTTAAGCATTTGGAAACTCTGGTGAACACATCGTGGTTGGGTTTTTTTACTTAAATTATTCTACAAAACTTTGTGTCCTGAGAAATCAGTTCAGCTGATGATGTGACAATGCTGCACGGCTGGTAACACGAGCTGCTGTCACAGGAGCTCTCTTTCAGAGACATGATCAATTTTCTGCCACAAAATCCATTTTCTGACACATTTTTCCTTAGAAGAGTTGTGTCAACCACGGTTACAGGGAACAGAGCCCTCCTAGTCAGACTCCTGGGTACTCACCGGGATGTTTCAGCTGCTCTCTGGCTGTTAATTTGAAGATAAATTACAAAAACTTTTAACATGTCACTCATTCTTATGTTTCTTACACCAAAGTCAGGACAACCTGGATTTGGGAGTACCTCTGTAGCCTGCAGGGTGTCCTGCCCTTTCCAAGTGAGCTCACCAGCCTCTTGATACTCCTCACTCTTCCAAAGTCCATCTTTTTTCTCTAGAGCCAAAAGTATTCTAAATGCAAAGAATTCCTGTTAATTTCCAAGCTCAGTCTCGTGCACTGGTGTCTCTGTAGGGTTATTTCTGAATGCCTCATTTGCCAGGAGCTTTATCCACGGTGAGGAAAAATGCTGTTGGCATCTTTGAGAAGGAAAATCAGAGAGGAAAAGCCATTCAAGCTGCATTTTCTAAATGCAGACCATGACTTTGCTGCTGGGATTTGTGTGCTGTGAGGAACCTGGGCTCCTGAATGCATTTGGGAAACAGGAGCACATCTAAGCTTGTAAACTCTCCTGTTTTTTATCTTGATGCAGCAGAATATCTGCTGTGATTATGTTGTACCCAACTTTGAGGACTCAAAGCACGTTATAAATTCAAATTGATGTTCCTGCATCTCCAACAATCCATTTAAGCCTCCCAGGAAATCGTAGGCTTTTTAAATTTTTTCCCCCTCCTATCTTTAATCAGGAAAATTAAGTGTGCCAACCCAAAAAATATCGAACATGACAGGTTTAATTTTTGAATGCACAGGAGGCAGGAAAGTAAAGCTGTGGCCTCGGGGAGCTGTGCGTTGGTTCTCCTGGGAGCGCACGCAGGGCTCTGCCTGCTGCTGAAAGCTCTGCCACGGAGGTGACCCCCAGCTCTCCGTGCTGGGATCCAAGGAATTGGCCTCCAGTACAGGTGAGCACTGACTCACAATGAGGCTTGAATGTCCCAGAGCAAAGCTTGCAGTGCTCAGAGACTCGGCTGCAAGCTGCTCTTTTATTTAGCAGCGTGGCTGAATGTCCTATCAATCCGTAGCTCGTGCCTGAAGAGGTTTTATCGCTGTGTTTACATGCAAGGTTCTCCCCCACCCCTTGCCTTTAGCAACAGGATAAAGGTGCTGTCATTTTCCACATATAAATTTAGCTCTTCTCACCAGCCTGTCTGAGAAAGGTGGTCTGTGAAAGCCTGAGCCCTTCTGAGGTGCCAGAGATTTCCTGGGTCTGGACTGTGATTAGTGTTAGGAAAATTGTTAACTCTGTGTGGTTGACAGCTCAAGTTAAAACAAACTGCAGCCATCTGCTGTGACAGTCATGCTCTGCTGTGCTCCACTAAACGTGTGTTATCTGTCCTTTGCTGCTCTGTGTGCAGGTGAAGAAGCAGATTTTGGATGAGAAGATCTTCTGTCCTCCGGAAGCCTCTGTCCTGCTGGCCTCTTACGCTGTCCAAGCCAAGGTAGGCAGCAAGGGATGCTCCAAAGAGCTGCTGGGGTAGTGTTGATCCAGGTGCTTTGTGCTGGAGCCACTTCCTGGGGATAGGGAAGGCAGGGAAAGCTGTGAAAGCTTGGGAAGTGAGGGGGCTACACCAGCACTGCTGCCTTCTCCACATGGCTGGTTCCTGGCTACTTCCAGATATTGGACGGATTTTTGCTTTCTCTTTCCAGGACTCTTTAGCAAATGCTCAGCTCATGAGCTGCAGAGCCTGCTTGAGTGTGGCTTGCTGCTGGAGCAGGTGAATTCCCTGAGCCTGAGGGTTTTTAGATCTCCCTGCTTTTGCCAGTGTAGCCAGAGGCAAGCCAGCCATGGGACTCCTAGCTCCACTGCTCCCCCAGAATACTTATCTTGATAATGACTTTATTTCAGTACTAGGACTGCCACATCCATTTTATTGCACTGTGAAAGGGCTTTTCCTGGCTTCTCCCTTTATCTTGGGTTTGATCTTGAGTGTTTGGCTTCACCAGACAGAGGGAAAAGTCAGTGTTCATTGACCTCCCCGTGTTTCTCTGCTGCGTTCTGCTCTGGGCCCAGAGTAGGTGTGTTTTGCTGAGGATTTACTCCAGAGGACACTGTTTTCCAGTTTGGGATGTGCAACCTTGGATAGCTTGCCCAGGGCAGAGACTCCTGGGGTGGAGGGAGCAGCCCAGAGTTCAGTAGCAGGGACATTGTTGCAGTCAGGGACATAATTTCTCCCTGTGTATGCCCAACATGTGCTGCTGCTCAGTTGACAGCTCCTGGAGCTCAGCTCCAGTTTGTGTGTGCAAAGATCCTGTTTTGGGAGGGAGAGGAGCAGCTGCAGTCTGAGCACAGCCCAGCCATGTTGTCTCTGCATCTCCTGTTGGTTCTGACTCTGGGTGGGATTTTGGGAGGGTTTGGCTCACAGGACTGCAGGCAGGTGGCTGTGCCCTGGTTCTGGCAAGTCCAGCTGTCCTTGAGGAGCAGGGCTGTGGAGAAGTTTAGGAGGAGTAGCTCTGTGGGACCATCTTTGCTGGCAGTGCAGGAGAGGGGGTTTGGCCTTGTTGCCAGAAGAGAGGGCCTGATCCAGGTTGGTGTTTTCCTTTGTCCATGTAATTTTCTCATAAGCCTTCAGCCCACACTCTGAGTAGAGCCCTGGGTGCCATGTTCTTTGATGGGGTTTGAATTTGCAAGAAATTGGTGTTTTCTCCTCATAATCAGAGTATTGATGAAACCATGTTTTGTTCAAGAGACTCATCAACTGGGCAAAGAAAAGTTGCTTTTAGAAATGTTTCTGTTTGTGTGAGACATTCATCACTCTTATTAGAGTGCATGAGTAAACACTGCCTTGGCTTTCTTTCCATTGACCTGAGCTGAGGATACGTAGGGAATGACTTTTCTGGCTGCCAGAATGAATAAATGTTGGGTAAATATTGAGCTCTGTTACCTCATGGCCAGGACAGCTCCTTGGGTACAGGCTGTGACTTGTTGCAGGTCAATTGTGCCCTCCCCTTTGTCCCCCTGGCACCTTGAATGTCCTGGGGCATTGGGAGGAGCTCACATGGAGTCAGAGCCGTTCTGACCCTGCTGAGATCAGGAGAAGGTGGAGCAGGGATGACTTTTCTGCTTTTCACTAAAGGGCTTTTTTCAGACATCCCTTTCCTTGCTGCCCTTCCAGCCTGGGATTCCCCTTCTGCTTTCACTCCTAGCAAAGGTGAAAGCTGAAAGCACATCTTTGCTAGGGAACTGGGAAGAAGGATGTTGCAGGTTGTCTCCTTCCAGTTGAATAGGATAATGATGTCCTTCCTGGACAAGAAAGCAGGCAGAGAGTGCAGTAATTTCACTAATAACGTGCTGATTTGCATGATTAGGGGCATAATAGCCTGACACAGCAGCGTGTGTGCATCCAGCAGCCACTTATTGACAGCCAGGTGCTCCTGGTCCATCCACACCAACCTGAGACAGCAAAGGAAACAGGGGGGTCGTAAAAATAACAGCTTATTTATTTCTCTCTCGTTGTGTTCATTTGGGGAATTACTATGTGCTTTCCCCTCCAGCCCTGTTCAAACCACCCACGTGGCTTTCAGAGGTTGGAGGTGGTTCAGGTTTTAAATAGCTGGGAAAGATGTGGGATCAACTGAAAAAAAAAATGGGAGCATCCAGGAGGTTCTTCTATTTTTTGCCCCTTAAATGCAGGTCGCTGCTGTACTGCAACTCTCTCAGCACTTCAGATCTTGTAGCACAGCAAACAGCTCTTTAATTATTATTGTTTTTCCCCCAAACAAGCAATACTTGGTGTTAATTTGTAGCTGAGCATGCCTGTGTTTATCCAACAATCTATGAATGTGGTAAAGGCAATTCCATGCCCAATCATGAATATTAATCATACTGTTCAATTAACAAGAGCTGAAATTCCATGACAGTTTGAAAGTAATGGTTTAATTGAAAAGGCCTTTAGAAAGTACATTTGCAAAATCATTTGAGCCAACAAATTCTGTAATACTTAAGCCATTTGTTGATTTTTGACTTGTGAATAATTAATGTTCTCATCCAGACTCCCCTCTCAGTACAAATATTCCTCTGGGACACAGCAGTATTTTTTAGCACATGAAAAGTCACATAATCCATACTTAGTCTTAGACTTCTGCAGAAGATCACAGCAGAAAATAATCATGTTAATCCTATTTACTATTATTTTCATCGCCTAAAAATGATTTACTTGCTGCCTGCCCAAAGTTGTTGGAGTTTCCTTCACCAGTGCCACGTTTTTAGTGCTGCTTCCTTTTGGGGGGAGGGGGGGTGCTCAGAGTGTGTTGTGTACCTGCAGAGTGCTGCATCCTGAGGAGCTCCAAGACCTTGGAAGGCAGAGAGTTGCCTTCGCTCTTGGACGAAATCCGGGCTGGTTTTGTTCTATTAGTTGAAGTCTGAGTCAGTGTAGGTTGTTGTTACATGCTCCCTTTGCATCTGCATTGGCTCCAAATCAATATTTGTGTCTTTAATCCCCACGTGTTGTCTCCCAAGCGCAGAGGTGGAATGTGTGTAGACTTTTGATGCTGCGCTTTGGTTTTGATGCACGGTGTGAAGGTCCTGGCACAAAAAGGAGGCTGAGAGGAAAAGCCTCCTGACTTGTTGTATGACCACCAGGTGCCTCTTGCAAGGTCTTATGTTTAAAAATTGTCACCATTTTGCACATCCTGAGCGAAGGTTGCTCAGAAAGCAGGGAGGGAAGGGCTGTCCCACTTGCAAAATGAGTGGCTTGAGCAAACGGCGCTGTGTCTCGTGCAGTCGGGCACTGTCACCTCTATCACTGCAGAAGTCCTGGTTGCCAGGTGAAGGAAGTGTGGAAGTCACAGCACTCTGTGTACATGCCTCACATGCTTTGTTCCTCTCTTCCTGAATTTGCTGGGTTGTTGGAGGAGCCGTTTTGCAGCGTTTTCCTGCCCTCTGAGGCCGTGCAGGAGGTAAATTCATTTTCACATGCACCACAGGGACACGCGGCTCTTCAATCTGTTAATAAGCAGTTTTCTTTCTCAGTCACTTTATATGCTGCTCAAAGAGATGTAAATCTAAACAAATACCAGTAATTAGTGGATGCGCTTAACAAATCTGAATTGGATTCCATGACCCAGTTGAGCAACAGACCCTCTGACAGAAGAGCCACCACCTGCTTTAGAGGAATCTGTCAAACTCCTCTAATTTTTTTGATATGTATTCATTAGAGTGATGAGCAGGAACAGAGGAGCTGCCATCTGCCTAACCTGGATCATTGCTATCCATCAGTTTTTGGGGACGGGTCTTTCTCCATGTCTTACTTCCTTCTTCCACTACCTGTGGAACCACAAGGACCTCTCAGCTATAGAGTCTTACCTTGCATTGGGAGAAATGTTAATTAGGGCATGATAATGAGAATAGAATAGACAACTGTCATCTAGTCCATCTGGACTGATGGAAGACATCAACTGGTGATGGTCATCAGCTAAAGTTGTGGGAAGTGGTGGAGTCACCATCCCTGGAAGCGTTAAAAAACTGAGCAGATGTGGCTCTTGGAGACCTTAGGGGTGTTTAGACACAGGCTGCACTTGATCTTGGAGACCTTTTCCAACCTTAATATTCTGTGATGGTGGGAAGTTTTGTTCTGCTCCCAGCTCTGCTGCATGAGTAGAAGGAATCTCTTTGTTTTCTATTAGCAATGAAATGATGAAGAAACCCAGGTTATTCACCTTAGAGAGCAGCAGGCTCTGTGCTCATGGGGTGAAGGGGTGAACAGGCTGCGTTTGCTGTCTCTCAGGGCTGGGTGTGAGGGGGTGAAGAGTTGGACTTGCCCTTGTTGTTAACATGGGGTGGGCATGGTGTCTGTGCTTCTCTCCAGTACGGCGACTACGATCCCAACGTCCACAAGAGAGGCTTCCTGGCACAAGAGGAATTGCTTCCCAAGAGGGTAAGGAGCTCAGCAGCGTCAGGGAGTTGGTGTCCAAGCTGTCCTGAGGCTGGACATGCTACTGGACCTGTCTTGGTGTTTCTGGCTTTCTTGCTGTGCCAGGAGCAGCACTGTGACCTGGTCTCTGTCTCCCACCTATCCCAGGTAATAAACCTGTACCAGATGACTCCAGAGATGTGGGAGGAAAGGATAACAGCCTGGTATGCAGAGCACCGGGGCAGAGCGAGGTGAGCTTGTGCTGCTGGGCTGGGTCAGGGCCAGTCCCCTCCTCTGGACAGTCACCAGGCTTTGGGAAGCTTGGGCAGGCGCTGGATGAGGTCTGCCAGCAGGTTAATCCCAGCACATCTCTGCAGCAGCCTCGGGAAGAGCTCAAACCTTTTGTTGATGGCTCTGCTTGTGCCTTGCTGTCTCCTGATCACTGTCACAGCCTTCAAGAGAATTTAGGAATGATTCAAAGTAAGGACTCACCTGCATCAGGGATCTGGGAGAAGAAACAGGGATTCAAACTATATGGCTGCCTCAGGTGGCAGAATGCTCCTTTTTCGGGGATAAACCTAGAGCCGTAGATCTGAAACAGTAGCACCCCAGCCAGGAATTTCCTATTTATGCTGAAGGGATTGGGAGGTGAACAGAGCCAGGCCTGGAGTGCTGCATCTCAGCAGCCACTCAGATGCTGGCAACTGCAGAGTGAGATTTGCTCTTGGACTTTATTGATCCTGCCAGCAAAGACAGGATTGACCTGTGTGATAGAGACAGTCCAGGCTTTGAAGCCTGGTGAGTGCTTAGGATCAGCAGGAGCAGCCATGTCCCTCTCTGATCCTCCCAAACACTGTTCCTGCCTGACAGAGATGAAGCTGAAATGGAGTATTTGAAGATAGCCCAGGACCTGGAAATGTACGGCGTAAACTACTTCGCCATCAGGGTGAGTTGGGTGGGTTTGGGGTCCTGTTTTCCTGCCAGGATAATCTCCAGAGAGGTTATCCTGAGAGATAATCTCTCTTTCCTGGAGAGCCAGGAGAGCTGGGAGGTGGCATTTGGGGACCCCGCCTGTGCTGAGGGGAGGCAGCAGCTCCTGGTACCCAGTGCTGGGTCACTGCTCAGGGCTGGCTGAGGAGGGAACAGTGGTTCATCTCTGACCCTCCCAGTGATTTCTGCTCTTTCCTTTCCTCCTGCAGAATAAAAAGGGCACAGAGCTGCTCCTTGGAGTTGATGCCTTGGGTCTTCACATTTATGACCCAGACAACAGGTTGACCCCCAAAATCTCCTTCCCATGGAATGAGATCCGGAATATCTCCTACAGTGATAAAGAGGTATGGATGTGTCCCACCTCCTCCCTGAGAGCAGTAAGAACACAACTGGGATTTAAAATTATTTCTTTTGGCTTCTCTGTCTGCTGTGCTTGCTCTCACCAGCTTAGCTAAGGGCAGCTCAACTCCTCCAGTTGAAACCTTAATCCAAGCCTTCCTGAAATTGTGCAGGAGTGGGCGTGCAAGGGGTCACTGGGGAGCTGGTTCTCCTCTTTGGTTTCAAACCTTCTATGTAATAATCTTTTCAAAAACCCAAAATTGCTGTTGATGTTCTTAGCCCAAATACCAGAGTTCAGAAGTTAAAATCTCTTCTTTACTGCATATATTATGGTATTTATTACTGTGGATATATTCTGTATTATGGAATACAGGGACATGTATTCCTGGGGAGAAGAGCTCCTGCCATCTCATTACATCATCTTGGGTTTCAGGCTGCTGGGCTTGGCATAGCAGCTGGAATCTTTTTAGGAAGTTGAGCAATTTAAGCCCACTGTTGGATAGTTATTTATTAAATCCAGAGTCTAAATATGGGTCTTAGGGATTGTTGGCCCCCAAACCTAATTGAGAACAGCAGTGCAATTGGCTGAGGAGGGGGGACTGAGCAGCTCCATTTTAAGTCTGAGAGAGCTGCTCAAAGAAACCAGCTGCCTTCATGGTGAGGAAGAGAATTAACTTCTTAATTAAAAATGGTTTTCTAATCTAAACATGATATTGATCAGGGGAGCAGCTAAAGGTTTCTCATCAGCTGTGTTTATTGCATGTCTTGTGAAGTTTTATAAGCAGTAAATCCGTGCTGGAATTGTCTCCACTTACTTTACGCCTTAAAGAGCTTCCCAACTCCGCAAAAAGCCCAGCACTGAGTGACTTCCAAAGCTTCCCTGCCTGTCACAGTGCAGTGGGAGCTCCCCAGAATCCAGGGACTGACTCCTGCATAAGCAGGCCTTGCCACAGGACCGTAGCAGAGCTCTCTCCAGGGGAAGGACGGATCCCTTCCATCAGCTCAGTCACTGTGTAATCAGGTGCCCATGAGCAGGCCTGGCCTGATGCAAACAGGGCCAATAGCTGGGAACAGCAGCTCTGCTGGCACCACACTGGGGGTTATCCCTCCTAACAAAGACTGACTGTTCACACGGAGCTGAAAATCCTCTCCCAGCACATTCCTGCTGCTGCTCTCACTGACTGCTGGGGGCCCTGCTGGAGCTCAGATCCAGGGATATTCATGCACGTCTGCTTTTGTGAAAGTCTTAAAAGATTGGCTCTTAAACTGCCAGAGCGAGGCAGTGCCAGAGCAGGGCCCTTTGCAGGCAGGGCCGTGTATTGACAGATCTCCCACTCTAATGGACACACTCTGTCTGCTCCAGCTCCTCAGCCCGTTATTTCTGTAGTGTGTGGGGGAGTGATGGAATATGTGCATGTCTCCTAAAAAATGCCATCTTGCAGAGCACTCCATCTCTTCAAGTACCCTTTTGATAGTGCAGAGGCTTCTCTCCGTCCAAGGGCTGCATTACCAAAGCCCTTGAGGGATTTGTGCCACCACTGGGCTCTCCAGAGAGCCTCTGTGAGACAGCTGTGGAGAGGGTGAAGCCAGGCCGTGGGTAGGGCTGGCTGGTTGGTACATGGACTGTAAATACAACTTAGAGCCAGGAAATAACAGTTTGAATTGTGGGGAAATCTTAGGACATTGTGTTTGAATTGTGGGGAAATCTGAGTTCTGAAGAAGAAAATGCATGGAAAATTCTTCTGGGGAGCTCTTGTGAATGGAAGTGTCAGTGGGAAGGGCACAGCTCCTTGCTGTGTTCCTGATGCAGCTCTCCTGCCCTTTTAATTCCCTGACAGGACAGTGCAGCCAGGTGGGAGTTGGGCTCTTCTCCCAGGTAACAAGTGACAAGATGAGATGAAACAGCCTCAAGTTGTACCAGGGAAGGTTTAAGGTGGATATTAGGGAAAATATCTTCATTAAAGGGCTGTCAAACCCTGGTCCAGACTGCCAAGGAAAGTGTTCAGAACACTTGTGGATGTGGCACCTGGGGACATGGTTTGAGGGTGAACATTGTGCTGTTGGTTGACACTTGAATTTTAGGATCTTGGAGGGCTTTTCCAACCTTAATGATTCTGTGCTTCCCATCAGGCAGCTGAGCTGGTTTTTCCTCCCTTTGGAAGCATCCTGAGTTCCTGCTGTAGTTTCTGTGTTCCCTGAAGCTCCCAGGAGAGCAGCACCTTGCCTGGGGAGGTGCTGAGCTGAACCCCCACTCTTGCAGGTTTCTCTGCAGAGGACACCAGCTCCTGTGGCCCCCATGTCTTCCTGGCTGGAGGAACAATTGTCTCCTTGGCTGCTTTTGATGCGAGTCCTCTTGCTTGGCTCAGAGCCATGGGGACGGCTCTGAGCCGTGTGTCTGACCCTGCTGACCTGCTCTGAGCCAGAGCTTTCAGGAAGAATTTTATAGCTGCCTTTTTATTAAATGCACCACTCTCTGATAACTCTCTCCCTCTTTATTTTTTCCTTTTCAGTTTACGATTAAGCCATTGGACAAAAAGATTGATGTTTTTAAATTCAATTCATCAAAGCTGCGTGTGAATAAGCTGGTAAGTGCACAGAGAGTCTTTTTTTACTGCCTGCAGCAGTGGGTTCTGCAGAGAGTGTGAGACAACAAGCTTTTGGGGCTTTTCCTTTGAGAGGGAGCTGCTGCTGTGTGGTTGTGATGGGGTGTAGCAGTTTCTGCTTGCTGAAGAAGGGAAGGGGGAGACTCAAGACAAGCTGCTCCACAGAACCTCTCCCTCTCCCCTGTTTTTGTGCTCCCTTTTGGAGATCTTGGCTTTCGGCTGACCTAAATAGTGGAAGCACTTAGTAAATACAATTCCCAGCTTTGCTCAATTCCTCTTTCTTCCCATGGGATTTTTCCCATTCTGCCCTGTGTCATAGCTTTCCCTGTTTTGGGAGGCACCTTTACCACAGTCCTGGCTTTTCCCTCTCTGAGGACCCTCCTTGGACAAGGATGGACTGCACTGAGCAGTCCATGTTGGAGACCAGCTTTAGCTGATGGTCTGGATTTGGATCCATTGTTAGGTCACACAGGTACTTTTGCTGTCCTGTTGCTGGCTGTGCTTTGTATTCCATAGGAAATGGGGCTTCCTCATTCCCTGCATCATCAGGTTCATAGTGCTGAAATCTTCAGAGAAGTCATTTGTGACTTGGGTTGTGGCTGCCCCTGGATCCCTGAAAGTGTTCAAGGCCAGGCTGGACATTGGGGCTTGGAGCAACCTGAGCTAGTGGAAAGTGTCCCTGCCCATGGCAGGGGCCAGCGCTGGATGATCTTAAAGGTCTCTTCCAACACCAACCATTCCATGATTCTTGTGATTTTATGAAATGGAAGAAGAGCATGTAAATCAGTCCTTTAGAAAAGAATCCAAATTTAGAGCCCTGCTTTTATTGCTAAAAAAATCTTTTCACTCCTCTGTGTGCCCACCTTGTGCTAACCCTCCTCTAGCACTGCCACCTCCCTGGTCCTTACCAGAGAGAGAACCACACTGGGGCTCAAATGCGTTCAGCAAAGGCATCTGGAGATGCCCAAGCAACTTTTTGATAAGCTTTCTGTTTGTTCAAATGGAAAGTGGATTTCCTTTTTTTTTTCCCCTTTTAATTTATTTTTTAATCTCAGTGCCTTAAACGTACACTGGGGAGAAGGTGCGAGTTCATCTTGAGCCTAAAGAAAGGGGACAGTGAGAACCAGGGAACCAGGCAGAGCTGTAGAAACTTTTATTTCATTATTTGGCCTCTTGTCTTTTTAGAGTGGGTGTAAAACAACACCCGTGCTGTGCTGGAGGCACAGAAAATTGGTGTCTGCAAAGAGCTGCTGTGCCCAGGAGCTGGTGTTTGGTGTGGAACCTGGCTCCCTGCCCCTCCTACAGCTGTGAGAGCTCACAAGGTTGGAGCTCAGTGGGTGGAAGCACTAACAAGCACCAAATCAAAGCAATTCTAGTGGTTTTGTGTGTCAAGAATACAAACCACCTCATTGCCATCACGCGTACAGCTGTGTCTCTCTGCTCTTCACCCCTGACTGCAACAGATTCTTCAGCTGTGCATTGGGAACCACGACCTCTTCATGAGGAGGAGGAAGGCAGACTCGTTGGAGGTGCAGCAGATGAAAGCACAGGCCAGGGAGGAGAAGGCCAGGAAGCAGGTGAGCCACATGTCCCATAACCAGTGAGCCAAAATCAGAAATGCAGACATGCTTGGGAAGGACAGGTCTCTGGAATGGCTAAAAAACAGCTTTGAGGGAAGGTCCAGCTGAACATTTTTTAGTAGCCTGCTCCCAGCTCTCCAGTCATCTCAGCTTGGCTCTGCAGGTTGGTGGCAGCCTGAATCCAGCCCCCAATTTGGGAACAAAACTGAGAGGATGGGAGGGAAGAGCTGCCCTGGTGTCTACAAGTGCGTGGCAGGCCTTGTGTTGGGACAGTTGATAAATCAGGGGTTGTGATGGTGAGCTGTGCTCTGCTGTAGCTCTTTGGCTCATTTCTAATTGCAGGGTGATGGAATGCACGCCGACATTGCGGGCTGTGCAGCCTGGAATGCTAATTCCACGCTGGCCTCTCTCCGTGCCGCGGGTCAGCCCGGGCGGCCGGCGCGGCGCGGCGGAGGCAGCGGCGTGGAGCCCACGAGCAGAGATCAGCAAATTGAATTGTATGAATCATTGTTTTCTGCTCGTAGACCTTTTCTACTCACTGAAACCCACACAGCTAATCTGAGCACTGGTGCTCGGAATATAAATGGCCCTTTGGCAGGGAAGCCACTAGAGAGGGGCAGGAGAAGCCAGAGCAGTCACTGCACCCAGCAGGGGCTTGTGCTCACGGGTCTGGGTGTTACTGGGTTTGAACGTGGCCACAGAGGTCTTGTGTGGGGTGGAGGTGCTCAGCTGGCCTGGAAATAGGACATGGCTTGTCCTTCAGGCACCTCTCTCAATTCTTGTGTGGTGCTGAGGTGCTCAGCTGGGCTGAAGATAGGACGTGGCTAGTTCTTCAGGCACCTCTTGGTGTTTGTGTGGTGCTGAGGTGCTCAGCCAGCCTGGAAATGGGATGTGTCTTGTCCTTCATGTACCTCCCAAGGTGCTTGTGTGGTGCTGAGGTGCTCAGCTGTGCTGGAGGTGGGACATGACTTGTCCTTCAGACACTTCCTGAGGCAGTTTTCCCTCATGTAGCTCATGGAGTGGCAGGAGAATTCTGGACTTGAGTAACTGCAAGTTCCACTGGGGAAGAGGGACTTCATGCTTCCCACAGGGATTCCTCTGGTCAGTAAGGAGTTGGCACTATAGAACCATTGAGGTTGGAAAAGCACTCTGAGGCCTCTAAACATCAACCCTTCACCACTGTGTTCCCTAAGCCATGTCCTTAGTGGAGCAGATGGTCCTTGGAAGGACCAGAGTGGTGTCTAAGTGCTGACAGCCTCAGGGATGGGTGGTCAGGCATTGGAATGGGCTGCCCAGGGAAGTGGTGAAGTCACCATCGCTGGAAGAGTTCGTAAGTGCATGTGGCGCTCAAGGACATGGTTTTGTGGAGTACACAGGTGCTGGGATAAAGGTTGGGCTTGGGCTTAGAGGGTTTTTCCAACCTTAATGATTCCATGAATCTTTAAGTTTTACAATGTGTGAGTTTTTGATGTGTTTGGATAACACCACACCCAAGATCCTGTGCTTGTTTGGCTACTGGAAGAGGTGAGGGCTCTGGGAGGGAGCAGCAGCTTACAGCTTCACGTGAGCTCCCAAATCCAGAGCACTTGTGCTCCATGGGAAAGGTCAGGCTCCTGTGTGGGCTGGCTGCCCTGCCCTGAGTGAGCCACTGTGCTGTCTGTCCTGTTCTCTGCTCCCTCCCTGCATCCACAGTTGTTAACTGGTTTCGAATAGTCTTTTTAGATCAGGAATTCTTGTTAATGGGAGTCCTGAGCGAGATGCAGATCATAATGATAATTAATGAGGGGAACCTTTAATGGAAGGAAGCAGAACGGTTGGAACAGTGGGCGTCCCGCTTTCAGAGCACAGCTGGTGTCCAAGAAGTAGAGAAATGTGGCTTGTCTCACTTCCTTCCCTTATTAAACCCAGCAGGTCTCCTGTCCTGGCTGCAGCGTGGATATTTATAATGCCCCATCCCTGTGGGACTAGAGGGATTAAACTCAGTGTGTTAATTAGCCCAATGGCTCCCTTGGGCTCTTGGCTAGTGAAGAGGCAGTCCCTGAGTACAACAACCCTCCCAGCATCTTCTGGGAAGAGCTGGCAGGTCCTGGTGGCTTGGATCTTCTCCTGGAGAAGCATTGCTGTACCCTGCAAACGGAGAGGGTTTGTTTTATCCAGGAATTGCCAGAGATGGTTGCACTCTGTGTGACCTCCCTCTGAACGAATGGAAGTGAAGGTTCCAGGATGCTGCGTTGGATATCTGATAAAAAGGAGCAGCTGTCCTTGTCCTTCAGCCTCCTGCCATGTGCTTCAGTGTTTGGGAGATGTCCTCAGACTGTCCTTAAGCCCAGCCCTGCTGTAAGACACTCCAGAGAGTTAAGCTGGAGATCTTGAGACCCACTTGTCCTGGTCTGGCCTGTGACTCAGGCTCGGAGAGCACTGTCTGGGGACATTGTCACCTGCAGGCAGCTCCTGTGGCCATGCTGTGAGTGACAGCCTGAGCAGAGGATGGGAATTGTCTCAGGACTGGCACTTTTCAAGGGAGCATCAAGCAGGCTGCCCAGGGCAGTGGTAGAATCACCATCCCTGAAAGGGTTAAAAGAACGTGTGGATGTGGCACGTGGGGACATGGATTAGGGGTGGCCTTGGCTGGAGGAACAGTTGGACTTGGTGATCGTGGAGGTCTTTTCCAACGTAAGTGATCCCATGATTCTGTTCTTTGATCAGGTCACCCCAGTCCAGGGACTTTCCCATTGTCACTAAGCAGAGAGGAGGCAGCAGTGCTCTGACCTCACCTGTGACTCTTTCTCATCCATGGAAAACCTTCCTCATATGAGTTTTTCTCCTCACTTTCCCCAATCCCTTTTTCCCAGATGGAACGACAGTGCTTGGCACGAGAGAAGCAAATGAGAGAAGAGGCTGAGAGGACCAGGGATGAGCTGGAGAGGAGGCTGATGCAGCTGAAGGAGGAGGCAACCATGGCCAACGAGGCTCTGGTGGGTCCCTGGGAGGCCGTTTCCTGAGCACTGCAGCTGCTCCTCACTCTTTCTACTGTGGAAGCGTTTTTGGAAGCACTCTATGACTGCCCTAAGTCTGCTCCCAAACTGCTGCCAGTGGCCAGTGAGCAGCAGACTGGATGGAGCTATTTCATCCTTCTGGGCTGCTTGGGAGGAGCACAAAGAGGATGATTTGGGAGAGAGCCTGGGCACATCCCAGCCTTGGCGGCAGACGGCTGCAGGCTTTCACGGGAGGGAGGGATTCTATGGAGCATGTCGGAGCCAGCAGCTCGGGGCCCTGCTCCAGGGGCTGTGGGCACATTTGGGGAGACATTGACTGTGCTTAATGGCTTTGTGTTCTGGAATTGTCAGATGAGGTCGGAGGAGACGGCGGATCTGCTGGCGGAGAAGGCGCAGATCACGGAGGAGGAGGCCAAGCTCCTGGCCCAGAAGGCGGCCGAGGCCGAGCAGGAGATGCAGCGCATCAAGGCCACGGCCATCCGGACCGAGGAGGAGAAGAGGCTGATGGAGCAGAAGGTGCTGGAGGCAGAGATGTTGGCACTGAAAATGGCCGAGGAGTCGGAGAGGAGGTCAGAGGGTACAACCTCGCAGCTGCTTCTGCCTTGCTTCCCACTCCTTTCAAGTTATCCTCTGAGTTATCCTCCCTCAGTTTCCCATGTGTGTCCAACAGCAAATGGCCCTTTGGCCCAGATGGTTTCCCTCTCCAAAAGCCAGCTCTGCTTTTGGGGGCTTTCTACAACCCTCCCCTACATTCCCCAAAGTATTCAACAATGTTAATAACACTTGGGAGTTGTTCCTCCTCTGGATGGTAGATCTACATTCCCTATTCTCTCCTTGCTTCTTTACTTATCTCTCAGTTGTTCAGTTCTCCTTTCCAGCCATGAGTCCTCTTCCAGGTTAGCCTTGAACAGACACTTTGCTCCTTGTTAAAACTGGTGTTTCCATCCTCCTGATACCCGAGCCCAGGTCCCATGGTGAATGTGGCAGTGAGCAAGTAAAAGATCAGCCTTGTTTCCTTCCAGCTGATTACTCCTCTCTGTGTGAGAGCCTGTTGGGTGTCAGCTCTTCTGCTCGGATGAACTTTACCTTTCTCTGTCTCTTCTTGCCTATTCCACACTGTGATCCTGCTTCTCCATCCTCTCATTCCTCCTGGCTCCAGTCTGATATCTGCTGTTTGCTGTTGGTTTTTGCAGGGCAAAGGAGGCTGATCAGCTCAAGCAGGACCTGCAGGAGGCTCGCGAGTCGGAGCGCAGAGCGAAGCAGAAGCTCTTGGAGATCACCAGCAAGTCTTCCTACACAGTAAGAGGGATCTGTGTTGTAATTCCCAGCTCCCTAGCCTCCTGTGTAGCCTGGAGGAGCCTCCTGCTCCATCCCAGTCATGGAGGGGGCTGAGCTGTCTCTTTGCTGCTCAGAAATCCTGAGCAGTGCTTGCCCTTTTCATCCCTGCATCTCATCCAGCAGAACTTCACTATGCTCTTTTTTTTTTTTTTTTTTTTTTTTCCACCCACCTCTTGCTACGAGAGCAAAGGAGCTGCTGGTGAAATTAAAGCAGCAAATTTTAAACCAATTTAGCAGCCGTGTCAGAGCCACTTTGCCAGCACGTGTGGAGTGCACCAGCTTAGCCATAACCTTTAAAATAGGGTTAAATATGTCCTTTTTCTTGTTAGGTGGGATAAACACTGTTCAGAACCTGTGAATTCATTCTTTGGGCATAAACTGGACCTTCATGTGCTGGAAAAAAACTTAGTTGAAGGGAGATTATTCCATAATTGTCCATTAAGAGGATTTCACACCTTCCTCTGAAGCATCTGTCCTGGTTCCTGCTGGGCACCAAAAAGCCAGACTAGATGACCAGTGCTCTGACTTGTCTGGCAGCTCTTTTCCTCTGCTTCCCTAATTGTGCCTGCAAACCCCATCAGGTGCCTCCAGCCTTGCAGCTCACACCTGTTCCTTCCTGGCTTGGGGGAAGGGGAAGAGAATCAGGAATAGGCTTGATGTGGGAGTTATGGACAGGTCAGCACCGAGGTTTGAATTTGTACCTGCAGGCTCCTTCCCCCTTTGTCTGGAAACTTTATAGGAGCAGATTGGAGAGGGATTGAGATGAAACAACTTTTTATCCCAATTCCCTGGAGTTCACTGCAAGAATATTTGGAAGCTGTTAAAAATAACAGTGATGGAAAATAATCAGGTGCTCTCAGCTCTGGGACACTCAGTCAAGTGGGTGCTGGATAAAGCCCAGCTTTGGAGTGCTCCTTCTTCTACAAGTCACTAGAATTCTGGGATGCACCAGCTCCTTAATTTTGGCTTTGACTTGTGTACAGGGAGACATTTGTCTGTCCTCATTGGAACTGTGCTGTGTGGCTTACACCAGCCGGTGTGGAATTTGGGCAGCTCTTGCACACCATGTTCCCTCATGTTGCCATGTCCATCCGTAGTGAAACCAGCAGAGCCCCAGCTCAAAGCCCTTGTGCTGAAATCCCTGCACAGGGGAGCAGCTGGGTGGCTCTGCTCTCTGTTCCGTGGAATTAGAGCCTCATTAGGGGAATGTTGTGGGATTGCGTGGAGTTCAGCCCCACCCCTCCAGCTGCATCTGCCTGGAGGCAGAGCTGCCACTTCCAAACACATGGGGCCGTGTCCTCTGCCTTCCCTAAAGAGCCCTGGCCTTCCAGAGACATCTGCCAGTGCCTGCTGGGAAGGGAAATGCTTTTTTCCTCCCCATTTTGGTGGCAGAGTCTCCTCATGCAGCTGCTGCTCCTGCTGCCCCTCTCCCTGCCCTGGGATGAGGCCTGCGCTGCACAGACTCCCTGGCTGTTGTTTTCAAGGTGAGGAGGAGGCTGGTGTGCCCAGCATGTCAATATCCAGGTGAAAACACCTTGCTGGGTTCTTCCATCCTGTTACACTTACCTGGATTGCCAGCACATGGGAGGACCCTGTTTTGAAAGCTGTTTTTGGGAGACTTGAGTTCCTCAGCTCTGATGAACAGTGCAGGATTCCAACTTTTCTCTTCCTGAATGGGGATAACATTGGGCATGTTCTTTTCCATGCTCCCAGACTTGTGGTGTCATCCCCTGACACTGGGAGCTCTGCAGGACTTTACAAGAGCAGGAGAGGAGGGAGGGAGTGGATGGATGTAGAATCATTTAGGTTGGAAAAAACCCTTCAGAGATGGAGTCCAATCCCTGACCTAACTCTGCCGCAGAAAAGGCTAAAGAAACAGCTAAATATATATATTTTTCTACTTTCTAGTCTCCAATCCTGGTTCTTTAAAGCTTGTTTTGGTGTCTTTTTAGTCCTTGAAGCCCAGGCTGCTTTTATGATGTCACTGGTAGGTGATGCATGAGAAGTGAGATGTGGATCTGACTCTCAGGCCGTCAGGGCTTGGAGAACGACTCATTCCTTACGGACTTGGCCACAAATCTTTGCCTCCCTCAGTGCCCTTCAGGTGCCAGCTAAAGGCAATCACCTCCTCTCTGATCCTGTGGGAGCTGTAAGTGGCTGGTTTGGGCTTGCCCAAAATAAAGGCAGTGGCAGCACCAGGAGGAGCTTTCTCTGCAGGGGAACCCTCCTGACCTGCTCTGTGCTCCCTCCGGATCCTCCCCTCCGTGTCGCTCTGTATTCCAGAGGGATCCAAGGGATGATCGCTGCCGGCATGGTGCTTGCCTCTTCACGGCAGGAAATTGCTGTAATGCAGGAGCAGGGCTTTGCAGTTTGTTCCAGGTCAGAGAACACATATGGAAAAAGCTCCCTGTCCCTTTTATCACCCCATGGCCCTGGATTAGAAATAACAGCACCTGCTGGAAGAGCTGCCCAGGATTGTTGCAAATGTCAGGAAATCTGCAACAGGAATTCTGTCCCTCTGCCCTGCTCACATGAGACCCCACCTGTAGAGCTGCCTCCAGATCCAGGATCTCAGCACAGGAAGGACCTGGAGCTGCTGGAGAGAGTCCAGAGGAGGCCACAGAGATGCTCCAAGGGCTGGAGCCCCTCTGCTCTGACACCCGAACCATTCTATGATTCTTTTAAATACTTTGCTCCAGATATCAATCCCGTGCCTTTGAGAGCCCTGAACCTGCTCACTCTTTGCTTTTTCCATACTCTTCCTCACTCCTGCTGCTGTCTGATTTCTCCACCAATTTTTTCCTTGCCCCATGGCAGAGCAGTGCCAAGGGAAGAGAAGGAAATAGTGGCTGTAGCAACCTGATGAATTGGCTCAGGCCTTAATGGCTGCAGCAACTGAAATTCGTGCTCAACTGTTACTGCTGCTGTTGGGAGTTTTTAAAAACAAAAACCAACAAAGCTTGTACTGAAAAAAAATAAGCTAAAGGTTGTTTGAAGGCCAACGGGCTGGCTTGGATGCTCCTGGCTCCCCTGCGCTGCAGGGACGGGAGAACCTCACGTGGGAAGGGCTTTGGGAGCGCCTGTGTGCCTTACAGGGAAGGGACTTGAATGTCAATGGGATGCAAGTATTTAAATCAGTTAAGTGCTTTGGCAGACCTGTCCCCTTTCCTTCGAGACTGGAATTTAGGTACTGAGCTGTCCCTTCCAGCGCCTGCTCCAGAATTAATGTGGCTTTGCTCCGTGCTGGCAGCAAAGGGGGAGGAAGGAGTTGAGTTTCCCTGTCATGTGGGTCTTAACTCACCTGGAAGGCTCCAGCCAGGCCAAGTGCACTTTGAGGCACCTCCTTGTTTATGCTTGTATGAGGTGTTTGTGTTCCAGCTTCACCGGTCGATGAAATGTTGTCCCTCTCAGATTTGTCCGAGCTGGGAAGGAGCCGTGGCTGTTTGTGAATTCCAGGCTGGTGGTGAGGGAAGAGGCAGGTTATTGTGCAGAGTAAATCTGTCACCCCAGTGCTTGCAGGTCTTACTGAAGAGGAGCTAACTGAAAACAGTGCTTGGAGTATCCCAAATAGGAGAAATGAGGGGAAGAAAGAGCCAATGGAAGCTCAAACTCTCGTTTGTTAGAGCAGGTACCCAGCAGTGCCATTCCAGGTTTGGGCACGTTGTTTTCCTTACAGGAATCTCTTAAAGCAAGAAGGAGCATGCAGGAGGGAGGTGGGGGATCCTTGGGATGCCGGGGTGGATTTCTCATACCCCAGAGCAGGGCTGAGCAGGCTGGCAGCAGTTGTGACTCAGCCTTGTCTGATGCTGCTGTGCCACCCTTGACGTGTGCCCTGTTTGCCACCTCATCCAGCGTGCTGCAGGAGCAGAGCCATGACTCCAGCAGGCTTTTCCTCTCCTCCTAATGAGCCCATTTGTTAGAGGTGTGACAGAATTTTTGACTGAGAAGAAGAAGGGTCATTTTTTAGGAGAAGATAAAATCTGAGGGCCTGGCAGTGTGTGTCACTGGGGGATAGCAAAGCATTTTGCAGGAAGAAGAAGGTCCCAAATCCTTGCTCAGGTGTTCCAGGAGTGATTTGCTGTGTTATCTCCATTTTCAGCTGAATCTAGAAGTGGTTTCTAAACCTTTGGAGCTGTAAATTACTGAGGAGATAAAAATGTGTTGGTGCACCTCCATGGACCTTGCTGGAATGCATCCTTGGGGTCACATTGGTCTTTGCTCAGGCTTTGGGGAGCTGTGGAGTGCAGGACTCTGCTGTCACACAGGGTCTTACATTGTCCCTGCTCACAGCTTGAACTTTATAAACCTGACTGAATGTTAAATAGCAGACAGATGACTCCCAAGAGGCAGTTTAAAATGACACAGCGGTGATAAAGCCTTGATTTTACCAAGTTGTGTCAATAGATTTTGAAGGCAGGTGGTGTTTTGTCTCCTCTTTTTGGACTGCAAAGAATCCTGGAGGAGCAATGGCTTTGAACTGAGGAGCAAATTGGGAGTGGAGCAAGGGGATGTCCAGGCTGGTCTTCTGCTCGGGACTCTGAGCTCAAGTGTTGCTCTGATTTTAGGTCGGCATTGTAGAACCTTGGCTGTAGTGACCCTTGTGTGGCCCAGAGTGATTAACTTGTGCTCTCTCTTCAGCAGTCCATGAACTCGAGTACCACAGCACTGCCCACTGACCTGCCAAGCTACAACCTCATCAGTGAGAGCCTCTCCTTCGACTTCAAGGATACAGACATGAAGAGGCTGTCCATGGAAATCGAGAAGGAGAAGTACGTGGCACACATCCAATCCAGGCTGGGCTGGGATTTGTGCTGGATGTGAGCCAGGTGAAGCCAGGAAGGTCAAGGGCACCTGGGCTGTGCCAGCCCTGGGGTGGCAGCAGGAGCAGGGCAGTGCCCGTCCCCTGAGCTGGCACTGCTGGGGCACCTCCAGTGCTGGGGCAGCTCTGGGACCCTCCTGACAGGAGAGACCTGGAGGGGCTGGAGCGTGTCCAGGGCAGGGAACGGAGCTGGGAAGGGGCTGGAGCCCCAGGAGAGGCTGAGGGAGCTGGAAAGGGGCTCAGCCTGGAGAAAAGGAGCCTCAGGGGGGACCTTGTGGCTCTGCACAGCTCCTGCCAGGAGGGGACAGCCGGGGGAGTCGGGCTGTGCTCCAGGGAACAGGGACAGGAGGAGAGGGAACAGCCTCAGGCTGGCCAGGGGAGGCTTAAGGTTCATATTAGGGAACATTTCTTCATGGAAAGAGCTGTCCAGCCCTGGCACAGCTGCCCAGGGCAGCACTGGAGTCCCCATCCCTGGAAGGATATAAAGGGCATGTGGATGTGGCACTTGGGGACATGGGGCAGTGGTGGCCTTGGCAGTGCTGGAAAATGGTTGGACTTGGTGCTGTCAGGGGGCTTTTCCAACCTGAACAATTCTGGGCTTGTCCTGGCTGAGCCTTTCCCTGGTGGGGACCTGGTCTCACAGACCTGTCCCTGCCACCTGCTCACAGGTGAGCTCAAGGCCCTGCTCCAGGAAATTCTTCTCCTTGTGGGAATCCTGGCTCCTGCTCAGGCTGGAACTGGCCACGGTGGTGGAAAGAGTTAACAGCAGGCTGAGTGCTGGAGACCTGAGCTTGAGGCTTTGTGGGTGTCCAGGGAATGTGGTGATAGCTGGGGTGTGTTAAGGTCCTGCACTAGGGCTTTAACCCCTTTTCCTTGGAATTTGTGTCACGTTCCTGGATAAAAAGTGTTCGCCAGCAAGTTTGGATGTGATTATGAGCTTTGATCTTGTGTTTTCCTGAGGGTGTAAGTGTAGTCTTCGAAATTACCAATTGAGCAGAAATCAAAGCAGATCAGATTGTAATCTCTGTAGTAATGATGTGCTTTGTTCATCGATTGGGTCATAGATCAAAGCCACAATGGCTCTGTCATCCCGCTCTGGCCAAAACTTCCTGAGGCTGGAATGACACCCCTGGATCCCAGAGGCTGCTTTGGTTTGCCTCTGCTCAGTGCTCTCTCCTGTGTATGAAATCACAGACCTAGAGACAGGAGATTAAGAACTTCTAAAAACTTTTCCCAAAGCCAGAAGGAAAAAGATAGAAGCTGAAAATAACAGGATAATTCCTGGTTCTGTACCCAGGTTGCTATCTAGGTCATCCTGCTCTCCTGAGCAGGGAGAGCTGCCTCTGCCAAATGCTGAAAGCAATAGGATGCTTTTCCTGTCTTCTCTGGGGCTGTTCTCTTTCCTCGGGTGCTGGGATAAACCTCTTTACAAATTTTGGCACTGGAAGGGGTTCCTGTTACCCTGCTGGCCCTCTGACCTAGCTCAGGGGGTTAATAACAGGCACAAAACTCAGGAGGTGATTTTTCCAGTTGATTTTTCATTGTGGAAGGCAGTTCAGGATGAGTCCTGGGAGTGGCTGGCTTTGGGAGTTGGATTTTCCCTTTCTTGCTTTTTTTTTTTGGGAGACTTTCTCTCTGCCAGGGGTGCTCTGTGTCTACAGGATACCTAATATTTTGGGGACAGTACTTGCTCCCACACAGTTTATGAGCTAAATCTCTCTAAAATACAAGAAGTCACTACATCAGGGTTCTTCCTCATGGAAAGATTTGTGGATTTGTCTTGTGGAGCAGGTTTGGGAAGGGGTGCAGGTGTGTAGAGCACTCCTGAGTAGCTGCTTAAACCACTGTGTGGTGTAAACCTCTGTCAGCTTCACTTGCAAACTGGGAGACTTAAAAATACCACCCAGCTTGGGTTTAATTTTGTATAATAATAATAATATAACTTACACTTTTATTGCTGGGTTGGCTGTCTGGGTCCCCTTTAATAAGGAACAAATAATTGCTCTGAGTTGCTCACTGTGTGCTATAAACTGATATTATCAGTTCCACACGCTAAAAATAATGAAGAAAAGCTGTTTCTGTTATAATTCTGTTATCAGGTGTCACGTCAGCAGGTGTAGCTGGTCAATGCTAACCAGGCCTGTTCTGTGTGTGTGTTAGGGTGGAGTACATGGAGAGGAGCAAGCACCTGCAGGAGCAGCTCAACGAGCTGAAGACAGAAATCGAGGCACTGAAGCTCAAGGAGAGAGAGACAGCTCTGGATATTTTGCACAATGAGAACTCCAGCCGGGGCAACAGCAAGCACAACACTATTAAAAAGGTATCAGAAGGCCCCAGTTTGTATCTCCCCTGATGAAACCCTTTAAAGAGAACCCTGAAATCACCCTGCTTTTGATAATAAAATTGTTGGATCTAGGCTTTCTTCCCCAGCTGCTTAGCTTTGATCAGAGTATTCCAGCTTCTGGTGGTCCTGGTGTCCTGACCCAGCCTGGTCTCTCCAGTGCTGTGGGAAGGGATGTGAGGGTCTCCAGGGCTGAAGGTCTTTCTGAACCTTAAAAGCTGTGCAAGGATGTTGTTGGAAGGGTTCTGCATCCCCAGTGAACAGGAAAAGCCCTCCCTGCCTATTGCAGCCATTCCCTACGAGCACTGAGCTTGTCTGGTGAATAATGAGGGCAGAAATACTCCTGGCTTAGGAGCTCTCAGTGGAAAAAGCCAAAAGCTCTTCCTCTCTTTTAATCTCTCTAGAGAAACCTGTAGTGCAGCTTCAGTCACTAACAGCAAAGCCTTTGCTGGCAGGGGGTGTGAGACCTCTGCTCCCTGGAGCCACCTGCCTCCCACAATGGAGATGACATGAGGAACTTCAGCCAAAAATTGAGGCTTCCTGGGTCTGGGACCTGGGGGTCACCTGAAAGCTCACAAAAAAACCCTTCTTTATTTTTCTACATCCCATCTTCTTCCTTTGCCTCAGTGCTGGGCTCTGTAACGAGGGGCTGGGGCACATCCACGATGGATTTGGCTGGTGGTGGTCAGCCCCACTCACCTGCAAAGGCTTTTTTCCCTGCAAAGGCTTTTTCCTGGCTGGCTTTCTGCTAGCAGCTGTCCTCAGGAAGGATTCAGAAATCCATACGGCACGGGATGCAGGCTGTGGTAACAACTGCAGGCTTAAAAACAAATTCTACTCTCTTTACTACTCCCAGCCAGAAGTTATGTCTGAAAGGATTTGGAAATATCAGTTCTTGCTGACTTTCATGGCTGGGAGTTTGTGATCACTGAATTGGGGCAGGAAAATGAATCTAGCGGGGCTCACTCGCCAGTTTCCCCGTGCTGGCCTGGAGCTATTCAGGTTCCTGTCACACTAGAGCAGAGAAAATAAAAATCTTCACAACCCCTTTTGTCATTGTAGAATCTGGAGGCGTTTCTGCTCCCAGTAGGTTTTGGAAGGATTTGTCTCTGTGTTCCACGTCCTTGGTTTAAACAGAAACTGCTAAATTTTCACTTCTGACAGAGAGGAGTTCATAGAGAGATGATGGTCCCATTTGTCTCCCTTAAAGAGGGTGGCTGGGCCATCATTACTGTGTCTGTCAGGGCTTGTCACAGTGCCGTCACTTTGCCTGCCTTTGAAGATGGAGTCTTGTCCTGTCCCCTCCCTTCCGGAGGGAGCGAGGGCTGCCCAGCTGCTGCATCTCAGCACAGAGCAAAGGTTCCCAAATAATAGACTATTAGTGGAGACATCAGAGGGAAATTACAGCCTGCTCTGCTCGGGGAGGTCAGCAGGGCTTTTGTCTTCACCGTGGTGAAGGCAAGGAAACACAGGGCATGGGAATGGGATATCTGTCCAGCAGTACTTCAATGGCACCAACCCTCTGCCTCACCTGGAAGCTGCTGGTTGCTCCAGGCAAGCCCTAAGATCCCACAGATCACCTGCCCTTGTATCACACACGGGGATTATTATTATTATTTGTTGTTCATTTTATTTTGCTGGTTTAGCCTCAAGCCCAGGGCAGAAGACCTATCTGCATTTGAGAATTCCAAGTAGGTTATTCCAAGGTACTCTGCGTGGGGGTGCTGGGATCTGGCTGTGGCACTAACCCGTGCATGAGCTTGCCTGCGCTCCAGCGGGACCGGCTGCCCGTGGTCACCCGTCCAGCCCGGCTCTCCCTCCCTCAGGAGCACTCCCAGCCCCTCTGCATTTGTTCCTACACCTGATCCTCCGTGCTGAGAAGCTTCTTTCTTGGCAGAAGTTGTGTTGGCAACCTCAGAGGGGGAGTTCAGGTAGAGGCACTTAAATAATTCAGCGTGCCTGTTTTTGCACCTGTGGTTGGGAATCTATTGGAGGTGCAGGGCAGCCTTTGAAGATTCCTTTAATGAAGTAAATCAGCACCTTCCCCCCTTGTTTGTTGCAGAAAGAAATTCAGGATGTAGAAAAAACCACCCCAAACAAACAGCCAAACCCCATCATCTCTGCTGCCAACACTGTCAAAACAGGCTAAAAATGCACAGCTCCGTCTCGGAGCCAAGCAGCACAAGGATGCTCTGCCTGTTTGAGAAGCATCCCAGGAAGTAAAGCAGAGGATTGAGGACAACTGGTGTCGGCAGGTGGCTCTTATGCCAGGGGAAGGTCACCAGCACACCTGGGGACAGGAGCTGTCCTTCTCCCTGCACTGCCTCTGCCTGTCTCTCAGCTCATCCTGCCTAGGGTCCTGCTCCGTTATTGCCACATCTCTTATTCCTGGAACCTGCTTTCCTCCAAGGACTTGCCCTCAGTCTGCAGGCTGTATGTGCCTCAGGCTGAGGGAGCATCCACTCCCTCCTTCGGGAGGATGAGTTTGGGGGAGCTTTCCTGCTCTGCCCTGGGGCAAAGTTCTTGCACAGCCATAGGGTTTCGGGAGCTTGGAGTCAGTGGCACTCAGGAAAGTACTGGGATACCACACTCACAGGTGGCAGAGCTGATGGAAAAGGCTTTTGGAAAAGATAGAGCAGTTCCCTGGTACCTCTGGAGCTCGGGAGCAGAGGCAGGAGGTTGTTTTACCCAGGAGAACTCAGCACAAGGCTGTGCTGTTCTTCACTGCACCAGCCATTCCAGGGGCTGTAAATCCCTGGAGTTTGAGGTTTGTGCCAGCTCTGGGGAGCTCCAGGTGTTCCCCAAAACAGGCTGCTCTCACTGTTAAACAGTTCCATGGGGAAGAGGCTAAAAGGGGTGACCCTGCAGGTCTGGGCCTCCTTGAGGGAGGTGCTGGATATGTCCAGACAGACTGACTGTGGATTAAATGCGTTATCCCATCCCACCTGGCTTGAAGAGCTCCATGGCAGGTAAATTTGGGGTAAAATCCACTTGTGGCCACAGCACAAGGAGGTGAAATGAAGTCCTGGCAGTTTGTGGGAAGACTCTTCCAGCAGCTGGGAGAGCTGCAGTGCCCAGAAGGAGCCCCCATAATTAAAGCATCTGCAGAGCGAGCGCTGCAGTGTGACCTCTGGGGTTTGGTGCCTGCCTTTGAAGGCGCCTGCTAAGTTTTTCATGTTTAATTACGTGGTTAACATGCTAATCCCTTTTTATGAGCTCTGTGGGCACAGCACAGACACCTCATCTGGAAGCTGCTCTCCCTTCTCCACAGCTCCCTGCCGTGGGCTGGTGCTGTGGCTCCAGCTGGCTCCGATTCAGGAGGGTTTGTCACTTAGTCTGTGGTACAGGGTGAAAAACCCACTTCTTCCTCATCTCCTCCGCTGCAGGAAAGCTCCCAGGACAGGCTGCTAAAACACAATCAGGTCTTTGATTCCAGTTGCTTTCTTCTTGCACAGTCATGCTTATTTACTGGGATTTAAGCCCTTTGAAGTACCCAGGCAAGGAGCAAATCTCCACGCCTGTTCCCAGACAAGCAGCTTTGTCGTTGAGCCTCTGGTCCTTCCACAGGCAGCCTTAGCCTCTCCTGCCAGGCTCTCACGTGGCTGAGAGCAGCTTCTCCAGGGCTTGAGCTCAATCCCTGGGGATCACTTTTGGAGCCCATGGGGATCCTGCAGATCCTGCTGGCTCCTTTCCTGGCTCTGATCCTGGACATAGTTGCCCTTGGCTTGGATAATGATCATTGTGGAGATGCTTTGAGATCCGAGCTTCAGTGTTCAAGCTGGAGAAGAGAAGGTTCCAGAGAGACCTTAGAGCCCCTCCCAGTGCCTAAAGGAGAGCTGGAGAGGGGCTTGGGACAAGGGATGGAGGGACAGGACACAGGGAATGGCTTCCCACTGCCAGAGGGCAGGGATGGATGGATACTGGGAAGGAATTGTTGGCTGTGAGGGTGGGCAGGCCCTGGCACAGGGTGCCCAGAGCAGCTGTGGCTGCCCCTGGATCCCTGGCAGTGCCCAAGGCCAGGCTGGACACTGGGGCTTGGAGCAGCCTGGGATAGTGGAAGGTGTCTCTGCCCATAGCAGGGAGTGGGACTGGATGGGCTTTAAGGTCCCCTTTGGATTTAGTCAATGAACAGTTCCCAGCTGGAAGCACAGAGGGGTGAGTGGGGCAGAGCCAGAAGGGATTTCTGCAGCCTTGTCTTCCCTCCTGCCACCTTTGGGATAGGCTGTGGTCTGTCCTTGTGAGGACACTGGTGGCTGATGATGGCATTGCTGCCTGAGTGTTTCATCATGCAGACAGGGTGTGCCATCCCCAAATGTCACAAGGCTCCTTCGTCATCTGGACAGGTGGAAGGATTTTGGGAGGCTGGCACTGGGGCAGATGCTTTCTCTATTTTCTACCTGCACCAGGGGAGCAGTGTGCTAGGGATCACTGAAACATGTCCCTTGAGGACTTCACAATTCCTGTGGGGTCCCTGTCACCTCCTGGGGATGCCCTTCCTCATCTCTCCCCTTCTGGAGCTGCAAATTCCCTGGAACAGGTCTGTTTTGCTCTAGTAGTTTGTTGGGAGAAGGAGGATGTGCCCCTTGCAGAGAGAAGGGACCAGCACAAGGAATGCTTTGGAAGGACAAAAGGAGAGAGCCTGGGTGGGACAGAGCAGGCTGAACTGCCATCCTTCCCTGTGCTTCTTGGGACAGGGATGAGATGCTCCTCAGTCTCCTGCAGGGCTCTATAACCCAATGCCAGCTGGAAAGGGAAGGCAGAACGGGCACACCACCAGCAAGGGACTTCCCAGGAGCAGCAGCAGCGGCATTTCCCATTTCCTTGGGAGCTGTGAAGTTGGAAAGGATGAGTGAGGCTGCCAGCTTCTCACTCAGCCTGGCACCTGGCTGGGATGCAGGTGGGAGCCAGGAGATACCCAGTGGGCAGAGCAGCTCTGGGAACACATTTTCCTAGTGCAGAAGGAGACAGAGGCTCATCCCATGTGGATCTTGCCCACACACCCCCACGTGTGACAGACCACATCCCTTCCAGGTTCGTTGTCTTCCCGGTTCTCCTTGGAGCTGGGAAGTGAAACTCCCAGGCAGTTAAACTGGGACACAGCAGCCTCTTTTCCTTGTTTACAAGGAGCAAGAGGAAAGTAGGAAACGTCAGGCCTATCAGCTATTTCTGTGGCAGCCTTTGAAAAGCGTTTCCTTCACATGGAGCGTCATCTTCTCCTTTCAAATGGGCTCATCAAAGCGTCGGGGGCTGGGGGACAGTTGTGCTCGGGAGAGAATAAACGTCAGCGTGGGAGGGAGAGAGGAGCGGGGAGGGAAATGGGAAGAATCACAGGAAAATAGGCTTTGGGTTCAAAAGTAACACAATGGGAATTGAGAGATCCACCTGGGCAGTGGGACTGGGGGGGGAGTGGGCAGGGATGGAGAAAAGCACCAGGGCAGCAAGTGGGGAATAAAGAGGATTTATTGTGTGGAGCACTGGGTGGTGATTTGCAAGGACTGTAGATCTTCCCAGCAGTAGGAAAACATCTTGGCATCTCACAGGATGAGGGTGACACAGGTCCCCCTCTCCTCCAGCCAGCCATACTGCAGGATAAACACGGAAACAGCAAGAAAATGAGACATCTTGAACCTCTCCCTGCTGGGGGAAACCTGGGGGCAGGTTGGTGTTAGTTGCAGCCCCTTCCTATTGCATGGGGATGGCCCAACTCTGGGGGCTCACAGGAGCCTTGGGGGGTTTCCCTGGATTGGGTTTGCCCAGCCTCAGCAGTGCTGTGCCTGCAGTTACTGGATTACCTGCTCCAAACTGCCTGTGCCTGCCAGGCACTTACTGGGTTGCTTTGGTTTGTTTCTGTTTCCTAAATCAAATCAGTCCGGCAGCCCTGGGTAGCAGCAGGCTCAGAGGAGCCCCAGTGCAGGAATGCAGGGAGCAGGACTCTTCCCTCTCTTCCCTTCCTGAGATCTTGATTCATTTGAGCTCAGGCCGCTTAATTGCGCTGCCTCTCTCTCCCTCTAAATTTTCCTTGATGGCTCTGGTAGAGCATCGGGAGCCCACCCTCCCTCCTGCAGGAAGGAGATTATCATAATACTGCTTGTAAATCAATTTTTTTTTCCTTTTCTCCGCACTGACGAGGATGTAACTCCCTCTTAATCACCCTGCACAGCGTTACGCTATGGGGTGGGATATTTATTTCTCCTCGCCTGGCCAGAAGGGGATGCAGAGACTGCGGAAAGATTTTGGAGGTGTTGGAGGCTTTCCCCCCAACAGATGATGGAGATGCCAGCACAGGATGGTGCTCTCCCCTTTGCTTTCATATCCCAGTGCAGAAAAGAAAGGAAAAGCAGTTGAGGGAGTGCGATTTCCCTGCAGAGAGCTCCCTGTGCCCACCGGCTCCCGCTGCCCCCAGGGTGCCTGCTGGGAGGAGTCAGGATGGTCCCGGAGCTCTTCCCACCTTCCCCCAGTGCATCCCTCGGAACTGGTCCATGTGGTGCTCCGAGTGGGAGCAAGGATAGCCCTGTCTGCACTCCACAGTGAGGCAAACAACAACAAAAGAAGGAGAAAGGGCTGGGGGGAGTTTTCCCCCTGGCACAGGCAGTGAAGAGTCAGGGTGCAGTGAAGAGCAGCCCTGATTTCCTCTCGAGTGGTTCTGGAGCCTGGCTGCAGTGGGATGTGAGGAGGCAGCTGCCTGGAGCTGCTGGGCAGCCCCCATCCTGGTCCTGGTCCTCAATGGAAGGGACCTTAAACCCCATCCAGTGCCCCCCCTGCCACAGGCAGGGACACCTCCCACTGTCCCAGGCTGCTCCAAGCCCCACCCAGCCTGGCCTTGGGCACTTCCAGGGATCCAGGGGCAGCCACAGCTGCTCTGGGCACCCTGTGCCAGGGCCTGCCCACCCTCCCAGGGAGGAATCCCTGTGGTGTTTGCCTTTCAGGTGGCAAAATCTGGCCACTGCTGGGAGCCAGTGACCCACAGGGCACGGCCCTCTTGGGAAGTCTGTGCTCACTCCTCTCCATGGGATCCCATCTCCTCCAGAGCTGCCTTTGCTCTGACTCCCTGTAACAGGTAAAAAAAGGGAGCCTCTGAGCCACTGAGCCTCTCTAGGAGCCTTTGGATATTGTGGATAAAAGCATCCAGCAAAGGAGCAGGGCTGCATCTCTCCCTTCTCCCTGTGCCTGTGCTGGATGCTCCGGAGCTCTACTGGAGCTCTGCCTCCACCTGCTTCCCAAATCTCCAGCTGAGGCAGGCACAGCTTTGGGCTCAGGCCGCACTCGGGGGTACCCCAGGACCCCCAGAACACGTGGGGGGTTAATGGAGAGCTGTGTGTAGCTACAGGCAGAGAGCCAGGCTTGAAACAGTGGGATTCCTTGGTAAGCCCGAGGGAAACATCTTCCCTGTGCTCCGTCAGCAGCTGCAGCTTTGCCAGGATGATCCTGCAGGGAGCTCCCCTCACTGTGCTGGGAAGGAGTGAGCCCCTGTGGGCTGGGAGAGGTGGGAGGCTCTGGTTCCCCAGCCAGTCTGCAGAAAGGATGGATTTGGAGGCACAGCCTTGGGAAGGAGATGGATGCCAGGTAGATAATGGAATAATGGAATGGTGTGCATTGGGAGGGTCCCTGAAGTTCATCTCCTTTCACCCCCTGCCATGGCAGGGACACCTTCCACCAGCCCACGCTGCTCCAAGCCCCATCCAACCTGGCCTTGGACATTTCCAGGGATCCAGGGGCAGCCACAGCTGCTCTGGGCACCCTGTGCCAGGGCCTCCCCATTCTCACAGGGAGCAATTCCTTCCCAATATCCCATCCATCCCTGCCCTCTGGCAGTGGGAAGCCATTCCCCTTACCCTGTTGCTCCAGGCCTTGTCCCAAGTCCTTCTCCAGCCGTTTTGGACCCCTTTAGGCACTGGAACACTTCCAGAAATGGGCCCAGCAGTGGGTCTGGCAGCAGCCTGGGGCTCTCTGCTCCTTTTTTTTTTCCCTCTCCAGCCTTAGAGAGGAAAAACACTGCCTGTATCACACAGAATCCCTGTCCCACCTCACCCACCTTCCAGCCAGCTCTGGAGGGGATGCTGGAGCAGCCAAGGGGCTGCTGAGGAGGAGGAGAGCTAGCCCTGGCCCAGAAGCTGCTGCCGAGAAAGATTATTAAGCCCCTGTAGAAATTTCCTCTGCAATACAGATTTTTTTCCAACCAGCATTAGAGCTGAGAAGGAATTACTGAGGAAAAGCCATGGGGGAGAAGCAGGGAGGGGGAAGGCACCTGACTGCTCCATTGAGGGGCTTAACTCTCTGTAAGGTGATCCCTTACAGAAACAGGGTTCCTGTTTCAGCAAAACCGGCATTCCCGGGAAGGCACCGTGCTTAATCCAGCTGAAACAGAGCCCTGGCAATTAGCCCATGCTTTGGCAAACTCCTGGTGATCCAGCAGCTGGTGGAAGGTGGCACTTCTGCTGCTGCACTCCACTGAGTGGTTGGCTGTAAATCCTGGGATTTCTTCCCTGCCACTGAGGATTTCCTTTATCTTCTTTGGCCCGTTAGCAAGTGGGCTCACGGCTGCTCCGTGGGGTATTATTTGTGGGATGGCTGTGGAAAGCTTTCCAAGGGTTTCTGAGTCCTGCAGAGCCTGCAAGGACAGTCCTGGGAGTGAGGGCTCTCCAGCTCTGTCCTGTGGCAGAACAGTGGAGTGGAGTGGGATGAGATGAGATCCCAGGGTGGCTGCATGGATCATATGTGGTGGGATGGGGTTGGATGTGAGCACAGAGAGGATGGGCCCCGTTTGGTGACAGAGGAGACACGTGTCCTGTGGCTGTCGCAGTTCTGGGTTCTCAGCTCAGTGAGGTGTTTCTCCTCCAGCTTCTCAAGATCCCTGTATGTCCTTGTCAGGGGCCCCAGGACTGGCTCTTTGGATCCAGTCTCCCATGTATTCCAATCCTGGAAGCCTCAGCCATGCCAGTGACCTTGATGAAGTCTCTGCCCCCGCTTTCCCTCGGGCTGTGCTTGCTGTGGTGGGGGCTGCACGACCCCCGGCTTCCGCAACCCCTGGGCTTCCACATTCCCTGGCGTTTGCAGAGGGATGCAGGCAGCAGCTCCCTCCTGGGAGCCCTGTGGGAGGTTGGGGTGCCCCCTGATCCCGCTCTGCTCTCTTCCAGCTCACCCTACAGAGCACCAAGTCCCGTGTGGCCTTCTTCGAGGAGCTCTAGGAAACAACTGCTCCGCACCGCCGCTGCTTCCCAGCGGCCCCGCCCGGCCGGAGCTGTCCCGGAGCCGGGGCTGCCGGAGGGAGCGCCCCGGACCCGCCGCTGCTCCAGCCTCTGCACACCCACGGACTCGGGGCCGGCTGCCCACGGACTGTGTGATGTTCTCTAGCTTAGCAGCCGTTCATCCTTCTCCTGACACTTTGTTTTCCTGCGTTTTCCAGCTTTTTTTTTTCCTTATTTTTGTAGCATTGCTTCCAGGCTCGGCCCTCCAGGCTTTTCCCTGGAGCCGGGGTCGGGGCTGTGGCCGTGCCTTCCCACCCTGGCAGCCAGCAGAGGAGTGTACCCGAGGGTCTCCCTGGGAGGGGTTGTCACCCCTCTGGGTTGCCTTCTCCTGGGCTCTGGAGCTTGGTGTGCCAGCCCGGAGCTCCTTTGCCGGTCTGGAATTCCACGGGCCGGCCCTGGAGTCCCTGCTCGCTCCCGGAGCCCCGTGCTGTGCCGGGAGCTCCATTAGGATCCCGAGCATGTTCCAGTGGAGTGCTGTAAATCAGGAACGTCGCGCTGGCTCTCCCAGCGCCCGCTGGGGTGGGAGAGGAGCAGGGAGCGGGAGGACAGGGACCTGGGGCTGGGGGGATGCTGGGCTGCTTCTCTGGGGAGAGGAGGTGGGAGGAAGGGCTCCTCCTCCTCCTCCCTGCTGGGAACAGGGAGCGGGAGAACAGCTAGTGCCAACCAAATGAAACCTTACTGTTCCTGCAAACTGTGACAAACCCGAGCAGCTTCAGGCTGGAGGGATCCGGGGGCTCCGGGCTGGGCTCTCCCTGGGTCCCGGGGCATCCCAGCCCCTCGGAGGCTCCCGGGAATGCCGCTGTCCCGGGCTGGGCCCGGGGCTGCCTGCTCCTGCCTGTCCCATCGCGGGTGCCTTTGCTCTGACCCCCCGCGGGGGGAACAGGGATGCCTTGACCTTCCCTTCCTGTCTCCGTCCTGTGCCCCTCCCGGGTGGAATCCTCTTCCAGCTGCGTTTACCCCCAGCAGAGCCGGTGCTGCCCCGGGGATCCCTCACATCCCCTCAGGACCCCCAGTTCCTCCTTCCCACAGCCTCACCTGACCCACAGCCCCACCGGAGGCTCAGCCCGGGACTAAGCGTGGAGTAAATCCCATCCCATCCCTGTTTATTTAAACCCTGGGATCGATTCCCTGCACGTGGCTGCAGTTCGGATGGCTGTGGCCTGGCACAGCCGCTTTCCCATTCCCTGGACTGTTGTACTCCGAAGGAATAACTGTTTTCTCCTGTTTTAATAAAAATTCACAGCACTAGGAGGGGAGCTGAGGCTTCTTTGCTTTTTTTTTTTTCTTTGGGAAAAGCTGCTGGGAGCCCGGCTGCCGCAGTTAGCGGTGCCGGGATTAATGGGAGGCGCAGCTGCAGTGCTGGGATCCCTCCGGGGCTCCCGCGGCACCGGGAGAGCTCCAGGGTCCCGCTGCCCCCGCTCCCTCGGGGCTCTCTTCATCCCTCCTTGAGGGAGAGGGGTTTGGGGTGCCCAGAGGGGCTGAGCCCGGTGTTTGCCATTCCTGATCCCGTCCTGCCTGGAATGAATAAAGGATGTGCTGCATTGACCTCAATTTTCTAATTAATCACGGATGAAACCGGCCCAGCCCGGCGAGCCCCGACCCCCGGGACTGTTCCTGGCCGGGATCGGCGATGGATGCGCTTTTCATCCGCCCTCCGGCAGCAAAATCCCGGGAGATTCACGGAGCTTCTGACCAGAGCTCGTCCCCGCGGGTGGGCTGGGGGATTTTTTTCCGGTTTTGTTGTTTTAAGCAGGGCTGGGATGGGATGGGATGGGATGGGTGGGTGTGCTGAGGATGCACTGGGTGAAGCCAGGCATGGATCCTCCTTTGGCTCGGGGGTCCCTGTTGCTCCCAGGTGCTCTGCACAAAGCCCTGCACACTCCTGGCCTTGCACTCTCAGAGCTTTGCACACCCCCAGTGTTGCCTCTCACACTCCCAGCCCGGTGCCATCTCCCTGCCCGCCCTCCCTGGCACATCCCAGACCATTTTTCTCCAGTCAAAGGAAGTTTCACCCTGATTTTTTCCCTTTTTAGCAAACTGAACTCAACAGGAGCTGCGGGTGTGGGTTGGTGTGAGCTGCCTTTGCTGGAGGAAAAGAAACCATCAAAAAGCCTTTGCCATGCACCTCTCCCAGCCCCTTCCCCGCCATGGGTTCCTGAGGAAGGAAATTGGGGGTTTGGCCAATCCCAGGAAACATCTGAACGCTTAGGCAGCAGTTCTTCACCTTGGGCTCCCAAAATCTGTTCAACTCACATTATTTCACTTCCAAACCACTAAATACTCTCAAAAATAGAATAAAATGTTGAGAGCTGGGGATGAAAGGGTCGGAGGGGACACAGGGTGACCTGTGGATGGCAAGTTCCAGGGCCAGCAGCCCTGGAGGGGCGTCAGGGTGCTGGTTCAGAGCATGCACATCTGGGCCAGCAACTCCTTCAGGAAAAGAACAGAGAATGGGCAGAGGGGATGGATGGGGAAACTGAGGCAGGGATGGCTCTGGCCTGGCTGTGCAGCCCAGGGGCTGCTGGTGTGGGCTCCCCACACCCACGGGCTGCTGCTCTGTCCCCCCACTGTCCCCCTGCACCCCGGGGTGCTGCCAGGCCCTGGGTGCCTTGGGGGACAAGGGAGGTGTCACTGTGGGGACAGGGGGACACTGGCAAAGCCCCAGGCAGGGCTGGGGAGCTCCTGCCCGTGTTGGGGGGTGTGTGCATGAGGGAAGGGTGTGAGCACAGGGCCCTGTATGGCACACTGGCACCTGGCCATGGGCCACCAGCAGGACAGGCTGGAGCTGGGGGGATCAGGGCATGCCAGGGCTGCAGGAGGCTCTGTGGGGTCACCCTCTGCCCACTCACATCCTGGTGGGAACTGGGGGAGCAGCCCATGGGACACCCCAGCGCTGTCCACAGGCACCCCGGGGTGCTCAGAGCAGCCAGTGCTCCGGGCAGCTGAGGAGGTAAAACACTGTACCCAGGGGTCACAGCCAGCTGGATCCTGCTCTTCTCCTGAGGGCATGGGGACCTCATTCCCCCAGGGCTGCCAGCTGCCAGCCTGGCATTGTCCCTCCATCCCCATCCATCCATCCATCCATCCATCCATCCATCCATCCATCCATCCATCCATCCATCTGTCCCCATCCATCCACCATCCATCCATCCATCCATCCATCATCCATCCATCCATCCATCCATCATCCATCCATCATCCATCCATCCCCATCCCTCCCCGCTGAGGGCAGGCACAGCGCCGCTGGCTGTGCCCCTCCACCTTTGTCTTCCAGGGAGTAAAAAAGGGGATGGAAATGAATTTAAGAGAGAGAAGGGAGGGGAGAGGCAGCCTCGATGGGCCGGGCACCCCGGGCCAGCCCGGCCCCCGGCCATGTTCCTCAGGGATTGCGTGCAGGGAAGCTGCAGCTGCGGAGCCAGAGCCCCCGGCTGGGGCCAGAGCTGCCCGCTCAGCCCGGGAGGGGAGAATGCACGGATGTTGTGGAATCAAATGGATGCAGAGCTGCTCCAGCTGCCAGCGAGCAGAGGGTGAATTCCTGGAGCCGAGTGTGGGGTTTTGGGTGAGGTGTGATGGATGTGGGATCGTGGTGGGCGGCAGGATCAGGCAGGGGCTGCCATCCCTGCCCTGGGGCCGGATCTGGAGCAGGAATGCTGGAGTCCCACTGCCATCACCTTCTGCTCGGCCACAGGGACACTGGGCATTGTCACAGCCCTGCAGGGGTGTGCCTGCTGCCCCTTTCTGGCTGTCCTGGCACTGGGTACGGCTGGAGCCTGGCACGGGGTAGCACCAGACCCCACCAGATTTCAGCATCCTGGCACTGGGTACCGGATTCTGGCATCACAGAGCATCCCACTGCAACAGGTCACAGCATCCTGGAGAGATGAAGCTGATGCTTCTCTGCACCAGCAGCGGGATGGGAGCAGAGCCAGGCCTGGCGTCCCGGAGGCAAAACTCCCTCCAGGAGCCACCACCTTTCCTTCTGAAAATGCCACATGCCTCCCTGTGCTCCGGCACTCCTCCCTGGGCAGGCTGTGCTCTCCAGCACCGTGACTCTGATGCTGAAATGAGCTTGAGGGTCTTTCGATGAGATCTCTGCGAGTTGTTTCTTGCTCCATCTCCTGGCAGGAGCAAGCAGAGTCAGCGCTGCCCTCAGCATCCTGGGCTGCATCCCTTTGGAGGGGTGCTAAGAACAGACTCATGTCGATTCTTGCCATTTTTCCATGAAGAAAAATTCCCCCTAAGCAGAATTCTTGCCTCCTCCCCTGGCAGGGCTATTTTCCCCCTCCAGAACCCAGATTCAGCAGAGCTCTCCGAGCTTTTCCCACTGCCCCTTCCCTCCCTGCCCGCACCAGCTGCCCGCAGCTGTGCCCGCTCTTTCCCGGTACGGGCGGGATTTGCTCCCAGGTGTGGGAGGAGGCTCCTGACCCCTCCCCAGGGGCTCTCTCCGCTGCCCTTCCCGGGTTTCCAGCGGGCGCTGGGAGCTGGCAGCCGGCGGCCGGGATAACCTTGTGGCTCGGAACATTGCGGCCATCCCTCTTCTCCCATCAAGCGTTCATTTAGGAAACATTTCACTAAATACCCGCCTGACAGCACGGCCCCGGGAGATTGATGCCTCCAGCGCCTCTGAGGGCTCGGTGCCAGTGACTTTAAAATGTCACAACGACACCCCCGGGGCGCTCACGTCCCCTCCCGGTGCCCGGGGGAGTGATGGGAGTGTCCGGAGGACGCTGCGGTGCCAATCCCCATCCCAGCCCCCGCAGGCTGCCAGGAGGTCCCTGGGGTTTTCCTGAGGGATTTGAGAGCACCCAGCACAGGTTTGTACCATCCCCAGCCATAAAGTTTCCCCATCCCTGACAGCTTTCTCATGGCTTTGGGGCATCCCCATCCCATCTCCAATTCCATCCCCATCCTATCTCCATCCACATCCCATCCCTCCCCACTCCTGTGAGGGATCCCTATCCCATCCCCATCCCATTTCCAGCCCTGTCCCCATCCTCATCCCACCTCTATCTCTGTCCCTATGTCATCCCCATCCCCATTGTCATCTTATGCCTATCCTCATCTCCACTCCATTCCATCTCCATCCCCATCCTCATCCCTATCCCATCCCAATACTCAACCTCCTCCCATTCTCATCTTCATCTTAATCCCACCCCCTTCCTCATCTCCATCCCATCCCATCCCATCCCCCCTCATCCCTCAGGGCAGGAAGGAGCCCCTTGGCGCTGCCACTGGAGGGATAAAGAAGGAGCAGATTAATTAAAGCTCAATCAGTGCCATTCCTGAGCCAGAGCCACTTCAGTCCTTTTCCTTTCCATCCCCTCAAACTCCTGGAAGAAGAAAGGACATGATGTTGGGATGTGAATCCAGAGTGCTCTGAAACTGCAAATAAACCACAAAACACCAGGCCTGGATCGAGCTTCTCCAGCCTCATTAGTGGGATCATCTAATTAGGAAAACAGCTGGCAGTGTTGGGAAAGTGCTGCTGTCTCCAGAGGGACAAAGGGACAGAGGGGAGAGGTGGCACTGACCTGCTGTCAAGGCTGGCCTGAGCCCCGGCTGAGATAAAGGGGGAATGGTGGAGAGGAACATTCCCAACATCCCAGCGGCTGAAATCCCTGGGACGCTGCTGCCTCCAGCCCACCATCCTAGGACTGAGCTCTGAGGAAACCCCAGAGCTTCTCCCCACAGAATCAGCGGGATAATCCAGCGCAGGGGCCTGGGGCAGAGCAGAGGGAGCCAGCACGGCTCGTCCCAGCCTTCATCCCACGAGGAAGAGAGCAGTGGGCTGAGCTGGGCTCGGGGAAAGCTCGGGAGTGCTCCAGCGGGGATCCCTGATGAACAAAAACCCAGCCAGGGCTCCAAACGCAATTAAGCCATTTAATTTTCCTCCCCCCCCTCCCCTCCCAGCGCCGCCTGCCCATCCCCAGGGAGCGGGAGCCGGGAGCTCCGGGGCCCCCATCCCTGGGGGAGGCGGCTCCGCCACGTCCCTGCGGCTGCACAGGGAACTCCGCTGGGGACTGCAGGGGAAAAGCCCAGAAAAGGCCCTGTTATTCCTGCTGGGATTTGGGTGGTGACAAATTAATGAGTTTCCACCCCAGAGCCTCTGGAGAATTAACTGGGAGGGAGCTTCGTTAACATCGAGGAGTAAATTGATCTGTTAAAAAAATAACAAAGGGAGGAGATTTTCAATCAGGCTTTGCTTCTTTGGGGGTTGTTTCTCCCAAAAAACCACTTGTTATTATCAGCACTTCCCCCTTCAAGCGCGGGGATCCCAACCGCAGTATCTGACACTGGAGACTCCCGGTGGGGCACACATCCACGTGCCCCAATCCCATCCCGAGCTCCAGGGGAGGAGGGAATTTCAGCAGAGTTGGAAAAATCCACCCCCAAGCCACAACTCCCCGGGAGGAACGACCCTGCCCTGGGAGTTGAGACCCCACAGCGTCGGGAATTGCTCATCCCTGAAATCCCCTCTCCGGAGCGCGGCCGTGCTGGTTTTCTGCTGCCGGAGAGGGAAATTTCTCCCAGCTAAAAAATAGCTTAAAGGGGACCCCAGCTGGCTGAAGCCGAGGGCGGCTGCAGCGGCAGCGCGGCCGGGAGGCAGCGCCGGGCTCCGGGAGCCGCGGGGCCGGGTCCTGCCTGGGGCTCGGGATGGAGATGGAGGGTGCAGCACACGGGAGGCCGGAGCAGCCCGAAAATTCCCGGCAGCGGTGAATTGGATGAGGCTGAGCACGTGTCCGCGGCGACTGCAGGAGGCGAGGGGGGGCTTGGTGTAGCAGTTGTTGGAGCAGCAGGAATCCTGTTCCAAGATTTTTAGGGTTCTTGTGACAGTGCCAAGATGAGAGGCACATGTGGAACCTGTCCAGGTGTGCCTCAGTTTCCCCGTCGCTCTGACGCATCCTTGGTGGCCGGCGGGAACATGGGAGGTGCCAAGTGTTCCGCTTTTCTCTCTCCCACCCTGTTCCAGCTCTGGGAATCGCGTCCCTCCAGCCCCCAGGCCCTTCCCTCTCACCACGGCACCTCCAAATGTGCGGAGCGGGGGCCTTGGCAGCCTCCCTGTGCCACTGTCCCCACCTCCAGAAATGCCACCCAGGCACAGGGGACACTGTGATCCCCCATCTCCCCGTGGCCGGGGTCTGCTGGGACAGCCCAGCCCAGGGAAGGGCGACAGCGGGATTTGGGAGGGAAGGTGTGCCCGCTCCTGGGAGCATTCCTTGCCGTGTGCCTGAGCGCAGGGATGTCACAGGGATGTCGCAGGGACACAGACACTGTGTGGACATGGCACGGTGGGGACCTGCCCTGGCTCAGGAGCCCAGCTGTGATTAATCAACGTCCAAGTGAGAAATAAGGTGAAAAATGTGACCACGGCTGGGGGCAAGCAGGAGATGGCTGCAAAAGGTGACAGGGATGGAGGGCTTTGCTCCTGGCCCTGCTTCCTGCCTCTTCCACAGCTCATTTTTTCCCTGTTGTGGGAGCAGGAGGTCTGGCTGTGGGGTCCCTGTCACCCCACAGCACCCCGGGGACCTCGGGGTGATGGCCAGCCCAGGGTGGAACGTGCAGAGGCTTTGGGGTGGTGGCAGCCTGGGGTGCCAGGTGTGGGGACACAGGGGTGGCAGCTGCCCAGGCAGGGACCTGGGGGTGACGACTGTCTGGGTTTGGGGTGCCACATGCAGGTGATGGCCTCTTGGGATGGTGACAGTCCCGGGTGCCTGCAGGGACCCTGGGACGGTGACTGCCCCACGAGCAGGGTGCCCTGTGCAGGGACCCGGAGGTGGTGGCAGCCCGGGGTGCTGTGTGCAGGGACCTCGGGGTGACAACTCCCTGGGCATGGCGTGCTGCGTGCGGGGACCCCGGGGTGACACCTGCCGGGACAGGGGGTGGCACAGGGACCCCCAGCCCTGCCTGCCGACCCCCAGTCCCCCCCCCCAGAGCAGCCCCCGCGGTACCGGCATCTCCCACTCCCCCCCGCGGCGGCAGCGAGCCCCGGCCTGCCCGGGACACTTGGCGGGGAGGAAGAAGAGGAGGAGGAGGAGGGAGGAGGAAGACGAAGAGGCCGCCTTCAGCCTCGGCCCCGCCATGCCGGGCCCCACCGGGGAGCGTGGCCCGGTGGCAGCGGCTCCCCGGGGGCTGTGAGCGGCCCGGGGCCGGCGGAAGGGGGGCCCCGGGAGGAGGTGGGGGAGCTCCGGGCGGAGGGGGAGCCCCGAGCGGCATGGCCAGCCCCGTCCCCCCCGCCGCCGCCGCTTCCACCGGGATTTAACCGGGGCTTGGATGCTTTCACCTCCCGTTTCCACTTCGGGAGGGCATGTGCGCGGGGGAAGCGGGCCGCCCCCAGCGGAGCCCCCCCGCGCCCTGACTCCACGGTGAGGGGCTCGGCCGCCAGCCCCGTCCCGCCGCCGGCCCCGGAGGACGGGGAGCGCCCGCCCGCCCCGGCCCCCCCTGGCCGGTGGGTACCGGGCGGGGGGCGGCGGGTACCGGCAACTTGTGTTTAGCGTCCGGCGGTACCGACTGGGGGGAGCCCCCCCTCTACCCGACGAGATTTGGGTTTAAACTTTGGGTTTTGGGGAGCCCCGAAGATGCCTTTCCACCCGGTGACGGCGGCGTTGATGTACCGGGGGATCTACACCGTCCCCAACATCCTCGCCGAGCAGCGCCCCGTGGAGATCCCGGAGGATGAGCTGGAGGGTGAGCGGGTTCGGGGGGCTGCGGGGGCTGCCTGGGGACCAGGGGGGATGAGGGGGACATCCCATGGGATTGTGGGGTGAGCAGGTTTGGAGGACCGGGAAGTCCATCCCGCGGGATGCGGCTGTGGGGGAGTCGGGGTGCGCGTTCCCCCGGCGCCGTGGGGAGCTGAGGGCAAGCGGGATGCGGATGGATGGAGAAGGAGGAGGAGGAGAAGGAGGAGGGGAAGGAGGAAAGCTGAAGCGGGGAGGCGTGCGGGGGTCCCGGGCCCCCGGTTGTGGCAATATGACACAGCAGGGACCGGAGATAGTGGCGGGGGGCCGGTTCCCTCCGCGGCGCGGCGGGGTCACCCCCTCCCCGCTGTCATAATATGACAGTGGCTGGTGGCGCGGGGGACCCGAGGGGTGGCTCTCACCCGTGCCACCTCCCGGGTCACAGCAGCTCCACGCAGTCCCGGTGTCACCAGACTCCGGCCGGGAGGAGCGGCCGGCGGGGCTCTGCCCACCCGTGCGATGAGAGGGGCCGAGCTCAGCTCGCTGCCACCAGAATGGCTTTTTCCACCCCAAAAGTTTGCCAGAGCAGCAGGACGGGCACTGGCGGTGCCCGGCTTTGGGGTGTCCCTGGGGAACCCGGGGGAAAGGGGTGCAGCACCCCCAGCTCCAGACCCGGCACCAGGGGGGAAACTGAGCCACAGGGGGTGACCCCACACACGTCCCCACTCTGCCTGGGGAGAGCACCCTTGACCCAGCACCAAACCTGGAGCCCTCAGCATCCCCGTGGGGAAACTGAGGCAGGGAGCCACAGGGATGGGGATGAGGGGAACCCCAAAATCCATTTGGGAGCCCCGAACAGGCGCTCACACCGGTGTGCAAGGGGTGTGTGTGTGTGTGTGTGTGTGTGTGCAGGTTTGCAGGGTGTGCGTGTGCGCTGACGAGCCTGTCACAGCCTCACTGCAGGGGCTGTGTGTGTGCACAGGCATGGCACAGCATGGCACAGCATGGCACCGGCATGGCACACCCCCTTCACACCGTGCTGCGGGTGTGCTCACACATCTGCGTGCTCACACATCTGTATGGTCACACATCTGTATGGTCACACATCTGTATGGTCACACATCTGTATGCACATGCACGGCCTCGCTGCAGGGTGTCACTGTGTGTGTGGCCGTGCCAGTGCCAGTGTCACTGTGTGTGTGGCTGTGCCAGTCTCAGTGGCTGGGACCGTGTTTGTGTCACTGCAGCACGTGTGTGTGCCATGCACAGCCTGGCTGCAGGAGGTGTTTGTGTGAGTGTGCACACGGGCAGCGTCACAGCAGGACGGGCTCGTACGCACAGCCCTGCTGCAGAGGGTGTCGGTGTGCCTGTGCACGAGCACAGCATCGCTGCAGCGTGCTGGGGTCTGTGTGTGTGCGTGTGTGTGTGCGTGCAAACACCAGCACAGCTTTGCTGCAATGGGGCTGTGTCTGTGTGCATGCACAAGTGCAGCTGTGCACAGTGTTGGTGTGTCTGTGTGCACAAGTGCAGCACTGCTGTGATGTGGTTGTGCAGGTCCATGCGTGTGCACACGCGAGTGCAGCACCACTGCAAGGGGGGGTGTGTGTGCAGGCACAGGGATGTCACTGCAGGGGGGCCGTGTGTGCACCTATGTGTGTGCACACACACAAATGCAGCTGTGCCAGGTGTTGGTGTGTGCACACACCGGTACAGCACCACTGCATTGGGATTTTGCACGTCCGGGTATGCACAAGGGGGATGAGGGGAACCCCAAAATCCATTTGGGAGCCCCGAACAGGCGCTCACACCGGTGTGCAAGGGGTGTGTGTGTGTGTGTGTGTGTGTGTGCAGCTCTGCAGGGTGTGCGTGTGCGCTGACGAGCCTGTCACAGCCTCACTGCAGGGGCTGTGTGTGTGCACAGGCATGGCACAGCATGGCACAGCATGGCACAGCATGGCACAGGCATGGCACACCCCCTTCACACCGTGCTGCGGGTGTGCTCACACATCTGCGTGCTCACACATCTGTATGGTCACACATCTGTATGGTCACACATCTGTATGGTCACACATCTGTATGCACATGCACGGCCTCGCTGCAGGGTGTCACTGTGTGTGTGGCCGTGCCAGTGCCAGTGTCACTGTGTGTGTGGCTGTGCCAGTCTCAGTGGCTGGGCCCGTGTTTGTGTCACTGCAGCACGTGTGTGTGCCATGCACAGCCTGGCTGCAGGAGGTGTTTGTGTGAGTGTGCACACGGGCAGCGTCACAGCAGGACGGGCTCGTACGCACAGCCCTGCTGCAGAGGGTGTCGGTGTGCCTGTGCACGAGCACAGCATCGCTGCAACGTGCTGGGGTCTGTGTGTGTGCGTGTGTGTGTGCGTGCAAACACCAGCACAGCTTTGCTGCAATGGGGCTGTGTCTGTGTGCATGCACAAGTGCAGCTGTGCACAGTGTTGGTGTGTCTGTGTGCACAAGTGCAGCACTGCTGTGATGTGGTTGTGCAGGTCCATGCGTGTGCACACGCGAGTGCAGCACCACTGCAAGGGGGGGTGTGTGTGCAGGCACAGGGATGTCACTGCAGGGGGGCCGTGTGTGCACCTATGTGTGTGCACACACACAAATGCAGCTGTGCCAGGTGTTGGTGTGTGCACACACCGGTACAGCACCACTGCATTGGGATTTTGCACGTCCGGGTATGCACAAGTGCAGCACCACTGCAAAGAAATTGCAGTGTGTACATGCACCAGTACCTCAGTGCAAGGTGTTTGTGTGTTTGTGCACTTGTACAGGTGCATCTGTGCGACGTGTCGGGGTGTGCACACACAGGTGCAGCATCACTGTGAGGTGTCAGGGTGTGCACACACAGGTACAGCATCACTGCGAGGTTTTGGGGCGTGCTGCATCCATGCACATGCACATCGCTGCACGGGGCCTGTGAGTGCATCCGTGTGTGTGTGCACACCACATTGCTCCAAGGTGCTGGGGTGTGTTTGCACACTCACACGTGTCACTGCAATGTCTGTATGTGCACACGCAGCTACAGTGTCACTGTGACATGTTCTGGCTGTGTCCCTGTGTGTGCACGCACAGTGTCTGTGCAAGGGGTGTGTGTGTCTCCGTGTGTGTGTGTCCTTGTGTGTCTGTGTGTGTCTGTGTGTCTCTGTGTGTGTCTGTGTCTGTGTCTCCGTGTGTGTGTGTGTGTGTGTCTGTGTCTCCGTGTGTGTCTGTGTGTGTCTGTGTGTCTGTGTCTCCGTGTGTGTGTGTGTGTGTGTCTGTGTCTCCGTGTGTGTCTGTGTGTGTCTGTGTGTCTGTGTCTCCGTGTGTGTGTGTGTGTGTGTCTGTGTCTCCGTGTGTGTCTGTGTGTCTCTGTGTGTGTGTGTGACTCTGTGTCTGTGTGTGCGCAGCTCCAGTGTCACTGCCAGGGTGTCAAGTGGTGTCTGCAGTGGGGTGTGTGTGAGTCCTGCAGCTGTCAGTGTGTGTCTGTGTGTCTGTGTGTGTCCCCGTGTGTGTATGTCCATGTGCGTGTCTGTGTGTCTGTCTGTGTGTGTGTCCATGTGTCTGTCTGTCTGTGAGTCTGTGTGTGCTCACACCCCTCCGTGGTGTCCATGTGCCCACTTCCCATGTCCCTGGGCTGCTGTCCCAGTTCACCCAGTCCCCGGGGTCCCAGTGTTGTGTCCCCCCCTCCCTCAGCACGCACCTGTGGCACTGGGGACTGATGGCAGTGCTGGGAGCCCCACGGTGACCCCACAAGGTGCCAGACCCCCCTGGGCTCCCACCTCCTCCTGTCCCCCTGGTTTGGGGACACCGGTGACATCCTGACACAGCTTCACACTGGGGCTGAGCAGACCGAGGGCACAGCTGGGGCAGGGGGTGCTCAGTGGGGAGCCAGGACCCCACTCTGGCCACTGTCAGGACATGTCCTTGCCTGTCCCCCAACACCCTGAGCCATCTGATGAGGAGCCACCTTGGAGCTCTTTGGGATGAGCATCCTTGAAGGATGAATTTTGGGGGTGCCTGGAGTGTAGTGAGGTCCCCCCAGGAGTACAGGGAAAAGCTGGAGGATCTCCCTGCTCATGCAGGGACACTGGCCATGGAGAAGGTCAGACTGAGGCCAAAATCCCACAAAACTCCCCCAAAATGCCTTGGAGACATCAGTGATGTGACACCATCCAGGCAGGGATGTTCCCAAGCACTTGGGGTCAGTACTGTCACCCTATATGGGTTTTTTTCCCCCAAAACCAAAGTTCACAGCCCATTTCTCCTGCTTGGATCCTCCAGCACGAATCCCCATGGCAGCCAGATGGAGAAGGAAGAGACACCAACATCCTGGCCTGGCTTCCCACTGGCCTCCAGCACAAATTCCCTGGTCCTTCTTTTCCATCAGCCCGGTTCCAGCTTTGCACATCAGGTGGCATCAAAAAGCCAGAAACTGCCCCAAAAAGGAGCAGAGTCCTGAGTGCACCAGGAGGTGGGGTAGAGTCAAGAGACTCCTGCTATGCCTCAGTTTCCCTGCAGCATCTCCCTGCCACCCTGCAGGGATCTTCCCCCACATCCCAGGGGTTCTTTTTGAGCCAGAAACCCCAACCCCCCCACTTCCACCCTCCTCTGCACTGGACAGGGCTGAACACTGCAGCAATTTCGTCAAGATTTGGGATTTTTTTTTGGGTGAAGTGTGGCACAGCTCCAGCACCCACCCCTGGAGCCCAGGATGGGGGCACAGACCCACCCTGACACCATGGGATGGGGCACAGTCCCACCTGTGATCCCGGGACCCCGGGATGGGGCCAGTGCCCAGCCCCCGCGGGTCCTCAGGGATGCTCCCGGCTGGATGCTGCGGCACCGTGGGGGTGCCCCCCCGGCAGTGCCCACCTGGTGGCACCCCAAGCTCACACCCAGGGATGTGTTTTTAGGGCAGAATGCCGCGGTTTCGGCTGTGGCAGTAGCAAGGGCAGGGTGGGTGCGGCGAGCGGGTGACTGGAATTGGGGCAAATATTCGGGGTCTGTTGAGCAGGTGGGACCCTGCTGGGGAGGCTGGGGGCTCTGCGCTGGCCAGGGGGGCAGGTGGGATCCCACAGGGATTCTGTGGGGCTGGAGCAGGGAGCTCAGCCGGACCCATTCCTGCTCTCCCCACAGAGATCCGGGAAGCCTTCAAGGTGTTCGACCGCGATGGCAACGGGTTCATCTCCAAGCAGGAGCTGGGCACGGCCATGCGCTCCCTGGGGTACATGCCCAACGAGGTGGAGCTGGAGGTCATCATCCAGCGCCTCGACATGGACGGTAGGACCCCGGCAACCCGGGATGGGGACTGGGATGGGATCCCCAGCTGGGTGAAACAAATTTTTCCCATATTTCCACCCCACACGCTGGACACTACACGGGATGTGGGATGAGCCCGACCCAGGCTCTGCCTCCCCCTGGAGCCTCCTCCTCATCCATCATCATGATCGTCATTGCCACTGCAGCTTTGTTTGGGGTGATTTAAGGATGCTGGATGTTTGTGGGATGGCTAAACCTGCTGGGATGAGGCTGGATCCCGCACCCGGGGTGGATCCTGCACCCCAGGTCGTGTCCTCAGCACCCAGCACCCATCACCCTCCAGCATTCGCTGCCACCGTGACCTTGTCCCCACTCCTGCCTTGCCCATAGGGACCTGAAAGAGCTCCTTAATTTATTGCTTTTCCTTTTTTCCTCCATTTAAAAGCCTTTCCGGCAGCACTGCCAAGGCGCTGCTCCCTTCATTACTCATCGTTAGTGCTGCCCTGACAGCCCCACATCAGTGTCCCCCACTGCCAGGGGACACAGCTAGAATGGCCACCAAGCACTCCCAGGGTCACAGCCACCCCCAGGGTCACAGCCACCACCAGGGTCCCTGCTGGAATTGGGGTCCCAGCTGGAATTCAGGGTCCAACTGTTGTTCAGAGTCCTGGACAGTGTTGGGCTTCCCCAACCAGTACTGGGGGCTCCAGGTGACACTGAGTGTCCCCAGTTCCTATTGGAAGGGGGCCCAAATGGCACTGGGGGTCCCCAGATGTTGCTTGGGGTCCCCAGAAAACACTGGGGGTCCCTACCTGGCAGTGAGAGTCCCAGCCAGCACTGGGGACCCCAGCCAATGTTGCCATCCCAGCTGGTGTTGGGGACACCAAACTTTGTTGGAGGTCTCCACCCAGTGTTGGAGTCCCTGGTTGGTTTTGGGTGTCCTCAGCCAACATCTGTGGTCCCCAGTTAGCCCTGGAAGGCCACCAGATGGCATTGAGGTCCCAGCTGGAACTGGGGTCCAGCTCAAGTTCATGTGCTGGATGATATTTGGTTTCCCCAGGCAGCACTGGGGGTCCCAGATCATATTTTGGGGAGACTAGATGGTATTAGGGTGTCCCCAGCCCACACTGGATGTCCCCAGTTGGCCCTGGGGTCCTGGCTGGCACTGGGGACACCCATCCAGTGCTGGGCATCCTGGCCAAAGTTGGAACTTCCCTAAATTCGCTGGAGGTTCCCAGATGGTCTTGAGATCCCCAAGTGGTTTTGGGGATCTGTGACCCCCATGGGGCCCCGTCTGGGAGGGAGAGTGTCTCATGTGCCCCATGGCCAGGCAGGGGGTGACAGCCAGCCCTGTGTCCCGCAGGTGATGGGCAGGTGGACTTTGAGGAGTTTGTGACATTGCTGGGGCCCAAGCTCTCCACCTCGGGCATCCCGGAGAAGTTCCACGGCACCGACTTCGACACTGTCTTCTGGAAGGTAGGGACATCCCCAGCCCCCTGGGAAGGTAGGGACATCCCCAGCCCCCTGGGAAGGTAGGGACACCCCTGTCCCCATGGGAAGGCAGGGACAGCCCCAGCCCCCACGGGAAGGCAGGGACACCCCCATCCCCTCCTGGGCCATCACCTCAGAACCTGCACCAGGGAAGGCTCAGGGTCAGGGCCAAAGCATGGGGTGGGATCAGGGATAGGATGAGGCTCAAGGCTGGAATTGGGGTTGGGCTGAGTGTGAAAGTCAGGCTCTGGTCAAGGACGAGGTTAGGGTTGGTTTAAGATTAGGATTAGGGTCAAGCTCAGGCTCAGGCTCCAGTTTAGGGTTAGTACAAACCTTGGGGTCAGGGTCAGCACTGATTTAAGGGTCAGAGTTACGGCTAGGTTTAGGATCAGGGTTCAGGTTGGAGTCAGGGTTAGGATGAGGGTTGGGATCAGGTTTAATGGTGGGGCCAGGGTCAGGATTGGGGTCAGGAACAGGTTCAGGGTCAGGATTGAGGTCAAGGTCAGGACTGGGGTCAGGGTCAGGATTCAGGATGAGGTTCAGGATCAGTGTCAGGGTGCACCCCCTGAGCTCCTGCATCCCTGTCACAAACAGGCCACATTTGGTGCCAGCACCCTCTGTGCGCCCCTCGCTCTGCTGGGGGTCACCAGGACACCAGGCCTTTCCCAGATAATTCCAGGACGATCCACCAAAACCACCACATCCAAAGGCTCTGGGGGACCCCGGAGCCCCTGTGCTGCTGGCCATGGGGTCACCCCAAGTCCCCTGGTCCCCGCAGTGTGACATGCAGAAGCTGACGGTGGACGAGCTGAAGCGGCTGCTGTACGACACCTTCTGCGAGCACCTGTCCATGAAGGACATCGAGAACATCATCATGACGGAGGAGGAGAGCCACATGGGCACGGCCGAGGAGTGCCCCGTGGACGTGGAGAGTGAGTGCCGGGCAGCGGGAATGCCAAAAGCCGCGGGGATGCCAAACCCCCATGGGGATAGCGCTGGTTACCTCTAGTACCAGGAGAGTGTATTTGGGATTGGGGTAACGCGCTGTTTGTCCCACCCCCAGCCTGCTCCAGCCAGCAGATCCGCCAGACCTGCGTGCGGAAGAGCCTCATCTGCGCCTTCGCCATCGCCTTCATCATCAGCGTGATGCTCATCGCCGCCAACCAGGTGCTGCGCAGCGGGATGAAGTAACGGGGCGCCCCCGCCGCCGGGGACCCGCAGCGACAGCGAGGAGGAGACACCTATAAATATCTATAAATATCTCTATGTACATCCATCTGCGGCCCAGAGACGTGACCCCCCCGGGCGGGGGGCAGCCGAGGGGACAGAGCCGCGCCGGGGCCCCGCCGTGCCGGGCGCTGCCGTCGCTGCTGTTGGCAGAGCACGGAGACTTTGGTACCGACACCGACACACCGACCCCCCCTCGCCAGACAAAATCCGACCCGTGAGTGCATGTGACGTGCATGGAGCCCCGTGAGCCCCCTCCCCGCGCCGGGCCGGCGGCCCCTCCCGCGGCGGATCCCGTCGGATTCTCCGATCTAGCGTTAGAGATCATATTTAGGATAAACCAAATCATCCCCTAAGCAATACACGCGCCTGAGATGGTTCCTAGAGCCGGGAGCGTTTGCATGGACTTGGCTGCCAAGGGCTGGATTTCACCTCCCCAAAGCCCCTCCCTGTCCCCGTGCCGTGCCTCGGTTTCCCCACCTGCCCGGTGCGGGGACATTCCTGACCTCCTGCTTGATGCACTTTGAGCCGACCCCCCTTGGGAAGAGCCGGAGCGACCCCGAGGCCGGGGAGACCCGCACGCCCCAGAACCCCCCAGCCTGTATGTAGCACCCACCTGGGCACAGACTGGTTCGGATTTGGGGCCGTTTCTCATTCTTTGGAGTTTTTGGGGTTTTTGGGGTGCTGATTTTGGTTTTGTTTTTTTTTTGTTTCTGTTTCGGTTTTTTGGTTTTTTTTTTTGTTCTTCCTGGTTGGTTGTTTCCGATCTGAAATAAAACTGGGATTTCTGAAGCGCTCTGGGCTGTGGGGGCTCCTGGAGATGCTGGGGTGGAAGGTGATGGGGTGGGGCCCTGGGAGCACCTGTGGGTGCTGCTGAGTCCTCCTGGCACGGGAGGTGGGCACTGGTTTGGGGAGCTGTGACCCCCAGACTCTGGGGGCTGGAGCATGCCTAAACTCTGGGGCAGTGAGACCTGACTCCTTCCCAGCAGCTCCCACGTCCCTTACCCCACTCCAGCCATGGATCCTGCTATAGGTCCTGCCTCTTCCCATGGATCCCAGTGGTTTTATCCCCCTCTCCACATCTCGTACCCTGATATTTCATGTGTAGTTTGATGAATGTTTCGCTCCCCTTTGCCTCAACGGGGAGGGTGCTCAGCCCAAGCCCCTTCCCAGAAGTGCTTTCACCTGGATTAACAGTAATTCCAGCAGGAACCAGGATCTGTCTGGGGCACTCAGAGAGGCTCCACAGGGTCATAATTCCTGGGCCAAGGAGGGGATCCTGCCCCAAGGCTGGTGGCAGGAAGCACCCTGTTACTCCTGATTTACACCACTGGGGCCTGGCCCCGGTGTGAGGAACATGGGGAATCTCACAGCCTCACGAATGTGTGCTGTGGGAGCCCATTCCCACCTAATGGATTGCCCTCCCCAAGCCCCCAGCGATGCATTTTTAATGGCAAAGAGATTAAAGGGATAAATATAAACAGGGGAAGTGCTTGGGGCTGGGAGAGAATCGGGCAAAGCTGCTGCTCTCCCATTACGGGGCACTTCCCACTGCGAACGGGGCTGCAGGAGCTCATCCCAGGACACTGGGACTGGGACATCCCCACCTTCACCTCCCTGGTGCTCCCATGGGAAAACTCATTTCCTTGCACCAGCATGGGAATTCCCACCTTGCAGCACCATGGGGGGGACAACCCAATTTTGGGATGCCATGAGGAACTGGTGGTGTTTTATTGATTTGGGGTTTGGGTGGGGCCTTTTTTTGATCTTCTCTAATTTATCAAACAAATTGAAGCAAACGTCCAAATGAGAAATGGAAATGGGAAGTGCTCCACGGCAATGAAATCACTCCGGCTGCCTCGCAAAGTGAGGGAGGCTCCGCATCCGTAATGAAATTTCATCCATCTCCCGCAGAAAGTTTGGATTTTTTATGGACTGGCATTTCCATAGGAGCCACGTGGCCTCGGAGACATGTGTGTATATATATTTATATATTTTTTTTTTTTAATTTTTAACCAGGTCTATTATAGACACTGTGAATAAACATAAGAAGAGAAGAAGAAAAAAAAGGACAATTTAATTTGCCATAAAATACAATAATGTAAAAGAAAAAATTAGATAAAAGGAATAACGCCATCCCCCAAGCTCAGCGTTTCAAAGCTGCTCAATTAATTTTAATGGGAATCGGCAGAACGGATTTCTCGGGGCAGGTTTGGAATGGCAGCTCCCGATCCCGGAGCAGGCGGGATGCCGGAGCGGGGTCCCAGCCGCGGCCCTGCTCTGCCGCAGAGGCGACGGATCACTGCGGCTGCTGCAACAGAGATGCTCCGGGATAATTCAATTAAGGGACCGCCAGGAAAGGCAAAAACAAAGGGAATGTGCCGGGAGGTGGGGGCTGCCGCGGGCGAGGGGAGGTGGGAGGGAGCAGGACCCTGCATGGGTTCCCTGGACGTGGGAGCAACGGAGCAAAAGCGGCAGCAACCCCAGTGGGGGTTGCAGGGCTGCAATTCCATAGCTCTGGGAAGTGCTTGGAATAGGAAGGGAAGAAGTTGGTAATGGTTGTTTCTCTCTCTTGTGCTGCAAGAAGCGTGGGATGGGCTCAGCTCCACCCCTGTCTTGGTCCCATTCCCATCCCTGTCCTTGTCCCAGTACCTGTCTCCATCCCCAACGCCATCCTCAGTCCCACTCCCATCCTTATTTCCATTCCTCACTCTGTCTATTTCTCCTCTTCCCATCCCCACTGCTGTCCCATCCTCATCCCATCTCTTCCTCATCCCTGTCCCATCTTCATCCCTGACTGCTCCCCATCCCCATTCCCATTCTTATTTCCATCCCTGCCCTCTGCCCTCCCCCAATCCCCATCCTTGACCCTATCTCTACCCCCATTCCAAACCTTTTGTCCATGCCTCTCTCTGTCCTCACCTCAGTCCACGTGCTGTCCCCATTCCCACTCCTGTTCCTGTCCCCCCTCTCTCCCAGCAAGAGCTGCCAGAGGACACGGGCAGAGCCCAGCGGGGCTGCGCTTGGCAGGGGCCCAGCAGCCGCTCATTTCCCTAAAAGCTTCCCAATAAATTACTCCAGCTCTTGCTCCAGCAAAGGCACTTTGGCTTGGGCTTCACTATTGGGCAGCAGCTCCTCACCCCCACCCTGGGGACAGTGAGTCCATCCCTGCAGCATCTCTTAGGATCAGGTATCAGCCATCCCTGTGGGAAGGAGCCACAGCCCTGTCCTGTTTTGGAGTCCTCCTCCCACAGGCTTTTCCATGGATGAGCCAACAGCAGCTGTGTCCCACACCAGTGATCCATGGCATTGTCACCTCCTGCCACTGCTGTAACACACACCCCATACACCCTGCAATTCCCAGCCTACTCCCCGCCAGTAGTTACACAACTCCATGAATCCATAACATCCTGTAGGTGATGCCAGGCTCGGCCACACATCCTGCAGTTTTTGTGGGAAAACCCCAACTTTAATGAATCCCCCTTGACAGCCCCTCTCACATCCCCCTGGACAGGCTGGAGCTCAGCAGGGAATGCTCCTGCTCTTGCCTTTCAGCCTTTATTGGGAATTTCTGCTTCCAGGGCAGCTCAACTCCTTGGGAGCAAGGAAGAGCACGGAAAGGCTGTGGCTGTTGTGTTTTACACTGGAAATTTGACTTACAGTTGGGTTCCAGAGCTTGCCCAGAGAACTCTATCTAATTTGAACTGGATTTGGTGAGCCCTGAAGTTTGGAAGTGTTGGATTAAACAACCTCTCCTGGATCAGCTGGAGCACACACCAGGACCGGAGCACATGGAGCAGGGACAGACCTGGGGGCTGATCAAAGCACTGCTCAATCAATGCAAGGAACAGGGAAGGATTTGGATGTTGACTGGGGAAAAAATCCATGGAAGGGACTGGAGAGGGAGTTCCTTCATCTGTTGGTGCTGGTGGCCTCGGAAGGTGTCTAGGAGCATGTCCTGGCTGCCACCAGCAGAGCAGCCACTGTCCCCCCCAATCAGTGAAGCCTCTCAACATTTCCCAGACTCTTCCTCTGTGCCAGGCTGGGGCACAGGGATGCACATGCAAGCTTGGAGAGAGCAGGCCCAGATCCCACTCTGGAGCATCCCACAGTCCCTGGGGAGTCCCCACTTCCCATTTCCTTGGGGGCAGGGTTCCCTTGCTCCAGGGACTCCCACCCATTCCCAAAGAGGAGCCACCTGGGTGCCCTTATTAATCCACCTGTCCTGCAGGTGGAAGTGAGGACAGGACACGGGGCTGATCCTGCATCCTCTGAGCCCAAGCCCTGTGCTCCTGCTCTCCAGCAAGCCCAGGCTCCTGCCTGGAAGGATAAAAACATTCTCTAGTTGGACCTAGAACTCACCCAGGCTGCAGCCAAGGCTGCTTCCAGGCTGCTGTCACATCCAGTCCCTGCTCCTGTCAGAGCCACGTCCCAGGACAGGGCTGACGCTCCTGTGACAATTTGCCATCACATCCCGAGATGTGATCCCTGCCCTGCTGGAGCAATCCAGGCAGGATTTGGCCACAGGCAGCTGGCTCCTGCCTGTGCTCTTCATGAATCTGGACCCACCACCTCCCTGCCCAGCCAAACCTGGAATGCTCTGGCAGTGGGCACAGCCCTCCTGGACAAACCCGCTGCCAGAGCTGCCTCCCAGGATGCTGCTGGACAGGATCCCCCCCTTGGAGCTGCAGCACCCTGCTCCCTTCCTGAGACAGCCAAGGGCCTCCCTCACCCCATGCTTTACCAGCAAGGAGAGATGAATCAAATTCTCACTGTGGAGAAACCTTGGGATATTTCCCCTCCTTCCCTTTGCCTCCAGCACAGCAGGAGCAGGCTGAGGGAAGCTCCCCAGGCTCTCCACTGGGAGCTCCAGCACCTGGACCCAGGCAGGGTCACACCCTGAATTTATCAGGAACAAACACGGCACCAACACCCGAGGAAATGAAACATCAGTTCTAAAAGCCTGGGTCCTTCTCCAGCCTGGATCACAGAGCCCAGCACAGAGCTGGAGTGAGAGCAGGCAGAGCAGGCAGCAGTGATCTGAGGGGATGGATCCCACCCAGGAAATGGGGAATGTTGGCTTCAGGTGACAACAGACAGCCCCTGTGCAGGGCTGGAGCTGTGCTGAGCACAGATCCCTGTTCCAGAGGCAGGGAGAGAGCCAGGGGAGGGCTCAGCCCACCAGAGGCTGCTGGGCCAGCAGGAACACCACACAGAGGCTGCAACGGGCGGAAGGAGCGTTTATTGAAATAAAAGTGTGTATAAATAATCCTGTCCCTTTCCCAGAGAAGAGACAGCCAGTCCCAGCCAGGCTCTGGGGGTGCCTCAGCCCCACTGCAGGTTGGGGGGCACTGGCCACCCCCCAGGTGGGGGGGCCTGCAGGGACGGGGGCAGCTCCTGCACTGGTGGCCAACCCAGGGGGTACTGGAATGGTGTTGGTTTCTCAAGAAGAGCACTGTGAGGAGAGATGGAAAGGGATGAGGTGAGAAGCAGTGTGTCTGTCTGACACCAAGGCCATGCTGGGGGCTGGGCTTCCCTGTGCCCCCTCCAGTAGCCCCCAAAGAGACAGGGCCAGCAGCGGAGGGTTGTGGTTATCACCAAATGGGTTCATTCACTCCCCCCCATTCCAAATGCAGCACCAGAACAGTTGTGTGACCATTCCCAGCATATCCAAGCAGCCTAACACAGTCTGTGCCTGTGAAAACTCCTAAAGGAACACTGAGGTGAGGGGGTCTGGGCTGGGGAGAGCAGCACAGCCCCCTGAGAGGGGCTCAGCAGGCACAGCTGCCAGGTGCTGGGAGCAGGGCTGGTCCCAGCCCCTCCACCCCCACTCCTCACACAGCTGAGCTGGAAGAACAAACAAAAGCAGCAGATGTTTCTTTCCGAGCAGCCCAAATCCCAAGCCAGCTGTGCACTTCCCAAAGGACAAGGACCCCTCGGAAACGGAGTAGCTGCCAAACCAGTGGGGTGTGTGCACCAGAGGACCTTTCAGCAGAAGAGGGGGAAGAGGCTTCTCCCTCAGCCCACGGCCTGGGAATCACTCTTCAGTCCCTGCCCCTCTCCTCAGCTTTACTGGTCAAGGCTGCTGCAAACACCACACTGGGATGAAGAAGTGCAGGAGCAAGAACCATCTCTCCCTTGCCTCCAGCTTGACCGGGGCATGTTTAAATTTATGGGAAACATACCTTTTCCATGAATTCCCAAGCACAGGAAGCTCATTTGCTCTCTCACACAAGCCCTGACAAGCAGCCTTGCAGCTTCTCAGGCCTCTACCTCCGATCCTGATGAATCTTTTTAATTGTTATGCCAGAAGAAATCTAATCAAACTCCTTTACATAACCCCGGGGAGAAGCAGCACCCTCCTCTCCCTGCGGGGCCGTGGCCCAGAGCCAACTACAGGAGTAGTTTTCCAGGAGCGTTTTCCAGGCAACTGACACAGAGCAAAGTCACTTGGCTCAAGGCTTATCCCCTCAGTGGGGATTCTCCAGAGCCCAGGATGAGGCAGGACCATGGGGACACACACCAGCCCCTCTGGGCAGGGATATTTGGTGTCATCCCTGCAGCACTGTGGCTCAGGCACACGGCAGATATGGAGCAGAGGGAATGCTGCAAGGTTGAGCCATCACCTAATGAGCATTTCCTGAGCAGCAGGACTGATCAATAGACAGGATGCTGCCTGGGTACTCAATTCCCTCGGGTCTCATGAGCTACAAGTGCTCTATCTAAGGTTTACCTACAGCTGGAGCGTTTTCAATGGCTGTCCCACAGGGATTCTCCAGTGGCCAGCAAGGTCAAGAATATTTCCTTTCTGAAGGTGTTAATGGGATTACCCTCCTCTACCCACTTCCACACTCATGGAACTTGTGGCATCTCAGAAACTTTGAGGCCTTGGACCCTTTTCTGATGGAAATCCACGTTCTATGTTTCCTTTGGAAATTGGTAAAAATCAATCCCATGAAATGTGGGGCTGGAGGGCACAAGGGAGCACAGAGATGATTGGGAGAGGCATTGGAAAGGCTGGAGAGAGGAAGGGAAGTTCCAATAGTTGGTGCTTAATTCCTGTAGCAGATGGTTTCTGAGCCTGTAGGGACAGGGAGACTGGAAAAAGAGCAACAATCCTGGAAATTTGTTTCGGGCAACTATGGAGGCAGCAGGGACCAAGTTCTGAAGGTCTGAACATTCCTCTGGGTATGATCAAGTAGTTCCGAAGGTCTGGAAATTCCTCGGGGAATAGTGATGGCTATCTTAAGAGCTGATCTACCCCATGTTCCAGGGATTCACAGGCAGGACAAACAAAATGGGGCAAGTGAAGTGCAGGGTACAGGAATGTGGGCACTTCTGCAAGGCCAAGGGCAGCTGAGCTGAGGGACAGAACAATCCCAGAGCAACAAGATCAGACAAGCACCAGAAGGAAGCTCCTGCCCAGTCCAAACACGGAGAGGACAGGAACAAACACAGAAAGAACAGAAGAGAGATTTGGCACCTGCCCAAATGTCATCCCATTAAGCCTGCGGCACAGTCAGGTGAGCGAGGAAACAGCCGGCGCCCCAACCCGAATGGATCCTGGGAGGAGGAGCCAATTCCACCCTCCCTGGCAGGCAGGGGATGGGGGAGCTGTCAACAGATGAAAGCAGGCTCCTGACACTGAACCCCAGGAGTTAATGAGCCAGCACAGCAGTGGCTCTGTCCTTCCAGAGAGCAAGGGCAGCCTTTGCTGTGGCTTGTTCCCAAAGGGCGTCCCCTGGCAAAAGGGAACAACTGTGCAGACATGGCTGGTGGGACAGGCAGGGCTGCATCCACACACATGTGCCTCACGAGTGCTGCCTGGGGGTGTTGGAACCTCTGATGCCCTGCACCCTCCCCTATCCCAGCTCTCCTGTGGGATCCCCCTCTGCATCCACAGCTGGATGATCCCCAGTACCTGCTACTCTGAGCTGCGCTCAGCCTCTGGGCTCTCTTGTCCAGCCAGTCCTCGATGGCGCCCGGTGGGATATCTGCTCCCTCCCTCTGCAGCTCCTTCAGCCTCTTCTCCCCTGCTTGAGAGAAAGATTGAGATCAGAGAGGGTTGGATCACAGGGAGGGCCATGAGAGAAAGGGCCACCAGACCCTTGTCCTTTCACGCCATTAAACCTGCAGCTCATTATCCTGCACAGTTTCACAGGGTGGAGAGTGTGCACCATGCCTGGACAGCCCCTCCTCCTGTGCCCTCCTGCCATCTGATGCTTGGTGACAGCTGCAGCCAGGCAGAGCAGGGGACAAGAGCTAAGCCAGCACGGTGGCAGTTTGGGCACTGAGGGGAGTCTGACATCTCCCCCCGAAGCAAATCACCCTCGTCCTCGCCTGGAACAGCCTCGGCTGGCCCTGAGCTGTTTCCAGAGTTGTGTCCCTCCAACTGGCAGCAGCAACTGTGCCACCCCTGCCCTGTTAGGTGGAAATGACAGGGACAGTGCCCGGATCGATGCAGCCTTGGCAGTCCGGGAGAGTCTGAACAGTTCCGGGTGCGTGTTCCAGCCAGCAGACAGATCCCAGAGCTGCTGTCAGGGCTGCTTAAGGAGCTCCCTGCCTGATGTGTCCCCAAGCCCTGCACAGCCCAGACAGAGCTGTCACCAGCTCAGGGGCAGAACCTGGGCAGAGAGAACCAGGGGGACAAGTTCTTGTATTTAGAACCATGGAATGGGTTGGTTGGAAGTCACCTAAAAGCTCATCCTGTCCTACCCCCTGCCACAATCAGGGACACCTTCCACTAGCCCAGGGTGCTCCAAGCCCTCTCCAACCGACCTTGGACACTTCCAGGGATCCAGGGGCAGCCACAGCTTCTCTGGGCACCCTGTGCCAGGACCTCACCCCATCAGAGGGAAGGATTTCTTCCATAAATCACAGAATTACAGAATCAATCATGTTCAAGAGAGATCATTGAGTCCAACCTATACCTAACCTAAATGTCCCTTCTTTCAGTCTGAGCCCATTACTCCTTGTTCTATTTCTCATGGTGATTAGGAACAAGGAAGAAAACCAGAAAGAAACCTCTGCTGTTTACTGAATCAAGATTTCAACCCCTCCAATCACTCTGGAAGGGCTGTGTGGGCAGATACCCACAGGCACCCCCTGGGGAGAACGGCACAGAGCCAGCATGGCACAAACCCACAGCTGCCCAGTTAGCAAAGCTCCCCAGTCCCCCTCAGCTGCAGGGAGGGAGCTGGTGCTGAACAGGTCTAGCAAGAGTCCTGACACAGCCACACTCCTGCCAGCACATCAGGGATGAGGACACACTTCCAGTGATCCCAGCTCCAGCCTGGTGGAAACTTCCCACCTAACAGAACAGGGAACCCAGAAAACCAAATACTGGTGACAACAAAAAGGAAGCAGAGGCAGCTGTCATTCTCTTAGCCCTGCTCATCCATCCTTCTGAGGGATCCCTGATCCCATTTAGGGATCAAGGCACCTGCAGCCATGCCCCTCAGGAGGCTGCTCCACATCCACCCACCATATGTCACATGTTTTAAGGAAAATATTATACCTTTGCAGACAGAGTGTGAAATTAATAGTGCTTGGGCAGAGTGAAGGATCACTTCATCCTGCTGGTGGCAACCAATTATTCATCTGCCTGTTGAATACTAAATCAGGATGGAAGGGATGTGCTACACAATGAGCAGCCAGATGGATAATTTGTCATCCAGCCTTTTCAGCTGCTGCTGCTGGGCGGGGTGACGATGTGCCCAGTGCCACCACAGAAAGCCCGCTGTGGTCCGGCTGCTGCTCTGAGCCCACCGAGAAGGCTGCAGACAGCAATGTTCCAGTCTCCCACAGCTGTTCCCAAGGATCAAAGCCCCAGCAGAGCTTCCTGGGGTCAACCCAACCAGCTGGCCAAGCGGGCAGATGGGGAGGCAAGAAGCTCAGCCTGGAGAGCTGGGCACTGCTCACACTCAGGGTTAGACTCATCTGGCAGCCTTGAGCACCTTATTTCCCTTTGTTCCATGTTCCACCTCCTGAGCACATCCCACCTCAGCAGGGGGACAGACAAGCAGTGTCTATGAGAAGCTTCAATGAGTCAGGGAAGAAAATCATGGAGAATCTCTCCCATCCCTGCATCACTGTGATTTCCTCTTCATCCAACTCCCAGCCTCAGCAGAGAACAGAGCATAAACAGTCCAAGCCTCTGTGTTCAGAGCAGGGAGCCTCAAGGTACCACTCCAGGGATGGAATAGCCACAACACATGGTCCAAGCCAGAAAAGTTCACTGGATGCTGTGGAACCACTCTGGATTCACACTGCCCCAAATGAGGCTGCAGATATCCACATCACCAAAACATAAAGCTGCCTCCCTGCTCTCACACCTCCAGGAGCTGCTGCTCCAGAGCAGTCCAAACCTCACGCTTAGAAATATGGCAGCAGGGACAGGCAGCTCTCCAGCTCTACCCACCTTGATGATGTCCATGTCCCTCTGGAGCACACACATCCCATCCAGGGACCACCAAACGCACTCTGAAATTGGAAATACTCCCTGAATGCCAACAGGTATTCCAAGAAGCAGCTCTGAAAGGCCTTTACCAGCCCTTGCTCCCCACATGTGCCCGTGCAGCTGGACAGGTGTGAAGGTGCTTTCCCCCTCCTTCTCCTCACTGTGGTGTTTGCTTCCAAGTCTAATTACAGCCAATTGAAAGACCATCTGTAGTTGTGAAGTGCCTCTAATGATGCCAGAGCAGGGTCCACATTTATCTCCTCTCCTCATGGGTTTTATTCTTGACAAAGGCACTGCTGTGTGAGAGATGGAACCCGCCAATATGTGCTGGGGGGTCACCCAGCAAGGCAATGCACAGGAAATCCCTCAGCTCCCACCCAGCAAAGAGATGCACATGAAATCCCTCAGCTGCCTCCCTGGTGGATGATGTGGAACCCCAACTCCTCCAGTGCAAAAGACCAGCACCATAGCCTGGCTGAGATGAGGCTGAGGAGCCCCTGCAACTGGAGAAGGCAAACAAGCGACCGCCCTGCAGCCCAGTGTAAGCGCTCCTCCTGCTCCCCACCCAGTCAAACCAGTGCACCCCAGCCACCCCAGCAGGGCCCTCAGACCCTTGCAACCCCATGGACATCCTGCAAACACTGCCCAGCTTGCCCTCCTCTGGCAGCCCTGCCTGGCTGGAGCCACCAGAGCCCAGCTAGGTCGATCCTGCCTGCACAGGGACACGGATTAGCGGGGAGCCAATAACTCTGAGCAAGGAGATGGCAATTTGACAGTGACTTTTCCTGACATGACTATACTTAAAATGACAGCCTGCAAGTGTCTGGCTGATGAATGATGCAGCAGACGCAGAAGGCTAATGCTCTGATGGGGGAACAGCTGGGAATATGAGCTCCCTCCCTGCTGAAGGTGTAAACTGTTGCTTCTTGATGAGGATATTCTACAGGGTGCAGAGATGCTGACGCCAAAGTAGGCCACGCTTCAAGCTGTTCTAGAACACGGAATCATCCAGAAATTTTCCTACTTAACCCACAAAAGTTACACAAACTACAGGGTGAACTTCCAGCATTAAAAGGGCCAAATGTTAAGGGTACTGTCACATTGCCTTTGGCTATGATAAAAATACTTCATTATCAAGGTGAGTTCACAGACACAGAGCTACCAATGCCAAATACTCAGGGACTCAGGGACAGGTTCAATATTTACATGATAGAAAAGGTGTCATCACGATTTAGATGGGTTAAAAAAAAAATTCAGACAAGGCTTTGCCTGCACGAAAGCTGAGGAAAGGGAGGTTAAGCAGCACTGTGGGCCCACCAGGAAAGTGCCTCCCACCAGCCTGGCTGCCCCCAGCATGGTCCCCCCAAGGCTTGGGAAAGCTCTGGAGCTTCCAGCCTCTCAGCTTATCTCAAATCCCTGATGATCCCTGGCACCAAAGCTGCCAAAATCTCCCAGCTTGGTCAGTGAGAGGCAGCCTGGTCGAGATTGCTCCAATCCCGCTGGCTGTGGCTTGGGATGGCTCATGGCTCAGAGACCCTGAGTGGGAATGCATGTGGGATATCACTGATGGAGGATCCTGTATGAATTACACACCCTGCCACTGAGAGCTTGCCCTTAACATCTGCCCTCCTCAGCCCCAGCACCTGGGACAAGGGTGCTTTGGCAGCTGAAGGATGACTGCTGGGATGTCCCCATGACTCACCAGACAGTGTCTGATCCTTCCATCCTGTCTGTTACAGGCTGTCCCTCTCCTCCACCAATCCTGCTGAGCCTTTCTCCACACCAAATCCCTCCAAACTCTCTGATCAAAGCTGGAGTCTGTGTGATGCATGAAACCACACCATGAGAGAGCTGAGCAGGATTGAACTCTCCTACCAAGCACCCCTGTCCCCTGGCCATCGCTCCTTCAGGGCTAATTGGTAAATGAAATGTTTGACTCTGGAACACAAATGCAAGGTTTCCCAGTAATCTCCCTGGAATTGGCTCTCGGCAGCCAATCCTGCACTTACACCGACCCATTTGACACAAGTCAATACTCAATAACAAGTGTAATTGGCAAGGAAAGCTGCCCGAGCGCAGAGGAGCTGCCAGCCCTCCCTGCTCTGCTCCAGAGAGCTCCCCCTTCTCCTGCAGGAACAGCCAGTGCCTGGAAATGCTAGAGGTTCCTGTGCTGCCACTCTGTGCACCCTCAGAAGCCCAGCAGAGAGGGGGCAGGGAGAGGCTCTGGCTGGAAGGTGACTCTGGGAAGGGCTGGAGCACCTCGTCCCCACCGTGGCTTTATGGACTGCGGGCGGCGCTCAGAGATTGATTCAGAGTCACCTCGTGGGCTCTCACTGACTCAGCACGGCCTGGAATAGCTCTGTGCTGCCTGCCTGCCTCCCCCTGGCTCCCCTGAGCTCTTCCTTCCCCAGCGGGATCCCTCCGAGGGCCAGGGGAGGCTCTGCCCCACGCACACGCCCCTCTCACATCCCACACTTCCAACACTACAGCCTGGCTTTGCCAGACTCTTGGCAAAACAACTGCTGGCTCCAGCGAGGATGTGGGCATGGGAGCTGCTCCAGGCTCAGCTGCACTGGGACAGCAGGCTGGGAAAGGAATCCTTCTCTGCTCCACACTGTGAGGCCACATCTGGGTGCTGTACCCAGTGCTGGGGTCCCCGGTACAGTGACAATGGGTACAACCCAAAATACGGGAATTTCTGTCAGGAATTTCTATTTAAATATTTTTTAAATTACACATTTTTATTATGAACCTAGTCAAACACTGGATCAGGTCACCCACAGAGTCTCCAGCCTTGAGATATCTGAAACACAGTGGACATGGCCCTGAGCACCCTGCTTGAGTTCACCCTGCTTTCAGCTTGGTGCAGATTAGGTGATCTCCAGTGGGGATTTCAACCATTCCACAAGTTCTCACCAACACCTCACTCACACTCCCTGGAAGTGTCCAAGGCCAGGCTGGATTGGGCTTGGAGTAACCTGGTCTAGTGGAAGGTGTCCCTGCCCATGGCAGGGGTGGAGTGAGATGAGCTCCAAGACCCCTTCTCACCCAGCCCAGTCTATGGTTCTGTGATTTTCTTTAACCACTAAAGTAATGACTCCTGTGGAGAAATCAGAGCTACCACCTCTTTTCCCTTAGAGAAAAGTAGTTCCAAGAATGGTAGTCCCAGAATGAGAAAGTTCAAAAGTGCTCCGCAGGCTCCTAGCAGGGAGTAGCTGCCATCCACCCTCTGCCCACACTTCACTTCCATCCAAAGCCACCCAAGCAGAGGCTGTTTCTGGATCCAGGACCCCTTTCACAGCCCAACAGCAGGACAGCTCTTCCCACCAGCTCTTCCCACGGGTGGAAGCAGCAGCTTCCTGGTAATAGCAGCAAGGTGGGGGGGAAATCAAATCCATAAATTAAAGGGGATATGATGTACCAGTGCCCTCTGCTGCTGACAGTTTTTATTCCCTGACTGAACAAAACCCCGAGGGCTCAGGAAGGCCACTCCAAACTCTTGCTGCCAAGTGGTAACAGCACAGCTCAGCTCCAGGTTTGTGTCTGTGCCAGCAGCTCGAGAGCAGGGAGCATATGACAAACTGCAGCACTTCCAGGCTCTCACAGCACTGGGAAGCAGGAGGGATTGGCTGGCTCCATGCAGGCAGTAAGGGATCACAGCCTGCACAACCCCTCACACCCCCCTGCAGCAACTGCCCCTCCAAAGAGATCCTCAGACACTGCCTTGTTGGAGGACTCACCTTGAACCTGGGCATTCAGCTTCTCCAGGTCCTGCTCTGTCATGTGGGAAAATCTGCAGTTGGACCCAAAATCACACTGTCCTGGAATGAAATAGTGACATTTGAAAATTCAGTTTCAAAATTCTCTAGATTAGATATTAAGAAATTTTTCACAGAATGGGTTGTAAAGCATTGGAATGGGCTGCCCAGAGAAGTGGTGCAGTCACCATCCCTGGAAGTGATCAAATAGCCTGTGGATGGGGCACCTGCAGACATGGTTTAATGATGAACATGGTGGTGCTGTACTGACATTTGGACTTAGTGATCGGAAAGGTCTTTTCCCACTTTAATAATTCTGGGAAAAGCCAGAGTCCCATGAGAGCCACCCACAGGAGGTCCCTGTGCAAGCAAACACAGGCTCCATCACACCTGGATGCCAGACACAGGCCCAGCCCCTACCTCGAGCCCTGGGCTGGCTAGAGCCCAGGCACTTCTTTCCACCTTAGATCTCCTCACCTGTTTGCAGAAACTTCCGACAAGGTTTCTTGGTTTGCTCTTCCTGCAGGATAGCAGCAGCATCTGTGGAGACAAGGGATGAACCCAGGTAAAGATCCTGGGCACAGCAAAATCTATCATGTCCAGTCCCAAACTGGTCAGGGAGCAGAAGGAAGCAGAGGGACACACAGGCAATGGTTTCACAGCCAGTTTAGCCCACTCCCACTGCACTCCTCAGGCTGGCACTAATACATCTGGAACTGTGTGCTGAGACAGGTCAGAGACACACACAAGGGTTTCATCTCTGAGACTGCCTGATTCAGCAGCATCACGTGCTCAAATTGCTGGCACACAGAGTGTATAAACCATCAGTGCTGATTCATTTTCTCTTCCCACTCCCCCCCCGACATCCATCACCTCCCCAGTCCCAGGAAGGGAGTGGCAGACAGCTGGGAGCACCCACCTCGGAATAGGTCGTACCAGACTCTCTTAGCCCGGAGATGCTGCACTCCATTGAGGTGTTTCTTCCTGTTGTGCAGGTTGTCCTGGAAGGACCTGTCACAGTAGTCACAGAAGTACCTTTTGCCCATCTCTCTTCTGACAAAACAGCATCAGCGTGTTCTGAGGTCATCAGGCAGCTCCTCGGTGCCCAGCCATGGGAATGGAGAATCCAGGATTTACAGTGCCTGCTTCCAAAGGAGGAGAACTCAAATCACTTAGGGTTGGCAGACAGAGAAAGAGGTGAGACCCAACAGTTTATATCCCTGTCCATCACAGACTGCTGGGGCAGGATCTGCTGCCTGTACATGGGAGAAAAGGCCTGATCTGCATTTATCTCTGTCACCCAAAACAACAACAGCTCTGCTGGAAGGATTCTCCTTGCCTGAGCTCAGAGCGCAGAAAACAGAAAGCCACAGGCTCCAGGGAAGGTGCAGCACAAACCATCCAAGGTGCAAACAGGAGGAGCTGGAGGTCCTGGGGACCTTTGATCACAGCCCCCATGAGCTGATACAAAGGAGGAAGGAAACTCCCCTGTGTCCATCTCTGCAAGATAAAGAAGAAACCCAGCAAAGCTCATTTTATCCTCAAAGATAAAACAGAAGCTGAACTCACCTGTCCTGCAGGTGGGCAGCTGCATTACAAACACTGCAGGACATATTTCCAACAATCCACTGAGCCACCTGTTTTTTCCTAGACACCATGGATTGCTCTCCTCATCCCCCCCAGCCTATGGCACCAAGGCATGTCTGCTCTTAGTACAGCACTAAGATCACAACAGAATTTGGGAGCTCCCACCTGTGCTGGGCCTGCCACTGTCAGTGCAGGTGAGATCAGCTTGTGTTTTTTCCTTCAGGCACCTGTCCCCATTAGATGTCCCTGCTGGAGGTGCAACAAACACCCTGAAGGAGCTGCAAGCTCTCTATATCCCGAGGAATATAAAGGTACCTGATGAATGGCAAAGATGGATGGACTGGGAGATAAACTCCAAAAAGCAATTCTCCAGGTTGTGACACTTTGACAGCTGAATGCATTTAAAAAGTGGCACAAAGACCAGCACAAGAAATAAAGATTTTATAAATAAAACGGGTCCAGATTCAATCACAGCCCCCTGGCTGATTCCCCTGGCTCAGCATGAAGAGCAGAGCACCAGGCAACCCCTCAGAGCCCAGTGTGCCCAGCTCAGGCACGGCTGCCAAGCCTCCTGCCAGACATCCATCCCAGCAGGAGCACCAGCACCACACTCCCTTCCCTCCCCTGCTCCCAGGAACTGCTGCTTTGAAATCAAACCCCTGGAAATCTCCAAGGCCTCTCACACCACAAGCTGAAGCAAAGCTGCACTCCACGGGAAGACCTTCTGAGATTTTTAAAATTAGATTGAAAACCTCCACACTGAAGGTAAAATGTTCAGCTATTCCAAGTGACCTGGAAATCTCGTGTTGAGGTTCCTTCCTGGGGGGGTGAGGGCTGGCCATGCTCCAGCTGTGTGTGCTGGGACCCCAAATCCCCCAGTGCCCTGGGTTGATCCCGACGCAGCTCTGCAGGACTTGAGGTCTGAAATCATCCTCCTCCAGCCCAAAAATCCAAACCCAAGTGCTGCTTAATGAGCACAGAGCCATAAATTCCCTCATCCTTTGCATCCCTGAGTTTTGCAGCCAGGTTTGTAGCACTGTGGTGAGGCTGCTGGAATTCAGGGGGAACAGTGCTTTTACATACTGAAAAATCTCTGCTCCACATGTTATTCCATAGTCTCCCAAAGTTCCTGGTGACATAAAAATCTCCCTGTCTCAGCTGCTGGCTCCTGCATTCCATCTCTGCAGAACAGAATGCTGCAGACAGGGAAAACAAATGAGATTCTGCAGTGGTCCCACACAAGTTTCCAGAGATCTCCCAGGGAATTCTGCCTGCGGAAGCCCAGCAGCAGCCAGCCTTTGAAATCGTATTTCAAACTTTCTCTTTCATCACTCCAACAGCAATAATTGCAGAAGCTCCTTCCCCCTCCTCCCCCAACAACCAGGGCAGAAAGCTCCTACAGACTCCAGACAGCCAGATCCCACAGCCCACGGCTGCCTGCTCCTGAACTCTGCAAGCAATTCCCATTGCAGGGGACGGAGGGATTGTAAAAAGCAATTAGAGAGGTATCAGATTCTCCCTGAGACTTTCCCCTTCAGTGATTATACCCAACACTTATCCCCATCTTTTCAAGGATTCCACTGCATGGATGCCTTGCTGGGTTCTGCCAACTCTCTGCAACACCAGCACTTCCCAGCACTCTGTGAGTCCAGAGGGCTCAAAAGCTGCTTCTGAACAACACCAACCTATTTCCATCTCCCCAAACGGCTCCAGCAGTAAACAAAGAGCAATATTCAGCTGAAAACAGAGATGGTTCCTAATTAAATCCATCTTAGTCATTATGAAATAAAGTAAATGTAGCTGTTCTATAAAGAACTGCCTCAGCCTGGCCGTTTCCTCTCAGCATCTCCAGCCCCTGATTTGCAACTGAATCAGAGCACTCAGACCTGGGCCCACCGCAGCCATAAATGCTTCCAGCCAGGCTTTGTGCCAGCTTAAAAGTCTTCCTGAATAAATGCTAATTAAAATTAAAAAAAAAACCAAAAAAACAACAACCCAGGGCTTTATGTTGTATGAAAGTGTAACAGCAATGCTGTGCTGTCTCCTGGAGCCCTGCTGGGTGAGCAATACCCTGGTGTGAGGCACCTCGAAGGTGACAGAGAGGGGCTTGGGACAACTCTAGCCAAGATATCCTGGGCACCATCCCACATTTTCCCTGCTCCAGCTGCTGCCAGAACACTCCACGCTGCTCTGTGTCAGCTGCAGATTTTGTCTCTGCCTCTCGGGGTGTTTCACCGGGCAGAGGGAGGAAGGTGACTCCGGCGGGGCACAGACCCCTCTGTGTCTGGGGGAAGCTGCTGCTCTCCACACCAGCCCCAGGAGGTGCTGCTGGGCCCTGACCTCAATTTCCTGCTTTCCCACGGCCCGGGCTCGGGGCCATTCCAGCCACTTCGGATACCCAGGCAGATGTGAATTAATTAAATCCAAGTGTCAGGCTTCTGATACTCAGCTGCCAATTTAAATGGGCTCAGATCTGCAGGGAGACTTGGAATGGCAGCAGAGTCTGCCAGCACCTTCCCAATGACAGAGGCACAGATCCTGCTCTCCATTCCACCCAGAGGAATCATGGAATAGTTAAGTTGGAAGGGACATTAAAACTCATCCAGTGCCACCCCTGCCATGGCAGGGACACCTTCCACTGTCCCAGGCTGCTCCAAGCCCTGTCCAGCCTGTCCTTGGGCACTGCCAGGGATCCAGGGGCAGCCACAGCTGCTCTGGGCACCCTGTGCCAGGGCCTGCCCACCCTCTCAGGGAACAATTCCTAATTCCCAATATCCCATCCATCCCTGCCCTTTGGCACTGGGAAGCCATTGCCCCTCGTCTGAGAATCACGGAATGGTTGGGTTGGAAGGGACCTTAAAGCTCATCTCATCCCAATCCCTGCCACAGGTAGGGACAGCTTCCACTGGGAATCCAGAGCTTGATTTGTGATCAACATCAACCTGACCACACACAAACCATCCTGGTAGCAGCAATTAATGGGCAGCTGGGGGGATTTGTGTTAGATATCCAGAGCAGTTACATTTGAAAAATAAAAATTGAGTTTTTCTGAGCTCTGTGGTGACCAGGGTCAGAACCCAGGGAATGGCTGGAGCTGGGCCAGGGCAGCTCAGGCTGAGATCAGGGAAAGGTTCTTCCCCCAGAGGGTGCTGGCACTGCCCAGGCTCCCCAGGGAATGGGCACAGCCCCGAGGCTGCCAGAGCTCCAGGAGCCTTTGGACAGCACTGCCAGGGATGGACAGGGTGGGGTTGTTGGGGGTCTGGGCAGGGCCAGGAGCTGGGCTGGATGAACCTGTGGGTTCCTTCCTAAATGAGGATATTCTCGGGTTCCAAAGGGATAACACTACACAGGAATGTGCCAAGCACCTTCCAGGCTTCCAGAACAAGCAAAGGTATTGTCCTATTCCAGAAAAATCCCACAGATCCCCAGAGTCACTGCATGAGGGAAAAAATATAAATAAATCAGGAGAAATTACTCTGCAGACAGACCTTGTGCTACTTCTGAGGGGGTGGGACAAACAAAACAAAGCAGTGTCACTTGAGGGCCTGCTCTGGAACTTCATGCAGATACTCATTTAACAACAGCCTTATGGGGAAACAGCCTCAGTGGTAGGATTTCCCTATCCTGTCCCTGTCTGTTCTGCTTTCCTAAATCCAAATTTACCTCTCTCCTATCTGTGCTAGAGTCACCCTGGGGATGCTCTGCTCTCACTGAGGTTAAAAAGAGACAAACATGAGAGCAAATGGGAACATTCCCACTTCTGTTGTGCCACATGGGGCCAGGTCCCACTCCTCCCGAGGCCTCTGGAGCAGCTGTCAGAGATCCCTGGCACAGGGTGCCCAGAGCAGCTGTGGCTGCCCCTGCATCCCTGGCAGTGCCCAAGGCCAGGCTGGACACTGGGGCTTGGAGCAGCCTGGGACAGTGGAAGGTGTCCCTGCCATGGCAGGGATGGCACTGGATAGGCTTCAGGGTGCCTTCCAACCCAAACCATTCCATGATTCATGAGCCCCACGCCCCTCTCCCACTCCCCCAACACTGACACCAACCACCTTTTGCAAGCCCCCCAAAAAAAAAAACCCAAATGCCCTCCCACCCACCTTCCGGGGGTCAGCTGAGGGCCGTGACCGCAGCCTCCTTCCTGTCCCTGTCACCCCTGGCCGCACACCCGGGCAGGGCAGGGCAGGGCAGGGGTGTCTCTGCCCCCTCAGCCCTCCCGCCCCGCTGCTCCCCGGCCACAGCTCCGTCTGGGTCCCGCCCCAGCCACGGCCGGGCCGGTTTCACCGCACAAACCTGGGGCTATCCAGCGGAGGCCGCTGAGGACAAGGCGGAAGGAACGGGACGAGCGGAGCCTCACAGGGACCCCTCACAGGGACCCCCGCTACCCCCACCATGCTCACCCACCTCACGTCAGGCCCGCGCCGCAACCGCCTACAACTCCCACAACGCCCTACGGCAAAAGCGTGCGCGCATGTAACAAACGGCACAGACGCGGCCTACAACTTCCAGCATGCCCCACAGGAGCTTGGCACTCCGTACGAATCACAGAGCACCGCCTACATCCCCCAGCAGCCCTTGCGGCGCGGCGCAGGCGCGGAGCGCGCAGGCAAGATGGTGCTGCTGCGGCAGTTGTACGGGTCGCTGTTCCGGCGCAGCTCCACGTTCGCGCTGTCGATCGTGCTGGGCGCGGTGCTCTTCGAGCGCGCCTTCGACCAGGGCGCGGACGCGCTCTTCGAGCAGCTCAACGAAGGGGTAAGGGCTGTGTAAGGCCCGGCCGGGGCCGCCCGGGCGCGGGCCCAGCGCTGAAGGTCAGGCCGGCCCCGCTGGGCCCCGGGCCCGCGGCTCGGCCCCAGGGCTCGCTGAGGGTCAGCGCGGCTCGGCCGCTCCCGAGGGGGCTCCGCGGCTGTCGTGCCGCTCGGTGGTCGGGGCTTTGGGGTGTCCTTGGGCTTCTCTGGCCGCTTGGAAAGGGCGTGCAAGGCAGGGGGCAGCGGGAGGAGGAAAAGGAGCTTCTTTTGTGCTCTGTAGGCCCCCGGCTTGGCCGATGTGGCCGTGGCGGAGGAAGGGGATAAGGGCTGGTGGCCTTGGGTGTCCCCAGCGTGACCCTTGAGTAAAAGGGGTCAAGTCGTCCTTCGGTTCTTAAGTACAGCAGTGAGGGGATAATGACTGCAGGACACCGAGGCAGGCTTGGGGGAGACCTTAGAGCCCCGTTCAGGGCCTACAGAGGCTCCAGGAGGTGAGAAAATGACTTTGGACAAGAGCCTGAAGTGACAGGACACAGGGAATGGCTTCCCACTGCCAGAGGGCAGGGATGGATGGGTTTTTGGGCAGGAATTGTTCCCTGGCAGGGTGGGCAGGCCCTGGCACAGGGTGCCCAGAGCAGCTGTGGCTGCCCCTGGATCCCTGGCAGTGCCCAAGGCCAGGCTGGACAGGGCTTGGAGCAGCCTGGGACAGTGGAAGGTGTCCCAGCCCATGGCAGGGGTGGCACTGGATGGGCTTTAAGATCTGTTCCAACCCAGACCATGGCGTGATTGTTCTGTGCATCCCTTATGTGCAGGAGCAGAAACTGCCCTCTCCAGTGTGGGTGGGAATTCAAGGCAGTGTCTCTGGGCCACTAATCCAGAGCAGAACAGGGGAAGGGGAATCTCTGCAGCTTCCTCCCTGTCCACATTATAATCTAGAAGCCTCCATGTGCATCCCTGTGTCCCCCAGATCCAGTACAGGACTCCATCACCACCTCCCCAGGCAGGATAATTTGCATTTTGGATTCTGTTATCCCAACCCCACCGAGAGGCTGAGTAAAACATCTTGATATTTTTTTCCTGCTTGTTTTGCATGCAGAAACTGTGGAAACACATCAAGCACAAGTATGAGAACTGAGTAGCTCAGCAGCAGGAGCCAGCCTGGGGTGGCAACTGGCACTGCAGGGATGGATTCAGCCTCCTGAAACTGGGAATGGATTCCTGATGGAACAACTCCGAGCCACCACTGATACCATGTGAAGCCAGATGGACTCAAGGAGTTCTGCTGCTGTACTGCACTTACTGTGTTCAAATAAAACTCCTGGTCCTCTCTTGTGTCTTTGTGTTCACCTCACTCATCCTTTGCCCTCTCTGTGCCTCCTCCTCCTCTGGGAGGTGGAGAATCTTTAAAAACAGCCCTGTTCCTGAGTTCCAAGGCACTGTCAGGAATCACAACATCTTAAAATGGGTTTGAAAGCACTCAGACAGACAGATGTGGTTCATGACAACCCTTGGCTTCTGCCTGGGAAGGGTGAGAAGCTGTTTGCTTCCTCTAGTCTGTCCACGGAAAAGGGGCTTAGAATCATTCACAGCACCTTTTTGGGGTTCAGCTTGGTGGAAGTTCCTGGCCTGGGGCCTTTGAGAGCTGCAGGTGCTGCTGTAGCTTGCAGAGGTGATGTGATTTCCTGATTATTCCTGTACCACCTGGCTCCCCCCGTGGCTGAAGGAGCAGAAGTGATGTCAGGTTTGTGTGTCTCACCTGCCTCCATCCCCACTGACCCATGGGAAGGTGCTGGGAAGGGAGAGGGATCACTCAGTTCCCCCCAGGGGCTGGCTCAGAGGAGTCATGGAATGGTTTGGATGGGAAAGGACGTTAAAGCTCATCCAGTTCCTCCACCCTGAGCAGAGTCATTCCCTTCTCCTTGAAAAGCCCAGCCCTGCCTGGCCCTGTCAAACATTCCTATATGGGAAGGGTATTTGGGCACTTCCTAGGGTAATGACAGTTAATTCCTCAGCTCTCAGCTTCTCTTCCCACTTTCCCAGTCCAACAGCCCCAGCTCCCCCTCCTCAGTCCATTTTCACTTATCAGGAGCAATTTCAGCCTAGGCTGAGGCAGAGCCCATCAGAGGCAGTGCTCACAGCAGCTTTGTTGGGTTTGCAAACGAGCACCAGGGGGGTAAAACATTTACTCTGAGAACACAATGAGCACTTAAACACTTGTGCTTGTTTTTGGAGCCAAACCCAACTACAGCTGTCCCAGTCCCAGCTGTGCTTTATGGAGGTGGTTGAGAGAAAGGTTTAAGCATTCCTGGGACAATCCCATCGCAGTGAGTGCCAGCTCCCTGAGCTCTGCTGCTGCTCCACATCAGGCTGAGCAGCTCAGAGAGAGCTGCAGGCTCAGAGCAGCTGAACCAAAGCTGAATACAGGATGAGGGGACAGCACTGCAGTGGGCAGCAGGGAGGAGCTGAAGCCATCGGTGCAGAGCGCAGGAGCTGCAGGAGAGCAGCATTATCCCAGCAGGGGATTTTCCTGGATACAGCATTTGGGGATGCTGGTAAATCTATTCCTTTTTCCATGCCTGTCATTGGGAGGTTTGGGTAGCACTGATAGGTAAAGAAAAATCTCCTTGGAGCACTCAGGGCTTCCCCTCATTTCATGGCAGTGGCTGTTCTGCTGCATTTCTGCTTCTCTGCAAACTGCCCCACAGCAGCTCCAGTCACATTCCTGCCCTCTGCACAACACCAGGCACCAAGGTGTGGACCTTTCTACCACTCTACTACCACTTTACCACCCCACTGCTCCTGCAGCACTGGGATTGCCCTGGAGCACAAACCAGTGCTGATTTTTCCACTGTGGGGGTGACAGCCACAGGCACTGCTGCAGTGCAAGAAAATACAGTGTGGTGAGGAGAGGGCACTCAGGGCACATTAACCAGTAAATTAACCAAGCAAAGCCTAACTGGATACCAGGAAGTTCATCAATACTGTCTGTAAAGGCCTAAAAAAACCAAGACATCTACATCTTTTATTTGTACCATCTGTTTTCACAGGCCTCACTTGAGGGACAGAAATCCATAAGGTCTGACTCACCCTGTGGGTCTGTTGGCAGTGGGAACAGCCTGAGCCTTTCTCTGCCAGCACGGAGCTGTGTTGGGAGGTTTAGGTGGAGATCAGGAAAGTTCTTCCCCCAGAGGGTGCTGGCACTGCCCAGGCTCCCCAGGGAATGGGCACGGCCCCAAGGCTGCCAGAGCTCCAGGAGCCTTTGGACAGCACTGCCAGGGATGGACAGGGTGGGGTTGTTGGGGGTCTGGGCAGGGACAGGAGTGGGACTCGTGATCCCTGTGGGTCCCTTCCGAGCTGGGACAATTTATAACTCAAGCTCAGGATAAGGCATTTCCATGGAAGCCGTGCTCTCGGAGCTGCCCACTCCAGGGTGGGCAGGAGCCAGTATGAAAATAAAACTCTGAATTATAAATAGTACAAAAGGGCAGGAATGGCTGCTGCAGCCTGTCCCATGTATTGGGTGCAGCCACTGGCACACACAGTCAGGGCAGCTCCTTCCCGGGAATGGGCAGCACTCCCACGGGGAATGCAGCTCCGTGTGAGCCCAGCTGCCCGGTATTGCACACAACATCCATCCCCTGAGCAAAGGGAAGGCCGAGGAAAGGGAGCCTCCTCCTGGGCAGGGCCTGGGATGGTGCAGGCCCGGCCCGGGCTGCTCAGGAAGGGATCATGCCCTTGCTGCGCTTCCTGTCGGCCATGGCCCGGCGGTTGTGGTTGGCTCGGGTGCTTTTGTTCGCTTCTTTCTTCCTCCGCTCCTGCAGCGTCTCCCGGCTCTGCCCGTGGCCCTTGGCGTTCCCAACAACGGCAGAGCTGTCGTGCTTGTGCCTGGAGGACACAGAGCAAGGACATCACAACAGGCACACTGCACTCCTGGGGGTGAAATCCCACATCCCCACAAACACCAGGATGTGAGGGGCTCAGCCTCAGGCCTCACCTCATCCCAGGACTCCCACAGCAGCCCAGGAGCAGCATCAGCCACACCACCACTGTCCTTCCACACACTGAGCCCATCAGCTGAAACTCCCAAAATCCCCGTGGGAGCTGTTGGAGCTCTGGGAGTTGTGCTCTCCAAGAGCCTGTCTACCATAGGGTTCTGCTGCTTGGAGTGACACAACAAGGGGGAATAGCTTTTATGCTGAAATAGGGAAGATTTAGATTGGCTATTAGAGGGAATTGTTCCCTGGGAGGGTGGGCAGGCCCTGGCACAGGGTGCCCAGAGCAGCTGTGGCTGCCCCTGGATCCCTGGCAGTGCCCAAGGCCAGGTTGGACAGGGCTTGGAGCAGCTTGGGAGAGTGGAAAGTATCCCTGCCCATGGCAGGGGGTGGGACTGGATGGGCTTTAAGGTCCCTTCCCACCCAAACCACTCCATGATTCTGTGCCATGCCTACCCCTATTCAGTGGGATGAAACAACCAGCACTGAAGTAAAGGGTGGGTGAGGAAGTTCACCCCACTGTGGCAAGACACTGACACACAGGAATGCCAAGAAGCAGGAACACCCCCAACAATTCCAGCCAGCAGCAAAAGAGCTGCAGAGGCAGAGGGAGATCCTTGCTTACCCCTTCCTGGCAAGGAATGCCTGGCGCCTGGCTTCAGCCCTCTCCCGCAGGACTGCGGGGTCCTGCACAAAGTGGTCCTACAAGGAAGCAAGGGAACAGGTCAGGAAACCCATCAGCACTGTGCAGAAGCCTGGAGAGGAGAGGATTCTGTTGGGAACAGAGTAAATTCCTGGTTCATTACCTCTGAGCCAGTGGGATTGGCGTCAGGGACTCTAAACACAACACCTGGCACAAAACCTGCCTGGAAACCTTCCCACCCCATGGCTGCTCCCAGCACATCCATGGAAACAGAGTGCCAGTGACCCTCAGAGTGCTCTGCTGGCTCTGGGATAAAGCAGATTAAAGCTCCCCAAGGAGGAAGTGTCACTGCTCCAGCACAGTTAGGGCAGGAAGCAGTGGAGAGCTGTCCTTGGGGACACATCACAGCCCAGCAGCCACTGAACAGCAGCTCAGTCCCTGCTGCTGCTCAAAGATTCCCTCTCTGAAACAGGAAATCTGCTCCACATCACCTGCAGGTAAAGCAGGGAAGAAATATGGTAAATTTTAATGCAACTCCAGCTAAATGTCACCTTTGTTCTTTCCTTTTCAGCTTCCTCCTCCTCCTCTTCATCCTCTTCCTCTGTCTCCTGTCCTTCCTCCTGTCCTTTAGGTCTCAGGACCTGAGGAATTGTGAATGGCCTGGGAAATAAGACACAAATAGTTAGAAAAGAAAACAGCACAGCCACAAACATTTCTCTGAACAGCACATCCCTTTTGGTTTGCATTATGTCTTTAAAAAGATGAGACTCTACAGATTTCATGGACTTCATTTTCCTGAAAAAAAAAAAAAAAAAAAAAAAAAAAAAAAAAAAAAAAAAAAACACCAAAAAGGAATGCCACATTCCTATGAGCAATTAACAAGTACACAGTCTCCACCGGGGAATGTTTACTATGAAATTGTCACTGAAAATTATAATAATAGTTAAAAAAAAAAACCCAACCCTGAAACCTCACAAGGAATTTCTCCACAGAAACAACTGCTTTCTTTGGGAAATGGGCATCCAGACACAGCCACAAGGCAATATTGAGGAGTATCCTTTGCTAGGCTTTAGCTCAGCAGAGTGGGAGCACCTGTTGTACAAGACAAATTTGGACAGAACCATTCATGCCCAGGCAGTGCTGTGCTCCAAACCCTCTGCCTGGTCAGGGCTATCCAGGGAGCCCCAGTTCCATTGCTGTGCCCCAGTTTCCTACAGGGGGAAAACCCTGGAGAAATTAATCAGGCTTTATGAATCACTCTGGACATGCAGACCAAAGGGCCTGGGGGTGGAGGAAGAATTTACACATGCCTATAACTCTTCTTTAACATAAATATGTGTCTGTGTTTGAATTCCATTGGAATTCAGCCCCACCATTCCACTGCCAAAGAAATAAATGTAAAACCAGGAAAGCCTTTGTTATGTCAAACCAACAGATCCAGTTTTCAGCCGTGACATCCACTAATTGTTTCTATGGGCACTGAGACCTGAAAGAGGGAAAAACACCTGGGTGCCACATTCTTACAGGCAAAACACAAAAAGGATTTAAATTGAAGCTTCTCAACACTTTAGGAGGAGGAAAAAAGGGACAAAAGAGCCTCAAAGCTTCCATTTGGTTTGAGGTTAGGAATGGTGACATCTTCATAATACATCAGAATTCAAAAGGCCACTTTCAGAAATGTTAAAGCAGCTTTTAAACCACATGTTTTCTAAAATAAATATTCTCCAGCCTTGATCCCCATTAACCCTTTGCTTCCCAAAAGCTAATTGTGTGCAGCTGTCAGTCATGGTGCAGAGTGCTGTGCAGCCCATCAGGGACTCAATTCCAGCTGTCAGTATTCAGAGGGGACTGGCAGGGAAAAGTCTGTTGTAAAATTCCCCAAATTTTGAAGCTTTCCTTTGCTAACCAGCCATTTTAGGTTGCCCAGCTCCACTGATTTTCCAAGACGTTTTTCCCTGCTGCAGGGTAGTTTCTCCAAGGAGAGGCACTGCTGAGTACAAGTTTCCACACATGGCAAATTCCCCTCTTGGATTTGCTGACTAGTTGAGGCAATGGCCAAGTGGAAGCTGGAGAACATCCTGGGCACACTCTGTGTTCATTTGCAACACATTCCTGAAGTTTAGGAATGATCTGGCTGGAATTTAGTTTGTATTTATGTACAGCCACTTCTCATTGAGGTTCTTTGCCTCAAGAGTGCCATCACTTTCTGTTCAAGGAATAGCCTGCCATGGAAACACTCCCTTATCCACAGAAGAAGGCAGACCCAAACCTTCCTCCTCGCACATCACAGTGAAAACAGAGCAAGGGCTGGTTTGAAGCCCTCGTGGAGGAACAGAGCCCAGAGCAGCGTTTCCCAGGTTTGCAGGAGCCAGAGAATTCCGTGGTGATTCTCCCGTGGCTCCCTCCCTCCCCTCAGCACTCACCTCCTGGAGATGAGCTCGTCATCCGAGTCAGCGTCGTTAGCGCCCACTTGGTTCCCATCGTAGGTGTCGTCGTACTCGTCCTCGTAGTCCTCGTAGGGCTGGGCGGCTGCCGGCGGCAGGGGCAGCTCCTCCAGCACCACGCTGTACTGGCTGTAGCGCTGCCGCTGCTCCGCCACCAGCCGCTTGTCATTCACCAAGCTCCGCGTCGTGTCCTTCTCCCTCCTGCGCGGGGACGGGAGGAAGGGACAAGGGTTAAAACCTGCTCTTGGAGCTGCTTTTCCCCCTGTTAGTCAGTGGAATGTGAGGCAGTGCCAGTCTCATCCCCAATGCCACAGGCTCTCCTTACCCCACCTATTGGCCTGATGGTTTACGGAAACATGGGATGGTTTGGGCAGGAAAGGATCTTAAAGCTCATCTTATTCCACCCTCACACCTTCCACTGTCCCAGGCTGCTCCAAGCCCCAATGTCCAGCCTGGCCTTGGGCACTGCCAGGGATCCAGGGGCAGCCACAGCTGCTCTGGGCACCCTGTGCCAGGGCCTGCCCACCCTCCCAGAGAACAATTCCTTCCCAATATTCCCTCTGTCCCTGCCCTTTGGCAGTGGGAAGCCATCCCCCCTTTTCCTGTCACTCCAAGTCCTTGTAAACAGTCTCTCTTCCATCTTTCTTGTCAGCCCCTTGAGGTCCTGGAAGGCCACAATTAGGTCATCTCAGAGCTTTCTCTTCAGGCTGAACAATCCTAATTCTCCCAGCCTTCCCACACAGCAGAGCCGCTCCATCCCTCTGATCATCCTGGTGCCTCCTCTGGTCTCACTCCAGCAGCTCCAGGTCCTTCCTGTGCTGGCCCCAGGGCTGGATGGAGTGATCCAGGGTGGGTGATTTGTACCAGGGCTGTTTGGCCACTAAAAAAGAGCAGGAATTGGAGACCACCACTAGCACTTCAGACAGAGAGGAAGCTTTCACAGGAGGCCAAATGCAATCCTATTCCAGGTGAAACTTGGCCAAGGTGCATGGAGCACATATGTGAGGGGAAAAGGACAAATATAGACAGGGAGATTCAAAAAATAACTAGGTGAGAATGAGAATAAACACAACTCCCAAGGCAAATAACAAAACAGTAGAGAGTGACTGTGATTCAACCTCTCGGAGCTTGTTTTTTAAATTTAGAAGGCAAGTAAATGATAGTCATTTTATAGAAGGGAAGACCAAGAAACAGAGGGATCAAAAAGCAGCTGCTGAGTGTCTCAAGCTGCACAAGCATAAGCTCTGAAGTCCCATTTTTCAGACCAGCCAAGTACATATTTACAGCAAAGCAACAGGGGATTCCACTGGCCAGCATTCCCAGGACAACCTGCAGTCCCCAGAGCCCAGGAGGACCCAGCATCAGTGGATTTTATCAGAGAAAGGACCTGTCCAAGGCAGTGGCAGTGACTCAGGAAGGGTCAGACTGAGGGGATGTGATCCAGCAGCCTGGATTTCATCTGGAATCTCAAAACAAAGGAAGTTTGCAGCTGGAGGTGGCTCCCTCTCTGCCATGACTCACTGCCTGCACTGGTGGCACAATGCTCTCCCAAGCACGTGGTGAGCTCACCCACCCCGGGATCCCTGGGATAACACCTCCTGTGGGAATTCAGCTGAGCCTGAACCCAGCACCTGGTAATTGCTTCCTGTCGAGCTGGTCTGATGACTGCAGAGGAGCTGCATGAAACGGTCTGGGCACCAATCCCAGGAAAAACAGTGGGATAGCTCCTCTAGTCCTGTGGAGCTCAGGGCATGCTCTGGCTCCAGGAGACAGACTCAGCTGACAACCAGGGCTGCACAGGCACAGACAAGTGCCATCACTTTTCAGGATCAGCAGAGTCTATGCTGGCACATTCATTTCCTTGTGTTTGATTGCCTCCTCATCCTGGCTGGATTTCTCCTTCTCAAGGACAGTCCCTGCCCCAAACTGCTGATGCTGAGAGTGGCCAGGACAACCTGCTATGGCTCTTTAGTGCTATGGTGACACCAGGCTTAGCAAGAGCACCCCGAACACAAGAGAATTTGGTGGGCAAAAGGTATTTAGAAGGAGAAAAAAAATTTAAACATTTGATACAATTCAAATCCAAAGCAGATCTCAGACTAAGCTTGGAGAGCCCTGTTACCCCAAAACTGGGGTGAACCATCAGTGCTGAATATTAAATCCTGGAGACCAGGCACTGCAGCTTTTCCTTGGATTCAGCTGGATATGGTCATCTTTGGGCATTGCTGATCTCCAGCTTTTAAACTACCCAAACTACAATTAATATGTCTGGAGTCCTGCAGACTTTTCCCAAATGTTTTGAAATGAAGGGAGGCAAATGACAAGAGGAAGTGCAGCAGCAAGAGGATAATGCCAGGAGGTCACATAACTACAGCAGGAGAGAGGAGAACTTCTCCAAGAGCGCTGGTACCCCTGGGGGGCAGTGCCATGGCAGCAGATCCCAGAGCCCAGCTCAGCGATGATTTACAGCTTCCAAAGCTCCCAAGTGATCTGCAGAGGGAGCTCCGAGCAGGATATTCCAGCCACTGGATGCTCTGTGCTGAACTCAGTGCTCTCTGGCCTTGGCCAGCTGCTGCTGCAAGGCTTTGGGAATCAGGGATAATCAGCAAGGCTCTGGGAATCAGGGATAATTCAGCACCTGTACAATGCACCTGTCTCACAGAGCAAGGCACCACCATGAGGAGAAAGGTTCTGTCTCTGAATTCTCACTATGGACACAACAAAAGTCATGGCCTTGGCCAGAGAGAAAAGAAATTCCTTTCTTGCTCAGCCAAGACAGGATCAGCACTGTGGCACTGCTCTGAGAAGCTGAGCCACTGGACTTGAGAACAAAAGTGGTTTTCTCCTAGAGTTTGATGCAACTTTGCAACCAAAACCTTAACTGGGTGCTCTCAGGTCACATGGCTCCAACTCCAGCCAGACTTTTAGTTATCTGCTGTCTAAATACATCCCAACATTAAGATCACCCTTGGCTGGTTAAAGGAGGTGTTTGAAGTCCAGTGGAAGGTGTCCCTGCCCATGGCACGGGGTGGAACAAGATGAGCTTTGATGTTCCTTCCAACCCAAACCATTCCATGATTCTGTGATATGTTTTAAAAGAATCTGGAACAAGGGAACCAGATATAGAGTTGACATCAGTGGGAGCCAGCACCACACACCCAGTCAGACAGAAAGCAAAGTGAAAACTGGTGGGGTTTTGTGGAAATCTCTGCTCATGGCAGGGGGATCCCTGCTCATTGCAGGCAGATTGACTAAATGACCTTTAAAGGTCCCTCCCAACCCAAACTACTCCACGAGTCCAAGTGCCCTTCTGCAGGAAGCTTTACAGCAGCAGGGACAACACAAGTAGTCTAAGGCACTGAATGTTATCAGATGTTGAAGTAGATGGATATTGAATCTTCCCTTGGCTCCAGATCAAATCATTAGTTATTCTCAGCTCTGAGTCACAATCCCAGGCTCAGGGATGGTGCTTTTCAAGGTTTGTTGTTCAGTGCAAGTTTAACATTAAGCCCAAGGAGGAAGAGCCTGACATTACAAATGAGCTCGGCAGAGCAATCTCCAGCAGCAGACACAGGAAAGCCAATTAGGAAAAACACTAAGTGAAACCAACCCCCTCATAATATTTCATTTTACTTTCCCAGACAAACAGGTGGGAAACATTTTTGATAAGCCTTCCCCCCTGCCATAACATTCCTGCAGGAGGTTTTTAGGAGAGATAAATGTGCAGGTTCCCAGGTGTTTGTTCCTCCTGACAGGCAGAGTTAATGACTGGTGCCAACACTCACCTCTTGCCTTTCTGGATCCGAGACACATCCACTGCATCCCTACTGAAAACATCAAACTCATCATTCTGGAAAACGTTACAGCGAGAGCTGACTAGAGGGGTAGGGTCTGGCTTCAGCTGTCTGTTAAAAAACAAGGAGAGAGAATGAAAACAAAAGGGAAGTGAGGAAGAGAAATGCTCTCCCTTCCCTAAGCCCTTGCCTTATCTTTCATCAGTTCCAAAACTATCCCAAGCACACCAAGAGGTGCTGCCTGAGTCACAGGGCACAACCCCTTCCCTTCCCAGCCACACTCTGGCACAAGCATGGCACTTCCCAAAGCTTGGATTTGAGGGGAAACTAAAGCAACTCACAGAAAGCCAAGAGAAAATTCTTCTGTTCATTTCAGAGTCTATCAAACCATGCAGGACAACAGAATATTCAACAGACTGCCTGGTCTCAACACAGTGACTCAGTGAAGACAAACACTAAGTGTGATGAATTACAGGCTAGAAAAAATTCCAATAATTTGTTGCTGCTGATTTCAAGATATTTATCTCCCTTGTTAAATCTTTCTCAGGGTTCCAGGTTTATGTTTGTTCAACTTGAAAGTCAAAAGACTGTACTTTTGACATTCATTTTGGTGGTGCAGACTGCTCAGCTGGGCAGTTGCAATGCTGCTATGCTCCCCTATAAATCAGCAGGGGTCAGAATTTGACATTTCCTATTGAACCAGCAGCTTTGTTTCAAGATGCAAAAGGCAGGAAGAAAAAAAATGCAGCTCTATCTTGTGGAACTGCTGGCTTTGCAGAAAAACCAATCCTTCCTAAAGCCCATCCTGCACCAGTTGTGCCAAAGTCAGCAGATCTGATTGTGGGAACACAAAGATTGTTGCAAAACTAAGATTTTTTTACATCATTTTTCCGATAAAGATGCTTTCCTTTAATGCAACAGTGAGACAGTCTGCCCATAACTCCATGAAATGTGAGCAAACAGCACATTCACATCCTGATGCTCTGTCAGGAACTGCTGGTGCAGCACAAACACACACTCACAGCTGCAGACAAACTCCAACAGCTCAATCCTGCCAGGAGCTATAAACCCTCCACATCCCCAGTCCAATCCAGGAAAGTAGGACAAGCCTGGCAAGTTTGTCAGAGGGAACATAAAAATGGATCAGAATTGTCCTATCTTCACTCAAAAAGCAGAAGCCTGTTAAATAACCATATTTGACCCTGTGGGTTGAGTTCCAGCTGAATTGGCTCCTCTGAAGATGCCCTTTCCTGCAGGACAGCTGGGATTCTCACAGCTGTAACAAACGCTGCAGCAAAATAACTTTTGAAGGCAACGTATTCTATTGCCCAGCATTCTATTCTGTTATATTCTAGTCTAGTCTAGCATTTCATGTACAGGTGGTTTTGTCCCCTGTCACAAAACACAGCCCAGTACCTGCTCTACTCTAACACTGAGCAGCAAAGGTTTCACTCCTCTGCAGGGACACGAGGGCAGAAATCTGGTGACAAGTGACAATGAGAAGTCTTCACTGCAGTTCTCTACCCCAGATATGCAAATTCTCAGAGCTCTGCAAGTGTTAAGCCTCCACTGAGAACAACTAAGTGAGACAGAAACAACCAGAGGTTGTCCCACACCTTTGCATCCTTCGGTCCAGCTTATCCAGGTACGGCACCAACTTCTCTTCCAGGATGTTGTTGATCACCTGCTCTGTGTCATATCCATACTCCTCCAGGCAGGCCAGGATGAATCCCTCTCCAAGATCTGGCAGCAGATCCTTCACTTGGGAGATCAGGGAGTCCAGCTCCACGCCGGACACGCATGCGACGGGCGCGGCCGCAGCGCCGGCACACTGCAGACACCAAACACACCTGGTGGGCACTGGGCAGGGCAGAGCTGAGGGCAGGCAGTGTGCACAGAAATACAGGGAAAGCAGCACTCTGGGCTGTCAGGATTTGAGCACACAAGTCCAAGACTGGAGCCAAAAGAGAAATCAGCTGTTTAAACTACACGAGGTTTCCCACACAGATTTGGGCACACAGCTACTTTTGCCAGTCCCTGAATCAGCAAGGACACCCTGGAGAATCCCTTCCTCAAATAACAGCTCTGCATTTCAAAAATATGCACATGAACTGCAGAGATGAAACAGAGTATTTGAATAATCTCCAGCAAGGGAAAATCCAAGCCATGAGAGCTGGAAGCAATTTGCTCAGAGATAACTCAGGATTCAGGTGTAGCTTCATGTCTCATTTCCCAAGGCAGCATGGAGATCCAGAAAAGGTCAGAAATTGCACCAAATCTCATGCTGTCCCCAAAGCTGAGCAAACCAAGCCTGTCCTCACTGATAGAGGAAGGCCAGGAAGAGCGGAGCCCCCAGGAAGAGCAGAGCCCTGTCCCACCACAGAGCTGTACCCACCTCATCCTCCAGAGCACACGCAGCCCCTGGATCCTCCCTGTCCTCAGGGGTGCTCTCCACTATGGCTGAAGCTCTGTTGGATGCTGCTGGATCTTTAACAGCTTGTCCTTTTTTCCTGTTTACTCCTTCCCAGGCACTTTCCACTGCTTGGAGGATGTAGGCTGTCCTGGTCTCATCTCTAAGAGCACAGCATTAAGGACATTTCTGGATGCACATGTTCAGGGATCACCCTGAAGTAACTACGGGATTGTCAATGATGTCCAAATTTGTGCCTGCATCAACAGTCACAAAACCACGGAATGGTTTGGGTGGGAAGGGACCTTAAAGCTCATCTTGTGCCACCCCCTGCCATGGGCAAGGACAACTTCCATTAGACCAGGCTGCTCCAAGCCCCATCCAGCCTGGCCTTGGACACTTCCAGGGATGGGGCAGCCTCAGCTTCTCTGGGCAACAACTCCCCCCTATCCTTTTTTTTCTGTTAAGGGAAAACTTTCCAGTACTCCTTGCCAGTCATGCAGCTTAACCAGAGGCAGAAATGTCGCTGGTGTGAAGGAATCCAAGAGCAGCCAGGAGTGCAAAGCCCAAGGATACAGTGCAGAGGATGCCTGCTGCAGCAGACTCACGTCATCCTCAACAGGGAACAGCTCATCGTAGTCACGGAGAAATCTGAAAACACAGGAGCAAGTTTAATCAGTGGAGCTCAATTAATTACCACTACTGTGCCTCTCTGACTGCCTCAGTGCTCAGGTAGGAGCAGAGAACCTCTCACCCAATGCTGGATTCCAGCCATGCCTGATTTTGGTCCCACTACACCACAGCAACACTCCTGAGGTGTGAGGGCTGGAACCCAGTGCTGCATTACAGGGAAAATCTGCTTTACCACGTGAACGTGCTTAGAATGCCAGCATGGGCAGGAGGACAAGATGGAATTCCCAGTTCTGCCACTTCCTTTGCATCTCCAGCATTCATGTTTAATATTTTTCTGGTCAGCCCAGCTGGAAAGCACAGACCAGTAATAACAGCCAAACTTGTCAAGGCAGCTAATGGCTAAATTGCTCTTCTCTTCTTTGAGAGGCTGGATTAAAGGGAGTGAAGAATAGCATTTCTCAGCGCCAGGGCTGTGCTGCAGGCTGAAATCCTCTCACTGCACTTCTCTCAACTACTTACAACGATTTCTGACTCCCAAATGCCTCGTAATGCTGCCTCAGGCAATTCTGCTGTAAAGAATGGCAGAGGAAGGAGCTGAGCCCCCTCGGGCCTCTTGCCAGTCAGACTCACCTCCTTTCCTGAAGCACCGAGGTGAAGATCTGCAGAAATTCCTCAATATATGGCTGAATATTCTCACAGCTGCAGGAGACACAGCACAGTGAACACTCAGAGACACATCTGCCAACGTTTGGTCCCACCAGCCAAACCACTCACATTGACACAGCAAGGGAGAGCCCCATTTGAAGAGAGATTTCAGGCCACATTTGGCTTTCACAGGAGCAAAGAGTCAAATGGAAGCAAGTGGTTTTTAAGGCTTCAGCAAACATTTCAGCACTTCGATCTAAAGCTGTATCACACCTAGAATTACAAGTTTTCAGACAGACTTTATAAATAGTTTGATGCCTCAGACTTGCAGTGAGCAGAAAATGCTGTGCAGAGCTTTTGTAATTGTGCCTTTATGATGCCTTGGGATTACACCAGTGAACTTTCCAGAAAGTTTGTGCTCACCTGTGCAAGAACACCTGCCAAGCAAACTCCCATTGCAGCCTCAGTGCCCAACTCCCTGGGTACTGCTGAGGCTCCAAGCCTTGTTCCAAGGCACCTCTGAATGGGAAGGGACCTGAAAGCCCATCCAGTTCCACCCCCTGCCATGGGCAGGGATACCTTCTACTAGCCCAGGTCGCTCCAAGCCCCATCCAACCTGGCCTTGAACACTGCCAGGGATGCCCAGCTGCTCTGGGCACCCTGTGCCAGGGCCTGCCCACCCTCCCAGGGAACAATTCCTTCCCAATATCCCATCTATCCCTGCCCTCTGGCAGTGGGAAGCCATTCCCTGTGTCCTGTCACTCCAAGCCCCTGTAAAACAGTCTCTCTCCATCTGTGTTGTTGGACCTCCAGGTCCTGGAAGGTCACAATCAGGTCTCAAGGTGTTACACATGATCACACTTTGCAGAAGCCACACACTGAGGTCAGAAAGCTCATTGGACCCAGCTCACCACAGAGGTTCTGGGCCAATCAGCTCCATCTGAACATTCCTGATACACAGACAACAGAATTTGACCTTAGCCAAGTCTTTGGCTACAATCCCAACACAAATAGCAGTTTCTGTTCATTTTCTCCAGTAAATTTGTAAATGAGAAACAATTTCTCCCACACAGCAATCAAGTAATTGGCGAGTAGCACAGAGCCAAGTGCCAATACCTGCTCTCTAGGATGGGCTGCAGACAGACTTGGTTTACCAGGATGTGAAAAACCTCTATCATCTTCTTTCTGGAGTGCGAAATCCTCCTCCACAAATCAGCAAAAACACTTCAGAGAGAGCAAAAGACACTGTTGGTGTCAGCACAAGAACCTGTAACACACCTTTATGCCAGAGTTAATCCTCTAGCAGAAGAATTTCATTAGGATGATCATCTCCTTGCTGCAAAGACCAGATATTAGACACATTTCATGGTCATTAAGGAAAATCCATGCTCCAAATAAAGCTGGTTTCAATCCCAATTGTTCTGGCAGCTCCCCACACGAGACCCCCACTGTACCAGCACAGCCTGTGCCTTACAGTGAGACTGAGCTACACAGAGATATCAGTCATGTTCTCACACTTTGTTACAATTTGAATGCACCTCCCATCAAATTCCTTCTTACACAGCACTAAAAATGATTCGTCACCCCACTGCCCAGGAAAATTTGCTATTACAGAAGTCATCTCTTCAGAGCCCTTTGAAGCAGCATAAAAAAAAGCCAGGCTCCTCAGGGATGGGTAAAGCAGCATGAAGTGAATTTTTAACTAAGCCCTGGGAAGTCTCACTGAAGATCCAAAGGAAGCCTTTGCAGGAATTCTCACCTGTTATCTTCATAATGCCTCTTCTTGATTGCAGATTCCAGCTCAGGAATTGCCAGCTCATAAAATGAAGCTAATCTGTACAAAGGGGAACAAACCTGTACCTGTCAGCTGAGGTTCCAAAAGTCATTTGCTAAAAGGCAGAACAAATGGCTGATTTCATTAAACCCTCCTCACCAGCAGTACCCATGAGCATCACCTCATTTTGGTATTTTTGCCCCAGAACACAAGCAAACACACCACAGAAAAAGAGCAGCACTCTAAAGAAATCACAAATAGGTCTTTGAAGAGGTAGAAAAGCGTTTGAGAAGCATCCTGGTGCTGATCAGAACCATCTGCTCAACCCAGAAAAACCCCCAACACAGATCTGCAGCCTGCAATGACCCAACACTCTCAGAATCACAGAAACCTTCATGTTGGAAAAGCCCCCCGAGAGCATCGAGTCCAACCATTCCCCAGCACTGCCAAGGCCACTACAGACCATGTCCCTAAGTGCCACATCCAGCTGGCTGTTAAATCCCTCCAGGGATGGGGACTCCACTGCCCTGGGCAGCTGTGCCAGGGCTGGACAGCCCTTTCCAGGCAGAAATGTTCCCCAACACCCAGCCTGAACCTCCCCTGGCACAGCTTGACGCCGTTCCCTCTCATACCTTGTCACCCTCTCCCAGCCACTCAGCTTTTGCTAAACCTCATTGAGCTTTCTAGCATTCTCTAGCATAAAACTTGGGCATAACAGCAAAGGCATTTGTTTTTAGACCTTGAAGAACTATTTCTCTGAAATACTTTCTGCTTCCCTTGCTTTGGGTCCTACAGCAGGAAGTTCCTTTTGTCCATAACTGGTCCCTCTCCACCCTTCCCAGAGCACACCCAGTACTGTTCAGCTGACTGGAAATTCTCATGGATGCCTGGCTCTAGGATCATTCCTAGACAACAACAGACATAGAACAGAAAATCCACACATCCCTTTATCCATGTATTTATTATGCTGCATTCCTGTCACAGAGAACCCAGCAGCCTCTGCATCAAATCTGTCTCCTCATCTAACAATGGGACAGGACACAGTGGCACATTCAGTATTTTTACATGGCCAGGACAAACTCTGCACTGCAAGACGTACCTGTAACAAAACTCATGTTTTTGGAAAGTCTGGCAAGCCAAGGGAAAGACATCAAGAAAGGCCCAGAGAGTTGTGCAGGTGTCACATAAATACAGCACAATGTCTTTCAGCTCCTGAGAGGGAAAGAGCAGTTACCCAGGGAAGAGCCAGGCAAGTTTTCCCAGCAGGGACACAAAATATTGGGGCCAGGCCTCTTCCTGACTGCACAGTGTGTATCAACCATAAACCTGTTACAGGGTCTGGGGGCAGAAACAACATTTCTCCCAGAACTCCTAATGTTTGTTTAAAGATCTATAATGCAATCCCAACTGTCTGCTTTCATTAAAGATCCTGGGAGATTTCACCAGATCCTGCTCTGGACAGTGGCTTTGCCCTCAAAACATCCTCCACACATTGAATTCTTCCCCATGCAGCACTTTTCATGAAGCACTGCACAGCAGAAACATGGGAATCAAAGGGAACACAGGAAACATGGGAATCAAAGGGAACACGGGAAACATGGGAATCAAAGGGATGTTTTCAGCAGTTTGGTCCAGGGCAAGCTGCATTTCCAAGGCAGCTGAAACAAACTGAATGACACATAAACGACAGTTTCAAACTATCACTTATCCATAAATCATAGTAAAACTGATAGTTTGGTCCCACAAAAACTGAAAAATTAAGGTTTTGCAGAGGACCCTTTCACTGTCTTTGTACAGCCCCCAGCACATAAACTCCTCTTAATTAACTGCAGTTAAATTACACTGTTGTTAAAACACACATTTCTGAAGGAAAAAAATCAGCTCTTACGACCTCCAGTGTTAGGTGGAGACTTCTGTCAGATATTCTGTTACATTATTTATAAGCTGGTAAAGCAAAAAAGGTTTAAAACTATCCATGTTCCAAAGGATATGGTTGAAATGAATCAGCTCATGGTGGAAAGGTTTTATCATCATGTGCCAGGACAAAGAGTGCAACAATGGCACAGAACCACGAGCTGTAGGAGCTTTGGGAACAGAATGATCCTCTGTGGTCTGTTCAGCATGCAGGAGTACAGAGAGTTCACTCCTACCTGGAGGGGCATGTTCCCTGCAGTCACACTGACTTTCTCTTCCAGTTTCTGGGGCTCAGCAGAGGCCCCTTCACACTGCAAACCACACTTGTGCAAAATATTGTTGAACACCTAAATCAGGAGAACAGGGCAGCGTTAACAGACAAGAGCCAGCAGTGGGACACAGCAGAGAAGGCCAGAACATGAAGGAGGGTGGGAGGGAAGAGTAATCAAGTAATTTTAGATAAAGGTTCAAAACCTCCCTGACACACATTAACAAACCAGGGAAAGGGAGAAACAGTGAAGTCAGGGGAGGTTTAGGCTGGATATTAGGGAAAGTTCTTCCCCCAGAGGGTGGTCAGAGCTCAAGGAGTGTTTGGATAATGAGTGGGATTGTTGGGGGGCCTGTGCAGGGCCAGGGGTTTGGCTTGACGATTCTTGTGGGTCCCTTCCAATTGAGGATATTCCATGATTGCATTAAACACATTCTGCCCACCTACAATGTTCCCTTTCCAAGCTATGCCACAATTCCAATGAAATCCCAGCAGGAAAGCAGTACCTGGAGGACAGTGGGCAGAGTTTCTTCAAGATCACTGAAGTAACTGGGCTGCTGAGTGAAGATATTCCCTGAAAAGCGAAAAGAGAGCCTTTCCATCAGTTCAGACATTGATGCTAACGAGCAAATTTGCTGCAGAAAATGGTACTTGTGTTATTGCTGACACCCCCAGACACTTACTGACCATGTGGGACACAGCCCACCCTCACTCCTGAGCTCATGCACAGCCCTGCTCCCAAAAAGCTGATCCACCAGCTCTTCAACGCCACTGGAGATCCAGCAATGGGAATATGCTCATCAGAGCAGAACAGATGAGATGTCAGATGATTCATGCTCCAGGGGCTGAATCAATGAATAATGCAAATACTATCACTGAACAACCCCAGTTCCTTTATTTGACAACTGGAGTTGACTTTTAATTACTGATAACAGTTCAGCACATACCAGGAGATGTGCTGCCGAATATTTCTTAAAGGTAATGAGGCTTTAGTAACACCTGCTATTATATTACTAGGACTCCATTATCTGTACAAAATACTCCACTGAGTAATGCCATACCATAAATCCTCACCAAGCAAGCACCGAGGCTCCTATTTTCCTGGGAATTACAGTTCAGATTATGAAAATTAAGAGTTCTCCAGCAAGGACAGAGCTATGAGACAAGTTTCAGATAAATTTGCACCCTGAGAAGAACCTCAAGTTTCTGAAGTTATGAATTACACACCAGAACTGCTCACGCCATTACTGTCATGACATAGTGAAATAATCAGGTGAGCAAATCTTTGGTGACCTGCATGCAGCATGATTGTGTGGCACTCCAGAGCATAATTCAAAGGAGGTTTCATTACTTAGGTCTCTTTTGGAATATTTTAAGACCCAGATAATCTAAACTTCGCATCTGAAAGTGAAGCATCTATCTTGCCACGCCTGCTTTCCATCTCTGAGGCTCAACAGAGGAATTTAGAGCAGAAGCTACTGAAAAAGGATAAAAAGATTAAAAATGCAAAGGTTTATCTAAGATTTTCTGGCTGGAAATCTGTCTGCACCACATGATCTCTAACACTTCTCATGTGAGTGAACTTGGAAATGAGACAAAAAAATACTACCAAAGAAATGGAAAACCTTCGTCCCATGAGCTGCAGACAAAGTGGGTTAGAATTCAGGAAGAGCTCACTTAATCCAAGGGTAGATATTCGTCCACTCAGGTGATGTTAAAGATCACAGGACTGGGAAGGGAGCACAGGATAAACAGAGAAGCTAAATCAATATGCTCCATCTCCACCCCGTAGCATCCATGTTCCTCCCTGTGTACTCACCACTAAGGCCGTGTGTACAGACACAGAAATCCAGGGATAAGCACAGCTTGAGCAAGGCTCTGAAGTGTTTGTGGTTTGGAAGCTCTGGATACATCAATGCCTGCACTGAAGTTTCAGGTTCTCCCACTTCCCATAGCAGTGATTACCTCACACTGAATGTTTCACTTGGCTCCCAGCTCTTGGAACAACAGCACTCACAGCTGGACTGTGCCCGTCTCCCAACCCTCCTCACCCTTTCCCATCTCTACCAGGGTTTTACAGAGCCCCACATTCCTCTTACAGGGGCTGTGCACACATTCAATTGGTCCAGGAAACAACTGAGCCTAGGTTTACATCTAACAACATGAGCCTAGCTCAGGGCAGCAAAGCAGGACATGAAGCTTTCCTTGGAACAAGCAAAGTGTCCATGGAAAAAAGAAAATCACAATCTGGTCTAGAAATGACAGATCTTAGGTGCTACTGAACAATTAATTTTCAGAGCAGTTCCACTGGTATAAAACCTAGTAAGTCACTTGTCATATAAGCAAAAGCCTAAATATAGCAAGTTGTTCCTTGTCTTTTACTGACCAATCATCTTCTGGAGCAGGAGTCCATTTCCTTTCCCAAAAAGGACACAGAGATCCAGAATCTTGGGGATATCGAACAGGAAGTTATTGTAAATAATTTTTCCAAAGACAGAGGGAGTGATAAAATGATCCTACAAAGACAGAAAAAAAAAAAAAAAAAAGGAATTGAAAGGATAATCCATATCTTACTCTGCAGTAACTCCACATTATAATGGCACCTGTAAAAAACATCTCTCAGAGGTGTATTAAGGAATTTATTTCACAGAAGGCAGCAACTCTGCTTGAAACAGCTTCTGTGAAGCCATCTATTCCCACAATCCCGGGGGATTGTCCCTGCCACACCAGGCACCCCACTGATCCCTTCACCAGCAGGTGAATTAATCTACCTAAAAGTTTTACAAAAAATCTCCCTACAGGTCGCCAGTTCCCAGCCTGATGCCAAAACAGCTCAGGAGCAGGAATGAGTAACCAGGCACAGGGACAGCCTGAGGTTCTTGCACCCTGGGAGAGCAGAACCCAGCACCAGAGACCACAGAATCAGGGACAGGCAGGGAGAAACCCCAGAGCTGCAGCTCTACATGCTGACTGCTGAACACTGCCAAAAACTCATCACACTGAAGGCATTTCTTACAAAATTCTGGATGAGAAAAATTCCATTGTCTGACAATGAGAAACAGGCAGTTGAAATGTGATTTTGGATTTTCAGAAGCCCGGTTTGCCGGTGACAGCAAATGTTTTCAATCCCAGTGAAAGGCAGGGCACATTCTCCCTACTGAAGCAGAGGGATGGGGCTCAGTGCTGGCCAGGTTCCCTTTCCAGAACTCCTGCTGACTCCTGCATGACAATGGACTATTCATTCCCTGCAGATCACTCAACTAGAAAATGGTTTCAAATGCTGGCCTGCCTCTCCGAGTGGTGAGGTTTAATCAGATCCTGCAATGAAAGACACCACAGAGGTGTCGGGTACTTCTGCTGAAGTGGTGCCAGCAGCAGGCTCCAGCATTCCTTCATCCTGCTGTCCCAGTCCTCCACTCCCAGGCCTTTCCCTCAAAACATCCTGAACGTCACCACTGTGATAAGCAAGAGAATTGACACAGTCCTAACACATGATGAACCAATGAGGAGATCCAGTGATTGCTGAAACACAAGGTGCCTTACTCATCCTGCCCAAAGGCCGAGTGAAAATCCCATAGCTCCAGATAGGAGTTGCACTAGTTGCACTCACACAATTAATGATGAGGATGTCTTTTAATTATAGAATCTCAGAATGGTTTGGGTGGGAAGGGGCCTTAAAGCCCATCCAGTACCACTCCCTGCCATGGGCAGGGACACCTTCCACTAGCCTAGGTTGCTCCAAGCCCCCTCCAACCTGGCCTTCAATACTTCCAGGGATCCAGGGGCAGCCACAGCTACTCTGTGCCACCCTCATAGGGAACAATTCCTCCCCAATATCCCATCTGACCCTCTTCTCTGGCAAGGTAAAGCCATTCCCCCTTGTCTCGTCCCACGTCCCTCTCCAGATCTCCTGGAGCCCCTTTAGGCCCTGGAAGGGGCTGTAAGATCTCCCTGGAGCCTTCTCTTCTCCAGGCTGAATGCTTGATGATGCCAAGATAACAGTAATTTAGAGAGAACTGTATGTCCAAAACTTGAGGCAAGTCTATGGAGACACAAATATTAGCAGGAATTTTGTGGCACCACGTGGCCCTGAGGGAGTGAACACTCGGGAACTGGTGGCCTGAAGAGCCTGGTCCATGTGGCCACACAAAGGCCAACGTGCTCTCTCTCCTCTTACCATGACATATCCAACCACTACACATTGATAACCTGCTATTACTCAGGAAGGAGATGGAAGCAATCAACCAAGGAATCACTGCATAGTTTGGATACTTCGGCTCTGAGTGTTATCATCTCCACTCTGAGAACCCAGCCGATAAAATCATCCCAGAGAGGAATGTCGTGCCAGAAGGAAAATCATTAATTTCTCCTTTTTTCCTAAATCACACAGCCTGGAGCACCTGCAAGGCATGGGAATATTTACCTTGGACTCCTTGTGGGTGGACATCCTGAGAAAGGTGAGGAAGACACTGCGATGGAGGCATTTCTGCAGCTCATGCACCTCCGGGTGGCAATCCCACAGCACATCGAACTTGCGAGGGGCGGAGCGCAGGTAGGAATCCAAACACTTCTGCAGGCTCTCATCAAATATCACCTGGCACAAGGAAAGGCAGGAAAACGGGAAGGAGGGAATGTCACACCTTCAAAGGCTGTGCTCCTGAGCAGCCCAGTTAAATTTAAAGCAATCTAAAACACTCAGGCCCATGAAAAGGACTCCCATATCCATCAAATACAAGCCAACTCTTAAAATTCCCAATGGAAAATCCTTAGGGAAATACTTTCTTTGCATTCTAAGGTGCAGTAATGGAAATTAAATGTTTGCTGCATGACATAATAAGCATAAACAAATCTTTATGAAAATGATGTAAGGCTCATGGCTTTTACATCACCTAGATGTTTACACTGTATCTTCAGAAAAAAGGCAATGATTACCTGGCACCAGAATTTGTCATGGGGCAAAGCCAGAAGCCAGTTCAGGTCATCTGCAATGAATTTTGCTCGCTCCAGGAATTCCTCCACCAGAGCAGGGTCCCTGATGGCAGGAGGGGGTTTGTACAGCACGAACGACCGATCTGCTTTAATTTCTGGGTGCTGCAGAAAGTCAAAAAAACACTGTTTTAGAACTCCAGACCAAGTGACAGGAATGCCCAGTTACCACCTGCTTAGGATTGAGCAGATTCCAGGAAAATTCCAGGAAACACAAAGCTACCTTTTAATACAACTTGACATTATAGAATCACAGAATGGTTTGTGTGGGAAGGGACCCTAAAGCTCATCCAGTTCCACTCCTGTCACGCGCAGGGACACCTTCCACTGTCCCCAAGCTCCATCCAGCCTGGCCTTGGGCACTGCCAGGGATCCAGGGGCAGCCACAGCTGCTCTGGGCACCCTGTGCCAGGACCTCCCCACCTTCACAGGGAACAATTCCTTCCCAATATCTAACCTAAATTTCAGTTTGAACCAATTACTCCTTGTCTTGTCACTGTAGTTCTAATAGCTGGAACATTCTGTTCCCTGGTAACTTCCCATTTTCTAGCCTTTCAAGGCAGTGGGTTTGTATCTTTCTTTATGAGCAACATTTTCAGACCTTGATAATTTGGCAGTTGTTGCTCCTTACTTTCTCTTAACCAAAGCCTGACAAAGCAATCCTCCCACACCATCAAAACAAAGAGCACGAGCTTCCTGGCATGCCTTTGAACTCTCTCTTTTTCCTCTGAACTGGTTCTTGCACAATACTCCATGAACTCAAACTGACACAACCATCAAAGACACAAACACTTTGCTACCTTTCCCAAAGGTAACTGAACAGGCTTTGCCCAAATACACCCACCCTAAAGGAGAATTCAATGAGCAGCAGGTTTGGGCTCTGCCTTATCCCACACGTGTGCTCAGGGTAAAGCTCCTCAGGAGTGAGCAGCACTGACAGTCCCACTCCTGCAACACACCCAAAAGGCTCTCTTCAGGCCTTATTTATGGGAGAAATGGGTTTCTGTGGGTTACATTTCTGGTTTCATCAAGCTGAAGGCACAAGGGATGAATCCCAGTGCCACAGCTCAGAGCTAAACTTGAGGCAGAGCTTGCAAAAACTCCCTGAGCATCCCTCCACTGCAGCAGAGGTTACAGACTCAAGAGAGGGAGTTGTGCTGGGAAAACACAGTTTACTCCAGATGTTGAACACAGTAAGTTTGGTTCTCACGTTTTGGGTTTTTCTTATGGTGGGTAAATGAAAACTCAACTATGTGAACATGTTAAAAAATCCTTTAACAAGCAGGCTGAACAAATTTCACAGGCTCACCGAATATCCTGAGCTGGAAGGCACCCACAGGATCATCCAGCCCAGCTCCTGTCCCTGCCCAGACCCCCAACAACCCCACCCTGTCCATCCCTGGCAGTGCTGTCCAAAGGCTCCTGGAGCTCTGGCAGCCTCGGGCCGTGCCCATTCCCTGGGGAGCCTGGGCAGTGCCAGCACCCTCTGGGGGAAGAGCCTTTCCCTGAGCTCCATCTAAACCACCCAACATAGCTCCAGCCATTCCTGTCACAGACAGGAATCTAATCCCAGACCAAGCCTCAATATAAGACAATGATTTATTGAAGGCTGTTTGGCTTTCAGAAAAAAACAGAGCTCACCAGTGCTGGTAGAGTTCTCAGCTTCCCTGTCTTGGGATCCCTTTCTGTCAGCTGGAGCTCGTCCAGAGGCAACGCTGGCATCCTGGTGGCTTGTTCCTGTCCTCAGCAAACAAAAGCAGCACAGGATGCACTTTACAAGGTCAGTCAGGCAACAGCAGAACAAAAGAGACTGCAGCCCTGCTGTAACACACACACACTGGCTGGGAATACATTTATGCCCAACAATTTATACCCCACCAAAATGCCAAATTCTGAGGGATCCTGGACACATATCAGAGGAAATCTGGAATGTGGTGCTAAACTTTCATCCCTGTTCCTCACTGAAAGGCCACAGATATCTTCCAGGACAACAAAACACATTTGGGGACTACGTTTAATACGGAAATTAGATATTTAAATGGGGTTGCTGAAGAGCTGTGCTGCACTCTGGCCTTTGCAGCCTCTTTCAACACTTGCAGTGTCTCTCCGGAGACCACAGACTGCAGGGACCTTGCCTATGCTTTACAAGAGTATTTTTGGTGCCTGTGTGTAGAATCCCACATCACTCAGCCAGACAAGGGACACAGGCTGAGCCTACAAAAGCCTTCCCCACTCCTGCCAATTCCCATGTGCTCACAAAACCAGAGCTTCATCTTCAACAGCGTTTGTGGGCTCAGAAATGTTTCAATTAACTTTCTGAAATTAACTATAAGTTAACTATAAATATTAGAGAACTCAATAGAAAGAATGTTATGGGCCCTCTTAAAAAGTTCAGACTTACAAAAAATGAAAGTTGGCGGTTAAAAGTGCTTTTGAATTCTTTAGGGGGTTATGAGCTCTGCAAAATGGTACTAAAAAGTTCAGCTCTTATTAAGAAAGTCACACATCTCCTCAGATCCATGTTTAATTGCAGTCACATCACCTGGGCTGAATAACAATTAAAGCAAGAGCAGTGTCTCTAAAGCTGAACAACTCTGATTCAGGAGTGGGGTCATGGTTTAGACAGCAAGTGAAAAAATAACATTTTTCATTCCATAAATCTGGCACCTACGGATTTAGGCAAAAATTCTGTAATCTAACATTTTAGAGCTCAATTAAAATAATACAGCAGAGCAACAGCAAGACCCACATCTTAGAAAACTAAAATTAATTCTGTCTTTCCGAGGATTTTAAAAATTAGAATGTTGACAGGAGCAACTATTACTTTATGAGGAACAATTTCTTTGGGAAAAAAAAACCCCAAAACCCAAAGCTTTTTAGCAGAATAAGCCAAGCTGGCTTTCAGTTCAGTTTCATCATATATTTAATTTGGTTCTTAAAATTTTTAGTCATTCTGAAAGCTACACATAGAAATGTGTGTTTGCAACACAGTGTCTCATTTCAAGCCTGGAAGGCACCAAAATCTCCAGTCCAAGTCAAAAACATCCTGAAAGAGACAGAAGCCCTGCCCAAAAGCTTGTTCAGCCAGAGAAGAGAACAAACCTGAGTATGGGATAACTTCAACAGAGAATTATTCCTGATCACTCTCAGAAGGTTTTCTCCCCATAAAGAACTTTGGTCTAAACCACAAGCCCACGATTAATCTGTCGTGCCTGGTGATTTCAGGTACAGTGGAAGAGCAAGACAAAGAACACGACGAACCAGGGAAACTTGTTTTCCCACGGAAATTTATTTTCTCAGCGCCAGAAATGATCCCTGCCTTGCAATTCCCACTGTTGTGCACATCCACGGAGACATCCAGGGTGAGGTGATGCTGCTGAGGATGAGGCAGCCACCCCAGCACAGCTGGCACAGGGAATGCTGCAGCATGGATTCATGGAATGGTTTAGGTTGAAAGGGATCTTAAAGCTCATCCCATTCCACCGCTCACCATGGGCAGAGACTATCCCAGGCTGCTCCAAGCCCTGTCCAGCCTGGCCTTGGGCACTGCCAGGGATCCAGGGGCAGCCACAGCTGCTCTGGGCACCCTGTGCCAGGGCCTGCCCACCCTCCCAGGGAGCAATCCCTTCCCAATATCCCATCCATCCCTGCCCTGTGGCAGTGGGAAGCCATTCCCTGTGCCCTCGTCCCAAGTGCCTCTCCAGCTCTCCTGGAGCCTCTTCAGGCCCTGCAAGGGGCTCTGAGCTCTCCCTGGAGCCTTCTCCTCTCCAGGTGAACATGCCCAGCTCTGTCTGGCTCTGTCAGCCCTACCCCATGGCCAGACACCCCCAGTTAACCCAACACCTCCGGTTAACCCGGGCCCCGCCGCTCCCGCCGCCCCCTCGGCCACGTCCCCTGCCCGGTCCCTGTCGCACCGGGCCCTGCCCAGCCGCTGCCGCTCAGCGCCCCCAACCCCGCCGCAGCTGCCCGAGCCCGGTACCGGCACTCGCGTCCCACCAGCCCCGCGACGCTTCCGTGGCCAGGCGCTGCTTCCGGCCCCGAGCGGAACTACCGGGCTGGGCGGGGCCCGGGCCGGCTCCGCCCCGGCGGCGGGACCGGCCCGGCTCCCGGTCTGGCTGTGGGTCGGAGGGGCGGCACCGGGGTCCGGTCCGGTCCGGTTCGGGTGGGGACTGGGGGGCGGGCGCTGGGCTCGGGCCGTGCTGCAGGGACCAAACGGGCGGGTGTAGCCCCAAAGCCCCGCCCGCCCTCCGGACCGGCCGCAACCGCGGGGCCGGGGCAGTTACAGTCCGTGCGTTGTCTTGGGAGAGGAAGGAGCCTGCAGCTGTTTTTCCTTTGAAGGAAAACCAGCTGGTTCAATAAATCACCTTTTATGAAGGAGACCTTTTTAACTTAACTGCGCTGCCCCATCCAGTGTTACAGGCCGGGCAGGGAAGGGGTTCTGCGGGGACAGGGACCTGTCACAGCCGGCGACCCTCACAGCCCCACACTGCTTCCCTTGGCTGGGGCTTCTCCTTGCTCCCCGGGGACGTGTGTGTGCATTACAGTCGGACAGCGCACGAAAAGGGCAATTCCTGTCAATTCGTACGAGCACCGATAGTGAGAACAGATTACATCAGTCACATTTACACCGCACCGAAAGCCCTTTGCTCCGGGAACCGGGCGCTTCCCAGCCTGCAGGGTGACACGGGCACATCCAGCCGTCACCAATCTCTGCTCCGAAGGGTCTCGGTTCTCCTCCTTGACCACAGGGAACTCCTCCTGAGCTTAGCGCAGAGTCCGGCTTTAGATGGCAAAGTGGCCTAAAATAGAAAGCACGCCATGCGCTGTGTCGTGTGGCTCCTTCGGGACGGGCTGGACCGAGTCCCGCTCGCGGTGCCCTCCATGCCCGCGCCCCCCGGACAGCCGGGGTTCTCGCTGCCGTCTGTCCGGGTGTGCTGGCACCGGGGTGCCCGTGACCCCGCGGGGGGAGTGAGCAGAGGGCCGCACACCCCCGGGCCAGCAGCACAGCCGGGCTCTGTTCCCGTCACACAGAGCTGGGTGCTAGGGATTCACACTGCAAATGTCACGACGGGCTGTCTGGAACCTGCCATCTCCCCCATTCTGTTGAATTAGTAATTTTTAAATGAAATATTCATTGTTTCTATTTCTCAAACATCACTGCACCTGTCAGAGCTTGGCACTGGAGCCCCAGCACCAACACGCTCTGCAGAACAACCTACCAGAACCAAACCCCAGTGATGATGTTGGTCCAAGGTTTGCTCCAATTCTTTTTCCTGGAGGAGAACACTTGGCAACTGAAATATGATTCCCTCGCAAAGGCATCTGTTTATGTCCCCTCCTGTGCCAACCCTCCTCAGAGCAGTGCTGGTGAGATGCCAGGTGACTCAGTGGGCTTTGAATGTGTCATCGAGCTCTTTTGAGTCACTATTCCTCTTTTTGGGGTGTTTTTTGTAACCTTACCAACTGTGTATACCCTATTTGATTTCCTAAAGCACTGTGAGCTGTTGGAGCCTCTGCCCAAAATTGGGGACATTAACTCCCATGTATAACCTAGTTAAATAATTATATGCAGACACACTATTTGTCTAGATTTATCTGGCAAAAAGAACCCTGCATCACCTGTGACAATGTGCCAGAGACCTTCAAGACTTCACAACGGTAAAAGTTAAATCTGAAATCTTAATGGAAATCACAGCTTTCTGATCGCAGTGTGTAGGGAAACTGCCAACGTGTCTTGCACAGATAAGGCAAAGCATTAAAGTCAGCTGGCTGCTGGTTCTGCTGAAAATCCATTTTTCAAGGTTCAGTCCAGAGCCACCTGAAGGTACAGGGCAAGCAGGCTTCAGATCAGGTGTGGAAGAGGAGAATTTCTCCACAAAAAAAAGCTTTGGAAAATGAGCTTTTATTGAAAGGCTCTTTCCCTGGTGTGATCCATGGCCGGGAGGAAGTTGCTCAGCACTGAATGTAAGGGTGAGGATGATCAGATGTCACAAGGCAAGGCCTGGGACGAGTGCCCTGTTCCGGCAGCGCTGTCCCGGTGCTGTGACAGCTCCGCAGGGATCACCTCCTGACTCTGGCTGTGTGGGGAGGCTGCTCCCTGCTCGGAAGAAGACAAGACACAAAAGCAGCTTTTTCATGTTGAGCCACACAAAAAGCACCAGGAGAAGAACAGGAAGGCTGGAGCAACCCCAGGGATGTGCTGCTGGAGGTCAGTGTGTTTTCCTTGCCAGGCTGTCATGGACGCTGCAGTCGAGCTTCCCGAACAGCACCAAGGCTTCCACAGCTTCTGGCTTTGCTCAAATCCCACCTCAAAGTCCCAAATGACAGCCTGGGGCTGGGGAGAGGATCTGCTTTGCTGTTCTCCTACTCACACAGGAGTCTCAGCCCACACCCAAACCAGGTGAGGACCCTGTTGCCCCCCCTGCTTCTCCAAGGGACATCAAAGAGGGTTTAATGCCACTCACACACAGGTCAGAGGGGCCAGGGAAACCTGAAGGACCAGCACTCTTAAACATACTTAAAAAATAGAATAAAATGAAAGAGTAATAAAATGGCTGAGGAAAATGTCAGCGTAATCAAAAAAAAAGGAGAGCTGCAGTACTAAATTGCAAAGTTGTAGAAATTGGCCATTAAATGTTCAAAGTAGCTGAAATGCAATTACAGTAATAGGCATGAATCAGGATAACCCTGGGCTTTGCAATATTTCAATCCAGCTCTACTTTTCCCTTTTTTTTTTTTTTTCATTTTATCTTAATGATATATACATTATCTGAATGATATATACATAATGATATATTCCATTATCAAGGACTAATGGAAGTTACAAACCTTGGAATCACAGAATCACAGAATCATGTAGATTGGAAAAGCCCTCCAAGTCTGACCAGTTATCACTTTGGCAACTAGACCAGCCACTAAGTGCACACCCATGCATTTTCTGAACACTTCCAGAGATGGAAACCCCACCACTGCCCTGGGCAGCCTGGTCCAGGGCTTTACAACCCTTTAATAAAGAAATTTTCTCAATATCCAACCTGAGCCTCCCCTGGCCCAGCCTGAGGCCGTTCCCTCTCCTCCTGTCCCTGTTCCCTGGAGCACAGCCCGACCCCCCCGGCTGTCCCCTCCTGTCAGGAGCTGTGCAGAGCCACAAGGTCCCCCCTGAGGCTCCTTTTCTCCAGGCTGAGCCCCTTTCCAGCTTCCTCAGCCTCTCCTGGGGCTCCAGCCCCCCTCAATGACAATGACACTTTCCACAGCATGTCCTTGAAAGCCAGAGCCAAAGGTGTTGGTGTTAAACTGTTGACCTGATAGATCCCACAGTAATTTATTATTTATGTCTTCAATTTTCCATCAGGCTCCAATTAACCTCCTCTAAGTTTATTGTTAGCCTAAAGTCTTATTGTAGGATAATTTTTATTTTGGTCACTAATGAAAGTCACCAGAGGTGATCCAAGATGCTTCTTAACTGACCCTCTGGTGGCACTGCAGCGGTGCAGGGGCAGGAATGCCAGTTCCCATTGCTCCAGGAGGCTGCAGCTACAGTGTCCACCTGGCCAGAGGAACCAAGAACTGCTCAGCTTTGGAGTTGCAATGGTGCAAGTTCCTGTGGGTGGGAATACCCAGCAGGCACAGCCCTGAGCAGGTTACCAGGCTGTGTCTACAGGAAGGAATTATCACTGAAGATATTCAGCTAAAATATAATTTTCTAATGATACTTCAAACAGCTCCTCCGATCCAACAGCTTCTTGCCCTCTCTTTGCCTGCTGTTTCTCTAATTATCCAACCTCAGAAGGAAGGTGATTAAGTGCTTATTAAGGAAAATAGATATGGTTTATTATGAAAAGCATGTTTTTTCAGGCAGCTTTGTTGTAGCAACACAGCACATGACACAGGTTAGACTTGTGCCAGTTTGCTTTTCCAGAGAAAAGACAGGTTCAGCAGAAAATGCTTTCAAACTTTTACTTTTTAGCTCATGAAGCAAACAATGTCATGGGATGGTTTGAGTGGGAAGGGATCTTAAAGTTCATCCCATTCCCACCCCCTGCCATGGGCAGGGATACCTTCCACTGTCCCAGGCTGCTCCAAGCCCTGTCCAGCCTGGCCTTGGGCACTGCCAGGGATCCAGGGGCAGCCACAGCTGCTCTGGAGCTGAACAGACCCAGCTCTCCCAGCATGGATCCATAGGAGAAAATTGTGAGTCTAACATGAAGCTGTATTAATCTAATAATAATCTCATATGAATTATTTGTCTATTAAAGAAAATAATATAAGCATCCATAAGCCAAGATTTCTGGACATTCTGCCCACACTGAGCTTCTGGCACATCCTCAATACCAATGGCTTCAGCTTTGACTTCCAGGTGGCATCCTTGCAGAGCCAGGCTCAGACAGCTGCGCTCCTACCTGGAAACATGGTCCCCAAAGCCACTGCCAGTGTCTGCTCAAAAACATTGTCTCTGTTCCATGAATTTGAAGTTCTGAGTCCCCCAAGTGTTCCTATTTGAGTAGTCCTGTGATAATCTTCTTGATGGGCAGCCAAGGCGTGCTGCTTCCCTGCAGCGAAGCGTCACTAATGGCACATCTTGTTGTAAAATGGGGTTATTACAAGACAAAAAAGTCCTAAAATGAGGCTCTTGCAAAATATTCTGACCAAAATGATATGTATGTAATAAAAATCTCATTATTTTCAAATTATTCATCTACTTTGCAAGGGAATGAGTCAGAGCATCTGTTTTGGGGCCCCATCAGGATGACTGGCAGTGCCTCTGTCCTGGCACATTTGAATCAGGGGTGGCCCTCACGCTGTGCTGACCCCAATGTCACCTGCTGCCACTTGGATTGAATGAACAATGAAATAGCACTTGTCGGGTGGGAGCAGGAAGAATGGAAACACCTACACATGGAGGAACACAGTGTAAATACTGTGGTCAGGGTCAGCATTCTTTTCAGGCATTCATCAAAAACCCAGGAAAGTAAAATGAGTAAAACATTTAAATAGGGTAAAAGATGGAAACAAAATAGGAGAGATGGGACGAGGAGAGCTGGTTTTGGGTAAAAAACTGAGCAAGGGAGCCAGTTTGGAGCCCTGAGAAAGCAAAGTGCCCTGTGTTCCATGGTCTGACTGTTCTTACTGAAGCAGGACTTGGTGTGCTGTTTTTTTAAGACATATCTAACCCTGCCATCAGTTTTTCATCATAACAGAAACAGCCTGTAAATGCCGAGGTGGCTGTTGGGGCCACAGGAGGGAAGTGTATTACAGGGCCCTGGGTGGTACCAGGGGCAGGAAAGGACCTGGCACATCTTTGGTTTTGCTGTTTCTCCCTGTTCCAGGTGGGGATGACTCCAGG